AGTCGACACCTGGGTTCAATTCCAGGCAGGGCAAAACCTTGGGCAAGTTTCCTTACTCCACATGCCTAATAATAATCCCTCCAAAACAAAAAACAATAATAAATTGGTCATTTTCAATCCACGACTGTTTGTGGGACACTGCTGTGTGCAATTGACTGCTGCATTTCGCCCACAAATGTACTGTCAATTCACTTTACAGTATATTCTGTGAAGCACTTTGAGATGTCTCAAAGACCCTATATCAAATGCAAGGATTATTATTATCATTATACAGTAAACCTCACATAAAATCGCTGTGAAGGTCTTTGAGACGTCTAGAAGACGTGAAAAGCGTTATATCAAATGCAAGGATTATTATTATTAAATCGAATCAGTTGGGAGCATACATTTAATATGACTTATCCAAAGTATGATTTATATGAAACTTGCATAAGTTATAGGAAGTTATTTGGGCAGATGTATGACCTAGGCGATCATACAATTTACGCAGATCAGACTTATGTGGGTTTTACTGTATTTTGCTCCCCCTCATTGTGGTCTCACAACCAAGTGGGAACAGCCTATTAATTAAGAGTTCATCGAATCATTTCATAATCTTAAACACCTCTATCAGGTCCCCTCTTGATTGTCTCATCGCTAGAGAGAAGTGCAACCTGTCTAATCGTTGATATCTGTATCTACACATCCTTTTTTAAGGTGCATGGTGCTCTTTGTTTGTCTTATTTATCTAGTACCCCCTTCTTTCCTGTTTTAAACACTGTTTTTCATTCACAGCATTATCTGTTACTCCTATATTTCTTTGTGAAAAATTAGCTAAAGTATTCATTTAGTATTCCAGTTATTTATTTATGATATGGGGGGGGGTCTTATTCCAAACATTGGCCACATTGGTGGTGGGGGTGGGGAGAAGAGAGGTGTCTTCAGGAATTAAATTAATTTTACACACACCCTCCACTCAATTTACAATGGTCCAATAAATGGGACTATAAATGGTGACATCCCAAAACACAGCGGAATGAGATCTGACCCTTTTTTTTGTTGTTTAAACCCACCCCCGAATAAAATGCAAAACCCTGCAAAGAACTTGAGATCACAACTCCACAACGACCAAAACGTTTCTAAAGATGCCAGGTTTGAAACCTGGAATTGAAACCTGGTTTTAATTCCAAGCAGGGCGAAATCTTGGGCAAGTTTCCTTACTCCACACGCCTAATAATAATCCCTCCAAAAAACAAGAATAATTAGTCATTTTCAATCCATGACTCTTTGTGGGATACTGCTGTGCACAATTGGCTGCTGCGTTTCACCCACAAATATACAGTCAATTCACTTTACAGCATATTCTGTGAAGCGCTTTGAGACGTCTAGAAGATGTGAAAAGCGCTTTATCAAATGCAAGTATTATTATTATTTATTTATTATAAGAGCAAGAATTTATCTGCTGCCAATGAACTATTCCATCATAATTCACAGTAGTTATCAGCCTCATGAAGTAGCATTTACAATTCCTCTGTTCTTATGTGTTTCTTATCATGTAAGAAGCAAATAAGAATCCGACATTAATTTATTAACAACTTAAATAAAGGAGCACTCTTTTTTACGTGTTTAAAAAAATCCTTGCATTTGATCACGTCGAGATGTCTCAAAGGGCTTCACAGGATATACTGTAAAGTGTATTTTGTGGGCAAAACTTTGCAGCCAGTTTACGCACAGCAATATCCCACAAACAGCCATGGAATGAGTGACCAATTTTATTTAGGAGATTGTTGGCTAGGATACCGGGAGAAACTCCAGTCTCATTTTGAATAGTTCCATGGGATCTTTAACATCCACTTGAACAGGCAGATGGATCTTGATTTAACTTTTCATCCAAAGTACATCACCTCTGACATTGCAACACCCCCCTGCACTGCATTGGAGTGTCAGCTTAGACTATGTGATTCCACGTCCCAACGCAGAGTTGCCGTTACATATTTCTTATGTGTGTTTTCACAATGTTAATAAACCAAGATTGCACATTTCATACGGGTTTCTTGTGAATATCAACATTATGCACTCTATTTCTTTTTAAGATCAACCAGGGAAAATGAAGGGTCTTGAGTCAGAAGGCAAGCACAGGACTTTCTCCTGGTGGTCGCTTGATTTATTAAATAAATGAACATCGAAGGGATCATTGAAGCTCATCTGTGTCCTCTGGGGTCGGTGCTGGCTGCTCCAGGCTTCCTATGTGGCTTCCGGTATCGGACTGAAGGTGTGTGTTTCCCTTGCCTTGAGTACGTACAGTAACTGTTCTCATCCTGTTAGCAGTATGGGCAGAGCTGCTTTGACATCTGAGTTACCTCAGTCCGTCCTCCCGCTGTGTGCTGTTTGTGGCGTTTTGCTGATTAAATAAAACGGAAAACTCAACTCTCCCATTTTCTGAAATGAATTCCTTATAGAACTATAACTGCAAACACTACAAACATCCCGCCTTCACACATAGTCAGAATTTAAAAATCGCATTAGATTAGAAAAGCTTCAGCAATGAAAGAGGTTAAAAATTGAGTGTTAAGATAAGCAGAGGCTTTGAGAGAAAATGATCTTGTTAACACTAAACACAATTAGTCAGAGGAGTCTTCTGGCTCCATTCACTCAGTCAAAATCTACACACTGTACCCAATGTTACAACACAAGAAAATTACATGGTGCTTTTCACTTCGGAAGGATGTCACAAGGTGCTGGACAGTTACGGGTTTGCACCCGAGCTGGGGGTTTGAATCAAAATCTTCAGCAGCATTCTTGTGGACCTACACTTCCTACCTAACATGTGTCTGCAGACTGGCCCAGGCTAGGAACCTACCCTTGTTACTTGGAGAATATGTCAATGTGGAGAAGGAGGAAAACGTTGGAAAAAAAAGGAAACTATTTTTTTCAAAGTCCAGCAAACATTTTATTAAATAAAATGCATTGTGTGCATATCAGATACATAGTCACATTTCTCCAACATTGTCTTGGAACATCAGCACTGCTTAGTGAAGAGCACAGCAGCTACACCAAACTTGTGTACAGTCACCACCAATTGTCTATCAATGTACTTACCTCCTTACTTTCTCTCTGGCACATTTCTATTAAATACCAGTGCTGAATCTACATAGAAAGACAGAAATGTTCAGCACAGAAGGAGCCAATTTGGCCTATAATGTCAGTGACTGAGCCCTATGTTAATATCCATTATTACTCATTGTGTAATTATTATTACTCATTGTGCCTTGGCTCAGTTGGTAGACCTCTCGCTTCCTAGTCAGAAGGTTGTAAGTTCAAACTCCACATCAGGACTATGAACACACACAGTAAGCTTATATACCAATGCAGTGCTGGAAAAGACATTGCATTCCATTGTCAGAGGTGGCGTCCTTTGGATGATACATTAAATCGAGGTCCTGTCTGCCTGTTCAGGTGGACATTAAAGATCCCATGTCACTCCTGAAAAAGAGAAAGTGGAATTTCTCCTGGTGCCCTGGCCAACAATCCCCCAGATACAAATTGGTCATTTTCTCCATGATTATTTATGGTGGCATTGCTGTGCCCAAGTGGGCTGCTGTGTTCGCCTTCAAATAAACAGTTACTCCACTTCCCAGTAAATCCTGTGAAGCATTTTGGGACATCCTCCCAGTGTGAATGGCGCTATACCAAATGTAAGGATTTTTTAAAAATTAATCGCAAACAATGCATTTATGGTTTCTATGTATTCACTCAAAATACTGAATATCTAGTAGAGATTCAAATACAAACATTTTCTGGTTAATAACTGAGAAAGCTAGGATGGGCTGGTGGAATTAGGATGGATCAGGAATTGGATACAAGAGTAGCCATCGGTAAATTAACACTGAGCTTGGATTTGTTGGGATTGATATAGTTATAAGAATCATTGCGTTTAATATAGCCCCCACAACACTTAAGCATCTATGCTTCATCGCTGAAACATTTGCCAACAAAACAAGCAGTCACTTTACAGTAAATCCTGTGAGCTCGTTGCGACATCTTCCCCCGTGAAAGACGCTATATCAGGGAACTCTATACTATTATTATGTCTCACGGTGCTTCCCAGAGAATTGCTATCAAATGTAGTAACTGTGTGTTTGTAGGCAAATGCAGCAATCATTTGAGGATGTCAAGGTCCTACAGGGAATGATCAATTTATCTGAGGGATTGTTGGCCAGGTTACGAGGAGAAACTCCCTTCTTTTTTCCAATAGCACTACCGGATCTGTAATTTCCACATGAAAAGGACGAAGGGAGCTGTGTTTAACGTCTCACCCGAACAACGGCGACTGCACTAGAATGTCAGACTGGAATGTGAGCTCAAATCTTGATGTGGGGCTTGAATCCACAACCCACTGACCAATAGGCAAAAGTGCTAGCGATTGGTTGGGGAAGTCTAGACCACTAGTAGAGCTGCTTAAACACTGCATCATGATCCTTAATGCTCCCAGCTCCGCCACCCTGCAATGGTCAGCGTGGAAGGCGCAAATTCACCGTCACTCAACCCTACATTTCCTGCAATCCACCGGGGAGTCACCATAGCCTCCAGAGCCTCAAAGGGCTCCTTCCCTCAAGTGGTTAAAGGCACAGATTTAACTGTTGATGAATTTGATTGAAGCTGCCCTCTGAGCATTGGCTTTATAATCCCAGAAGTGCCTATGTATACCTTAAAGCAGCAGGACAAGATGATGCAGAGAAGCTAAGGGCAAGTTTAGGACAGGCACCAGGAAGTATTTATTGACAGGGAGGAGAATCACTTGTTGGAGCAGGGTACTGGCAAGGTTGAATGAAGCCGCTCGCTTCGGTGAGCATTCTGAATGAATGAAATCAAATGTTCTAAAGAACCTTCTTCAAATTGTGCTCCAGTGTGTTCATTCCCACTTGATGATGTGACTGTAATGTGTTAGCTGCTTAACTAGTGAAGTGCTTATTACAGTATACATTGGATATTCACACAGTGAGGTGTCTTTCCGATTATGCAAGGCTGAATGTTCTAGGTTTGGTTCGTTGGAAAATAACTGTCGGCTTCCAGTGTAACTATGTTTCGAGTGACTAAACTGGGGTGGGGAAGAGGGGAGGAAGGGGTGAAAGTTAGCTTTACAAACAAGAACGTGTAATTAGTGGATTACTCTTCCCTCTGGGAGTCGGGTGCGGGAGGGGGATCTAAAACAAGGAATCAGTCTTAAAATTAGAGCTAGGATGGCTAGAAATGCGATCAGAAAACATTCCTTCACACTGGCTCACTGCAGGTAGAATCAATTAGGATGTTTGAATGGGAGATGGATAGATATCTAAGAAGGGATATAGGGAAAAGATAGGGAAACGATAGGGAAACGGAATTAAAATATTTTTCTATGATCTAATAACTGCGGAAATAGGCTTCAAGGCTGAATTCCTATTCCTCCTATTCCTGTTTTATTCCAGCCTCAGTCGTCCAGCTGGCACAGAAGGGCGACCCCTCGGGTGACCCAGTGGCTGAAGGGGTGTTGTGAGGGCAGGATGACACTGGTTACAAAATTAGTGGATAGGCCTGTGGCGGAGAGGATTCCAGCTCGCTGGGAGGTTCTGTACACAGGGCACTCATATGCTTCTTGCACCTCCTCTTCCAACTCATCCACCTTTTTGTTCTTCTCAATCTGGAAAGGCAATTCCTTGGTTTTAACCTCAGAGCAAGTCTTTAGTCTTCATGTTAATACTGAAACAGTGCTAGTTCCCCTACTCGAGCTCTCTACTCAAATCCCATTCCTCCCACTACCTCCCCACCATCGCTTCCCCCCACCCACCCACAAACACACACTTTTTGTGCTTGTGCTAGCTTGCCCCTAGAGTTATTTTCTCTAATCCAATTCCAAAGCTTTTCCCCCTCATTGCATCTGTGCTGCTGGCTCTCCCACTGGAGTTATCTTCTCTACTCTCATTCCTCTGCCCTTTCCCCATTCTTTCTATACTGGTTCCCGTTCCCCACTGGAACTTGCCCACTCTAACTGCATTCTCCTGATCTTTCCCTACCATGTCTAGAGCCGTTGCTGGCTCCCACATTGGAGCTCTCTATTCCAATTTCATTCCACTACTGTTTCCCGCTAGCTTCCCCACAAGAGCTTTCTACTCTGAGGTCTGCTCTTTTTTCTGTAATCTTTTACACTTTTGGGTTGTTTCAAACACATTCCTCAGTGGGTTTAACCTCCAGCTCGAAGCTTCGCAGCACTGCTCAGTGTTAAAGTGCCAAAGAGACTTCTCGGCTGCCGCCCATACACTCACCCGCATTAAACTCTGTACCCTCATCACACCAGTTCTAGCCAGGCTCCACTGGCTCCCTATCATCGAACGGTTCAATTTCACAATAATCACATTCATCTTCAAATCTGTTCATGCCCTGGCACCTCCCTACCTCTCCAATCCACTTACTCCCCAACCCGCTGTCCACTACCTCTGCTCGACTGGCTCTGGCCTCCTGCTTATCCTTTGTGCCCTCCAGAATTCAACTCAACGAAAGGCTAAGCCCCAGTCAATGAGATCTTCCAGTCATGAGGAACAACAGTGAGGTAGCGGCACCCACCTTAACTGGGAGAAAGTGGATGCTTGGCATCTTGCAGTACCTCTTCCCCGGCTTGGATTCTTCTATGCTTTGACCCACGGCATTCCAGTGAGCTCCATCCAAGTACAAGCCAAACACAAGGACGCCATCTCCGAAGTTCGATTCATCTTGCTAACACACCAACACCATCACAAGAGAAGTTCAGATGAAGAAAACCTATAGGTCCATTTGATCTCATCCTTTCAGAATCCCCACACTACTATAATAATGATAATATTAATAATAATCCTTGCAGTTGATATAGCAACTAATCACTTCACTGATTACAGAATATACTTTAAAGTGGATTGACTTTGTATTTTGTGGAGAAACAACTGGAAAAACGAGGCGAGAGCACAGGCGAGGAGCGGGCTGCAGCACATGGTGAGGCTGAGAGAGAACCCGGCAACGCACAGGCGAGACTTTATGGCGGGGAAGTCTTCAGGTGAAAGGGAAACTAATGTTTGAAATTTCCTTCCCCGATGTCCCCCTATATAGTAATATTTATTCAGTAAAAGATAATAGTAATAATACTTGCATTTGATATAGCACCTTATCATGTTGTTGAGACATCTTAAAGCACTTTACAGAATATATTGTAAAGTGAATTGACTGTATTTTGTGGACGAAAATAGGACCAATTAAGTTCTTCTTTTACTATACAAGTATTTGTTAGCACTGTATAAGTGTTTATGTGAGTACCTCCATGAGGAGAGCGACAGGAAGAGAGTCAGAGTGAGAAGTGTGTGTTTTTTTATGCAATATAATGGTAAATGTATTTTTATTATATTATCTTTTTTCATTGTTAAATAGCAATTGCTATTTATAGTAAATATTTATGTGGTACAAAATGAAGGCCTAGAGACAAGGAGAGGTATATGAAATGCATTAAGTTTATTCACTAGTAGAATAGTGGTACTGTGCTATTAATGCTGCTTTCTGTCTTAAGCAAATATGTTACATTAGCCGAGAAAATAAAATCCTCCAGTTCTATTTAAAAATTCTGTTTCTTAGAAGGGGGGGCATGGGAAATGAATCTCTGAGGGCAGGGGACACAGCAAAAAAAATGTTGTTAACTCTGGTGTAGGGTAGTTTCTCAGTGGGTTTTACAACTAGAGGGTTGGATGTCGAGCAAGGGAGAACGGGACGTAGCCATACACGTGTTCAAGGAGAAAGAAATTCAGGTGGGACATCCTCCCAACATGAAAGGCACTGTATAAATGCAATTTATTATTGTTGTTGACTTGAAGACAGAAAGAGAGGGCTGGGCGCGAGACGGGTTCCAGTGTGAAAGGACATGGTTGCAGAGTTCTGGATAGTCTGCAGCTTGTGTAAGGAAGAGTTGGTAAACCGTCAAGCAGAGCATTGGTATAATCAACCTGGAGTGATAAATGCATGGATAAGGGTCTTGAAACCCTGAGGGGAGAGATAGTGGCGGAGGTGGGTGGGATGCATGGAAATTCCAGTGATAGATTGTTGGAATGGAATGCACACTCTCTCTCTGGAGGGACGCCTCCTGCTTACCTAACTCTGGAAAATATTAGGCGCAGGTTGGCAGGAGCCATGACTTGAGACCCCAGAGTATGCGTTGGGGTAACTGCTGGAGTCTAACCAACTAAAACCGAGTAGCTTTCTGTTGAGAGCAGTGTCTGGCAAGTGTGAAGACACTGTTTTCTAATCTCCTCTTTAATTCTTTAGACTGCAACACTAACCTATCCTTTAATTGTTTAGGCTGGGGGTCAGGAGGCTGTGCCAATACTCACGCTGAAGGCAGAGTCGCAGGCGCTGGCCTTGCGGGTCACATCGACCAGTGAGTCATCCCGGCTTGGCTGCTGTACGTAGTAGGTGAACGTCAGTGTGTCCACAGGAATGCCATGCTGCCTTGCGTGGTTTTGTAACACTGCCGTCAGGAAGCCTGCAAGACACAGTCAGCTCACTGAGTTTCATTTAAGAATTCCACAATTCCTTCCCACCCTTCATGTGATTGAGCATTGGCTAACGTAACCATTAGGAGTTACCAGTTCCCCCTTCCCCAGCACACACATATACACACAATATGTGGGGGAGAGATCTCGGTTTCTCGAAGCCCAGTAGACACACCAGTACTCACTCTGTGCACATGAGTATGTGTCTGCACTTGTGAGTGTGTATCTACGAGGATGAGTGTGTGAGTGTGTATCTGTACTTGTGAGAATGTATCTGTGAGAGTGTGTCTGTACGTTGTGTGTGTGGGAGTGCGTGTCTGAACATGTGTGTCCGTGAGCGTGATTGAGTGCCTGCGAGCATGTGAATAAGCCCGTGCCTGTACACGTGTATGAGTGTGTGTCTACGAGCGTGTGAATGCGCATGTCTTTGTGCACGTGTGAGGGGAGAGATGGTGAGCTACTTGTAGTCCAGGAGGCACACGAGTACTTACCCTGTGGGAAAAAGAAGCCTGATAGCCAAAAAGCACACGGCTGCGCTTGATATGTCTTTCCGGGCTGTTCTGAGATTGGCTGCATAATCTGTTCCAGTCTCTTTCCCTGTTCTTTGGCAATGATTCTGAGCCTGTTAAGAGTCAGAGTGCCACACAGTAAGTACCTGTCACAGGAATTGGAGAAGCCTCGAGACTGAGTAAGGGCACTGGTAAGTGTCGGTGTGGCTACATTAGAGGTAAATGTCCAGAGGCATCATTCAGAAAGGAACTGGATAGACACCCTGAGCAGTAAAAATAATAAGGGACATAGAGAAATCACGACGTATTATCACAAATCGTTCTGGGCTGAAGATTCCTAGCACTTCATAATAATAATCCTTATATTATTATTACTACTGCAGGACCACAGCTCTAATATGCAATATTTTCAAGTTGGATTTTTTGTGCTAATTGTTTATTACCTCCAGAAAACGATCCGTGTTCCTACTTACTACTAAGTAAACAGAGGTGTATGGGGTAAGGTTTCATTCTGCCTGGGAATCGAACCTGGGTCCTCTAGCTTGTGAGGCGAGTGCTCTAACCAATACGCTACAGAGTTCCATGTTCTTCTATGTAGATAAATGGAATTTAGCTAAATAGATAACTAAATGAAAGGAATGGTGTGGCAATTTGATTGGGTAGCTCGATGGAGTAATGATCTACTTCCACTTCAAACTGGAGGCTGATTTAAAGGTAAGTACATAAAAGTGGGGAGTTAGATGGGCAGTGATATGGAGTTCTGGTTTACTCCTGCCTCAAACAACAACAACTTGCCTTTATCTAGCGCCCTTTACACAGGTGGATGCAGCTTCTTGGAGTGCTTAACAGTAGTGGAGCCTGACACTGAGCCAGGGGAGGAGGTGACCGTAAATATAATCGAAGAGGAAGGTTTTTTGTTGTGATCTAAAAGAGGGGAAGGCAGCAGTGACAAACTAGTGCTGTGTCACAACAGAATGGATGTGTGGATGTCACCCCACCACCCGCTTGCTGTAGCGTCTGCTTCTTACTTTTGCTGAGCCACTCTGATTAAGTTGTCTGACCAAGTGCTGAAGAAATTTACTCGTTGAATCAGATCATCAATCCATGAGCCCAGCGGCTTGCAGGATTCATAGGAGCAAAGCTGGAGACAAAAGAGAAAACAGGGCAGGATTCAGGCAACGTCACAAAGACAGATAACATCTGCATAGAAAGAGGCCTTTCGGTCAATTGTGTTGCCTGTTTTCTGCACATCCCTTGTCCCCTCCGCTTCACCATTGGTGGCCGTGCTTTCAGCAATCTCTAGAACTCTCCGCCTCAATCCTTCTGCCTTATCCCCTCTTTGCCCATCTTCAGGGCAAGGACTTACCTCTTCGACTGTGCCTACAGTCACCTCCCCTCTCTCCCTGGCTCAGCGTCAAGCATTACCAATATTAAGCAATTTGAGATGCTCCCCTGTGTGAACAGTGCTATACAAGTGCAAGCTGTTGTTTTTCTAAATCGTCCTCATTTTCATTTCTCTCCCCGTACCCTAATGGTCTTACTGCTCAGGTTCCCTATTGAATGATCCAGCCTCAACAGCTACCAGTAATGAATTCCACATCCTAACATCCTCTGAGTGAAGGAATCCCTTCTGTCCCTTTTAACCCCTCCTTTGATTCATTCTTCTGCTAACAATTCTGAGACTGTGCAACTTTGTCACCCCTTCCCCAATTAAAGGAAATCACTTTTCCCTAGATTACCTTGTCGTGCCCCTTCAGAATCTTAAACACATCTATCATATCCCCACTGAATCTCTGCTTCAAAACAACTTAGTATGCCTTCCTTTATAAGGATGTAACACAATATAATTGTACATTTCTATAGCGTCATTCACTTTCGGAGGATGTCCCAAGGTTGCTGGCTGGGCGACCAAGCTGGGATGAGAACCAAAGGAGGGTGGTGGTGAGTGGCGGGGGATTGGGAAAGAACATCAAAAGCACAGTCAAACAGATAGGTCTTGAGACGGACCTTGAACAAGATGAGGGAGCGAATTGAAGGGACTCTGAGATGGAGTTTCAAAGAGCGGGGAGCAGATAGACTGAAAGCCTGACTGCCAATGGTGGGGTGGGTAAGGCAGGGGACACATAGCAGGGTGAAGAGAACGGCCAGGTCGATAGGGTAAATAAGGCAAGGTGGGGTTAAAAAGCTGTGATTTCAGTGACGAGCTGTGCGGTTTTAACTGGTTAGTCTCCAGCAGTTACCCCAACGCACACTCTGGGATCCCCAAGCTTTGGCTCTTGCCAACCTGAGCCTAATACTTTCCGGAATTAGGTAAGCAGGATTCGTCCCTCCAGGGAGAGAGTGCGCATTCCATTTTAACAATGTATTTCTGGGATTTCCATGTGTAGGAGGGATGCATGGAATTCTCAGTGAGGTTAGGATACTCTTAAGTGCAGTGATGATGTGTCAGACAACTGGTTGACCAGAAAAAAAGTCAGAGGGAATACTGTCTTCCTGACCTTCCATAGCTTGGGCACCTTCATATTCAGGCAGGAGTTGTAGACCTCCTCCAGTGAGACGGTGAGGATGCTCTGGCCTTTTACTGCGAAGCATAGGGAGCGAATTGACTTGAGGATGACTTCCAGGAGATGGTTGAAGCGATCAATCTCCTGCCGCAATACCGTGAGCAGTGCAGAGTTTGCTAAGCTGTCAAAGCCTGGGAAAGCCAAAGAAAGATTCAGGAGTCACAAAGCAGACTGAGGTAAAAAAACTGGGGAACTGACAAGCTAAGGGATTGACTGTATATCTTGTGGGTGAAACACGGCAGCCAATTGTGCACAGCAGTGTCCCACAAACAGTCGTGGATTGAGTGACCAATTTGGGGGCATTGTTACCCCCGGAAAGCAAATCTTACAGTTGACTAACAACTGGGTTACTATTTACTGCTAGGTAAACAGAAGCGTAAGGAAACGTGCCTAAAGTTTTGCCCCCCACCTCAGAAATCGAACCCGTGTCCTCTTGCTTGCAGGGCTAACCACTAAGCTAAGATACTCCTCAAAGTCATGCGTATGAATATAGATATTGAAAATAGCCATCAATTCTGTGGTTGCTTTCCTGCCCGATCCCACAGGTTAAGAGGTTAAAATATTTACATTCCTTAATGGTAAAGGCATAAACTTTAGACTTTTGATTTATTCTGGAGACGGAGACAACTTGCTGGGAAGGCAGTGGCTGATCCGACCGTGAGCCGGGTTAACAGACGTTGGTTGTTGAGAAACAGCAGCTTTCCTTTTCAGAACAGCAGGAGAATCTTAAACAAGCGGTGGAACCCACCTCAATTTAACATCTCATCTGAAGGATGTAAAGTCCTCCGAAGGGCATTAACACTCTAACCACTACGCTACAGAATTTGTGCGCAATTGGCTGCTGTGTTTCGTCCACAAAATACAGTTAATTCATTTTACAGTATGCAAAATGCAAAACACTGCAAATGCTGGAAATCTGACACAAAAACAGAAGTCGCTGGGAACACTCAGCAGGTCAGGCAGCATCTATGGAGAAAGGAAAGTGAGTCAAAGTTTCGGGTCCACGACCTGATGAAGGGTCATGGACCCGAAATGTTGACTCATTTTCCTTTCTCTATAGATGCTGCCTGACCTACTGAGTGTTCCCAGCGACTCCTGTTGTTGTTTCATTTTACAGTATATTTACATTACAGTATATCCTGTGAAGTGCTTTGAGACGTCCCAACGACATGATTAGGCGCAATATCAAATGCAAGGATTATTATTATTATTAAACAAGCCTCTGTTTGCCTAGCAGTGAGTGGGAGCTGGTTGTTGGTCGATTGGCAGGTTGCTTTTCTGGGGGTGGTAATCCCTTCTAAAAAAGATATTAATAATAATAATTTGGTCACTCAATCCACGACTTTTTGTGGGACACTGCTGTGTGCAATTGGCTGCCGTGCTTTTCCCACAAAATATACACTTTACAGTGCATTCTGTGAAGCTCTTTGAAATGTCTCGAATACGTGATAAGGCGCTATATCAAATGCAAGGATTATTATTATTATTTTCCCCTTCCCCAATAGCCTTACCGTTGATAGACTGAACATAGCCTATCCACAAGGGCAATGTCAGCAGTTCAGCCAGGGTTATTTTGGGGGCCTTCACCCGCTCAATTCCCTCGGGAAGTTTTTCGTCTCCCACATTCCTCGGCACGCGCTTAAGAATGTCCAGCGCGACCTCCAGCACGATCTCGTGCGAACTCTTCCCCCCACTGTAAATAAAGGGAACAAATTTCATCCCGCAAACCAGCTCATGATAGATTTCCCTCAGGAGAAATTCAGCAGCTGTATTACTCCTAGACAGTGTTAGATCATGTTTTAACACATGGTGTGTTACACAATATTTATAAAAGGGTGTTTTACCCAGTAACACACAATGTGTTCTGAATGTACACAGTGTTATACCTATTAACAGATGGTGTGCTATTATATTATATACACGAGCATTATATTAAGTAACAGTCTGTGTTTTACTATATAACATTACTCAAGAGCATTATGCCTAGTAAAACACGATGGGGTGAAATTTGCAATGTTTGAGAACATTTCTTAACAGATTTGAGGTGACATCACATCAAACACGTTACAAAATGGTGCACATTTCACCTCTGTAATACAAAGCCAAGTCATTCTACAGTTCTCCGCGATGCTGGCGGTGGCTGATGCTATCTCCAGGCCTCCCAGGCTCTGCGAGTCCGCAGTCGGTGGGAGGGAGGGAGGGAGGGAGGGAAGTGGGGCGAGGTTAGTACTGACCGGGTGAGCTGGCCACTAATGCTGAGCCGGGGCTGAATGCTGACAACGGTCTCCATGAATAACTGGCTCTGACTTTCCAGGAACGTTTTCTCAGCATCAGGATGCATGCCAAAGATATCTGGCAAGTCATACTCAGGAAGGGATTCAATATAGTTCACACACTGCACCTGGTCCATGTTCTCCGAGATAATGTGATAAATCTAGAAGTGCAGGCAAAGCAGAAAAACACATTGCTATGAAACCCCTTTTCGCAGAAAAAACAGCATGTTTCGGAATGAGATGTTAAACCGAGATCCCGTCTGCTCGTGCAAGTGGATGTTAAAGATCCCTTGGCACAATCACCCAAAATAAAATTGGAACATGGCTGTTTGTGGGACTTTGCTGTGCGCAACGGGCCGCCACATTTCACCCACAAAATACAGTCAATGCATTTTTTACAGTATATCCTGTGAAACAATTTGAGACGTCTCAATGATGTGAAAAGGAGCTACATCAAATGCAAGGATTATCATTGTGTTTACAAAGGCCGGTGTTATAATCCTCACAGCTGAGGAGGAGGTCAGTAAATGATCTGATTGAGGTGATTAAAATCACAAGTTTCCCTCTGGGTACAAGGATCCTAAGCAGTGGGATGTAATCTTAAAATTAGAGCTAGGAATGGTTAGAATTGAGATCAGAAAACATTTCTGCACAGAAGATTGTGAAAATGTGGAACACACTGCCCCCAAGGGGCAGAATCAATTGGGATGTTTAAATAGGAGATAGATCGATACTTGGAAAATTAGGGATATTAGAGGGAATGGAGAAAAGCTGGGAAATTCAGATCACAAAATTAACTTGTAGAACAGGCTCGGTATGTTGAAAGCCTCCCCACCTCCTGTTCCTATGTTCCCTGCCTATGGTGTTGGTGCAGATATTTTGCAGTAACTACAATACAAATTTACATTTATGCAGCACCTTTTACATCAGGAGGACGTACCAAGGTGCTTGACAGGCTTGGCACCCGAGCTGAGGGTGGGTGCCGAGGGGGTTCGAGAGAGGAAAGATAACTGAAGGTGTGGTTGAAGAGGAAAAAAGGTCTTGAGTCAGACTCTGAAAGAGATCACTCCTTCCCCCCAGTGGCTGAACCTACAGCAGTAAGCCCCTATCCTCTAGATCTCTCGCCCAAATTACAGAGGGTGGAAATGGGATTTCCACTATGGAATCATCACATGGAGAGAATGAGTGTTATTAAGTGCGTTTTGTCATGGTTTGGAGCTGAACTCCCCCTTGATGTCTAGAGAGCGGTCTGTACCTCACTCAGTCCGTTCAAAACTGAATCGGTGCTATGTTGGATTGTAACCTAGCGAGTAGTTTTGCTAGAAACAGCTTCCCATTTATCTTTTACTTTTAAAGTTTTCAATCTGGTGAAAAAATGTGAAATCCGGACCAATTCGGGATATTTCAGGTTGAGATCCTGTTGTGACCAAATTAGCTGCTCTTATACTAGTCACGGAAGAGATAGGGGACATTAATCCCTTCCCCTTTAACAACGAGTAAGGATGCAGACATTTTTGAAACCTAAATTAAGATCAAACCAGTGTGTACACAAAATGCAAATCTTAAGAGTATCCTCACTCCCTCTCAAGAGCTGGAGACACTTTGAATTCAGTCTATGTTGACGTTCCAGCACAGTACTGGGGAAGTACTGCATTGTCAAAAAGACACCTTGAACTGAGGTCTTGTCAGCCTGTTCGGGTGAACATCAAAGACATTATTTGAAAAGAGATGAGAGTATCTCCTAATGTTCTGGTCAGCAATCCATCAGATAAATTATTCAGTCTCTTCATTGCTGTTTGTTTGTTCGGTCACTCTCCACCCCCACCCTCACTGCCCTCCACCCCTCTTGATTCCAACCTCTAGCTCGTGTGCAAATTCTTGATTGTCTAGCACCTTGGGATGCGAAAGACGATATACAAAAGGTCACGACTCTTTTGACAGCAATTCTATATAAAGCTATTTGAGACATTTCAACAACTGTATCAAATGTAAGGATTATAAATATATAATAAATCCCCAAAGCTCACCCCGTCAGCTGAGAATCGGTGACCTTCCTGCAGGATCTCGGGCGTGTAGAACATCTGGAGGATGCAGTTGAGACAGCGACGATCCCAGCTGTCTGTGACCCGGCCCCCGTACACCACCTCCCCCGTCAGGTAGCGAAGCGCCTGCCAGGGTATCTGCTCCTGCCCCTCCATGAGAATCTCCAGTGTCAGAATGGAGACCTGATCACCAAAGGAGGCAACAAGTCATAGCACAGAGCACTGCCAGCTCTATCAAGTGGATTAGTGATTAGAGCGCTCGTCTCGCAAGTGAGAGGACCTGGGTTTGATTCTCGGGCAGGACGAAACCTGAGACAAGTTTCCCAACTCCACACTCCTTTGTTTACCTAGCAGTCAACAGGAACCTGATTGTTAGTCGACTGGTCACTTTTTGGGGGTAATAATCATCCCCTCACCAAAAAAAGACGTTTCAACGACATGATGAAGCGCTATATCAAATGCAAGGATTATTATCATTATTACCTCCAAATCCGAAGACTTGAACTCGTAAGGGATGTTCCAGCCCAAAGCTCCGTACTTCTTTCTCTCCTGGGCGACTGCGTTGAAGAAGCAGAGAGAGAAGAGCAGCCTGCGCCAATAGGGGCCAGCATTTTCCTTTTTGTACATCTTGTCCAGTACTTCTCGAGAGCCACTGCTTCCGAAGGTGGTCAGGAGCTTACCCCGGATTCCCTGCGGCAACTCCACAGCAATCTTACAGGGAGAGTGAATGAGAAAGAGAGAGAGAAAATGGGTTAAAGCAGAGTCTCACTATGTCAGAACAGCTTCTTTGAAATAATAATAATAATTTGGTCACTCAATCCCATTACTATTTGTGGGACACTGTTGTGCGCAATTGGCTGCCTTGTTTTCCCCACAAAATATACAATCACTTTACAGTACATCCTGTGAAGAGTTTTCAGACGTCTCGACGACCTGATAAGGCACTATATCAAATGCAAGGATTATTATTATTATAATAAATTCGACTCTTGAACAACTTGTATTTTTAAAGTGCTTTAAACATCAAGATGCACTTCAGAGTATCGTGGTCGAGTGACCGATTATTGTAGGCAAATGCTGCTGCCATTTTTCACACAACAAAGCCCGCCACACAGTCATGAAGCGAAAGACGAAGCAAGTGACCAGTGACTGGAGGATTGATTGTTGGCCAACACACCAAAGGAAGTAATCTTATCTTTTTCAATAATGTCTTAATAAGCAGGTGGGGCCTCGGTTTAATGTGTCACCCAAGATCAGCACCTCAGACATTGCAGTGCTCCCCACAGTATTGCCCTGAAGTGTCTCAGTTTGGACTGTGATCTCGACTTATAATAATCCTAGCACCTTATCACATTGTTGAGACGTCTCAAAGCCTTTCACACAATATAAATGACCTGGATTTAGGTATAGGGAGTAAAATTTCCAAGTCTGCGGATGATACTAAGCTAGGAAAAGTAGTAAACAATGAGGAGGATAGTAGCAGACTGCAAATGGACATGGACAGACTGGTAAAATGGGCAGACATGTGGCAGATGAAGTTTAATGTGGAGAAATGCGAAGTGATGCACTTTGGGAGGAAGAATGAGGAGAGGCAATATAAGCTGATGGTACAATCTTAAAGTGGGTAAAGGAACAGAGAGACCTGAGGGTTCATATAAGTATATCTTTGAAGGTGGCAGGACAGGTAGATAAAGCTGTTAAAAAAGCATACGGGAAACCAGGCTTTATAAATAAGGGCATAGATCACAAAAGTCAGGAAGTTACGATGAATCTTTATGAAATACTGGTTTAGGCCTCAGTTAGAGTACAGTGTTCAGTTCTGGGCACCACACTTTAGGAAGGATGTCAAAGCGTCGGAGAGGATGCAAAGGAGATTTACCAGGATGGTACCAGGAATGAGGGTCTTCAGTTATGAGGAGAGGCCAGAGAAGCTAGGATTATTCTCCTTGGAGCAGAGAAGGTTAAAAGGAGACTTAATAGAAGTTTTCAAAATTATGAGGGGATTCGATAGGGTGAACAAGGAGAAACTATTTCCACTGGCCGGTGGGTCGGTAACCTGAGGACACCGATTTAAAATAATTGTTAAAAGAAACAGAGGGGAGGAGATTTTTTTTCCACACAGCGAGTTATTCAGATCCGGAAATGCATTGCCTGAAAGGTGGAAGTTAATTCGATAACAACTTTCAAGAGAGAAGTAGATAATTATTCGGGGAGGACAAGTTTGCAGGGCTATGGGGAGAGAGCGGGGGAGTGGGATTGAACTGGATAGCTCTTCAATGAGCTGCCACAGACACGATGGGCTGAATGGCCTCCTGTGGTGTATAATTCTATGATTCTATGATCTATGATATACTGTAGAGTAAATTCACTGTATTCTGTGGGCAAAACGTGGCAGCCAATTGCATACAACAGTTTCCCACAAACAATCGTGGGTTAAGTGACCACATTTTCTTTTTGAGGGATTATTACCCCCGGAAAGCTATCCGCCAATTTCCTGACAACTAGGTTCCTACTTACTGCGAGGTAAACAGAGGCATGTGTAGTAATGAAACTTGCCTAAGGTTTCGCCCTGCCTGGGAATCAAATCCACGTCCTCTAGCTTGCGAGGTGAGTGCGCTAAGCAATACGCTCCAGGACTCCATTTGAGCCTTGAATCCACAATCGTATGACCCAGAGGCAAGCCAAGCTGGTTCACTGTGTACAGGTAAGCTATCCTAAGTGCTCACCTTTATCGCTCTCTGAAGAATGGAAATGGGAACTTGGGGATTTGGTTTTGAGCTGAGAAACAGTCTGAACTGAGGATCAATGTTTGCTCCAGTTTTTTTGAATCTGTAACCAAAAGGAAACAAGCAGTTACACAGGACACAGAAGTTAGGTCTTCCTATTTTGAGAAAAAGCTATAGAGAAATGGAGATTGTAGGATGGCAGGGGTGGGCCCATCGCATGGGCAGGGGAGAATTAAATCAACCCGAGATTGCCCTACTGGAAACTGGTCTCCCCCCAACACTTCCTTATGTCTAGTACCAACTGTATCAGCCTTCTGGTTGTTATCCCACAGTCCATTCACCTCACACCCTCCCTTGCCTCCTTCAAGGCGCGTCTCAACCTTCCTCTTTGACCACAGCTTCGATCACCTTCCAACCATTTGTTCTACCTCCTTTAAGCCTTTCATCAGTATACCTTCCTCTACCTCCAAAATATTGTCCAATCCCTCACCCTCAATGCAGCCAAAACCCTTATTCTCCATACTTAATTGCTCCAGTACTCTTGTGGACTCCCAACTCCACTCTCCACAAGCTCTGTATCACAAGCTCCACACCCACATTCTCTCCCAAACTCTCTATGAGTTTATCAGACCCATCCTCACCCAACTCCACTGGCTCCCTACCCACAGTTGATTCACCTTAAGATTCCTGTTCTTATCTTCAATGAAAAGCCTAGTGCCATGGCATCTCCCCTCAGACATGGATAACTCAGGTTTTCAATGTCAGCAAAGAAAACACAAAGGAGGGCAGAAATATACTGACTGTTTGTCAGTGTTATTATTTATAATAGAACCACTTCTCTATACGACAATTAATAAAATCAGTACAGCGAGAGGTGGCTACATGCTGGAGCAGGATAGACACATTAGGGTGCAGACATGCACATACCGGGGTCTACACACAAAGTAACACACACACACACATAAACCATGGTATATATGTTACAGTAAAGTTGTGAAACCAGGGATTTTAAGTTGTGAACCAGGAATTTTGCAAAATCCCTGAAATTTTAATTAAAATTGTGAAACCATGAAATCACTGAAATTAGGAGTCAGGGAATTTGTGTAAAAGTGATCATTTCATCATATCGATAACCTTGCCTTGACACTTATTTTCATTTGTAAGCACAAGTGAGGCTTCCATGACACTGGGAATTGCATTTTAGTTTTGCTTTGAAGCACTTACATCAGTTGGTCTAACATTTCTTCTGACCGTAGTTACACTTTGTAAAGCCTTAGTCCACCACAAACAGACCGTGCAATGACAGTTTCACAGAGTGATGCTGACGTCTCCTGGTTGACGCAGGTCTCTGCTAACAATTGTTGTGGGCAGAGGTCAAATTAATTCCTGGAATAGTGACCCCTCAGGATGCCAACCTTTACTGCTATCTTGTACTTTTCAGTGTCTAAATCTTTCTTAATGATAACACCAAGGATGTTCCTGGGATCCCCTCTACCCCTGTCCGCTCCTGGGGTGGGACAGCCACGTTGTCTCCAGGTGTAGCAGTTGGAGATCCAGCTGACTCCGCTTTACAATCCTCCCTGCCTGGGTTACTTGTGCCATTTGTGCAACAGCTCATTGATTCACAATTTTACTGTAGCATATGCACACATACGTACACATACACACACACAGCTACAAGGATACAGTCAGATGGGGAAACACATACTACACATACTAAACATACATATGAACAGGAGATAACATCCCCACCCCAGGGTGTGCACACAAGTCAGAGTGTGATGATTGGTTGTAAGGCAGGGCCTAACTCACGATTCCACAATGCTCTGCAGTCGTGGCATGAAGGATGCTGCCAGGTGGCAGTTTTCCAGGAACACCCAACGTCCCCTCAGCACCAGGGCTTTGTGGATCAGATCTTCCGCCTTTGGTCCTTGGCCCTGTCCTAGTGAGATGATGTCCAAGTGCTGAGTGCTGCCTCGTGCTTCCTTCGCAAAGCGCATCAGCTGCGTGACCGTGTCTCCTCCAGCTGCTTGCAAAAACATGCACAGAATCAGACACCAGGTCACCCAAACCCCATCATCTTTTATTATTTTCCTCAAATATTTCACTTTAACTGCTTCAACAGCAATAAGTGGTAGGATATTCCACATTGTAACAATCTTCTCATTTCTCTTTTCATTTCTCAGGACCTTGGGATGTCCTCCCGACGTGAAAAGCGCTATTCAAAAGTCATTTTGTTGTTATTCTTCCCTTTTTTCCTTCTGGTGATAATGGAGTACCGTAGCGGAAACAGAGGTGTGTGGAATAAGGAAACTTGCCTAAGGTTTTTTCCCGCCCGGGAATCGAACCCGGGACCTCTCGCTTGCAAGGCGAGTGCGCTAACTACCATGCTACAGGACTCCCTTCATTTCCTTATCTTTCTCGTCCCTTCAGTAATGAGCAGCCCCTTATCCCAGCAGTCCTTCCTGAGCAAATGTGTGGATCCTCGGTCCCCTTACCGCATGATAGGAGGAAGATCATTGGAGTACTGGCACTCATCTGTTCAAACACATCTCGGATGTTCAACACAAAGCTCGGCAGGAACTCAGGCCCCAGGTTCTCAGTCACGAACTCCCTGACAGCAGCAGTCAGACCATCAGGTTTGATGATCCTTATCTGTAGAAAAATGTGGAAGCAACTATCTAAAACAGATTTTCCACCTGGAGGACTAATCTTGTCTCGTTTGTAAAGTCGCTACTTTTTTTTCCCTCTAAACAGTCTGACGACGTCTGTTCCCCTCCCCTCTGCCTTCAAAACATACAGTCAATTAATTTTACAATATATTCTGTGAAGCGCTTTGAGACGGCTCAACGACATATAACGACGTGTTATATCAAATGCAAGGCTTATTATTCCTGTCCTTAAAACTCTCTGAACCCATGCGCAATTTAGTCGTCAAGTTTGATCCCCAGTTATCCTTCCTCCCCCACATCCGGTCCCTGACCAGCACCGCCTTCTTTCACCTCCGCCACACTGCCCCTCTCCGCCAATACCTCACCCCAAAAGCTGCCAAAAGCCTTGTCTATGCCTTTGTCACCTCTTGGCTGAACTACTCTAACTCCCTCCTCGCCGGCCTCCCCTCCTCCACAAAATTTAGCTCATTCAAAACTCCGCCGCCCACTCAAAACTTCATACCCCAATTACTCCAGTCCTTACCAAACTCCACTGGCTCTCTGTCACAGAGCGGATCAACTTCAAGATCCTTGGCACCCCCCATCTTTCTAACCTCCTCTCTCCCCACAGCAGTACCTGCTGCCTCCGCTCTACTGGGTCCGGACTCCTCCACGTCCCCGAATCCTCCGCTCCACCATCGGCGACCGTGACTTCAGCCATTACACCCTGAAACTTTGGAACTCCCTCAACCCCTTCGCCTCACCCCCTCCTTCCCCATCTTCAGGTTCGCGCCTGAAGACCTTCTTCTTCTTGGTCGCTTTCCCCCTCTCCCTGACTCGGCCTCGGGCTCCGCCATTGTTAAGCGTTCTGAGACGAGGCCCAGCGTGGAGGCACTATATAAATGCAAGTTATTATTATTCAAGAGTTTGGTCCTGGCCGACTTGGCTCAGTCAGTCTGCTCTCAGCTCTGGGTCAGAAGGTTGAGGTTCAAGCCCTAAGTTAGCTCACAGTCTAGGGCAACACTCCAGGAGTACTGGGGGAGTACTGCATTGTTGAAGCCCCATTGTTTTGGGAGCCCCATTATTCAGGAAAAACATTTAAGTCTCATGTCCCTGCCCAAATTGACCTTTATGTTTCTTACAAATAGACAATCTATTACATATGAGAGCAATTCCATGTAGGACCCTTTGAGATGTTTTAATGCTACAGAGCTGTATCAAACGCAAGTGTTTTTATTGTTAATGTTGGCAGCACAGTGTTTGGGATGTGACCAATTTTTTCCCCAGAGACACCCAGTGACAGGGCCGACTATGAAATCCTGTCTCTAATAGTACAAAGACCAGTTTCTGAACTGAGGGTGTGGGGTTTATGGGAGAGGAAACATTGCTCTTACTAATATCAGTCGTTGGAAAGATGTAAGATTCTGCCAAGGGAAGAGAGTTTCCAGGTTTGGGTTGACATCTATTGTTATTTTGGAGAGTTCCAATTCACTGGATTGGAGAGAGCCTGTTAAATAAACAGCACATGGTGAGACTCAGTGACACAAGCTTTTAGTCATTGTGAAGGTTGCTCTTCGCTGTTAGAGGGAAGAGCTGTGAAAAAAACAGATAAGACAGGCCTCTTTAACTAGGAAAGGTGGAGTCCCCTAGTGTAGTGGTTAGTGACCTCGCTTACAAGCAAGAGGACCCAGGTCTGATTCTTAGGCAGGGGGAAACGTTATGCAAGTTTCCTTACTCCACGCGGTTCTGTTTATCAAAGTAGGAACCCGGTTGATAGTCGATTGGTGGATCGCTTTCTGGGGTAATAATGCCTCAAAAAAATATGGTCACTTAATCCATGATTAATGTTCGAAATGGTGAACTCCAGCAGGTGATCTCCCTCATTATCTCCAAGCTCGACTCTTGCTAGCCGGGGCCTAATGCTTTCTGGGATTAGGTGATCAGGGTGATTCTAATTTTAATAGTAATAAATTGTGCCCACAAAATACACAGTCACTACACTTTACAGTATATTCTGTATAACGTTTTGAGACATTTCAACGAATGATAAGGCGCTATATCAAATGCATATATTATTATTATTATTATTCTCTCCCTGGGAGAGGGTGTGCATTCAATTCCATTCCACACAGTGGAAATTTCTAAGCATATAAGGAATTCTCACTAGTTTGGTTTGGATACTTCTAAGCATAGCAGTGGGTTTTGTGTGTGTCAGAAACCCACCTGCCCAAAACATACACCACTGACTGCAGATAGAAAGGACAGATTAAATACATACTTGAGAAAGTTAAAAAGAGAACATATTTGGAATCTAGATTGATTTTAAATTCATGTTATAAATTGAAAGTTTTCTGCAATTCTTAAAAACAAATTCTGTGCAATCTTAAATTCTCCCACAAAATACACAGTCAATTCACTTTGCAATGTATTCTATGAAGCACTTTGAGACATCTCAACGACATGATGAGGCGCTATATCAAATGCAACGATTATCATAAATTATAAGGCTGAGAACAAGAGGGTTTCTGTAACTTTGGACGTCTTTGTGTAAATAGGGGAGATAAGGCCTGGCAGAGCTGCGCTGTACCTTGCTTTGAGGTCTTCCGATAGAAAAGATTCTTTAATAGATCGTAGCTATTCTCTGCCTGCAGGAAGCACTCCCACTGCTCTGGGTGTTCTTGTAGTGAATAACAAAGTATTCTGAATGGCTCCAGCTTCCTGCTGATGTACTGACACTGTTTCCACATCGAGTCCGTCATCCACTGGCTACGATAGCCTTGACCAGTCCAGACATCCTGATCCATTTCTGGAGAACAGTCATATCCTTAATGAGGCTATGCGTACTTCACCATACACCCACTCTTAACCTTAAGACCATTGGATTTGCTTGGCTTTTTTCAGCCAGAGAGAGATGTAGCACACATGTTTTGACTATTCTGTCACAAATGGGTTTATTGTGGACACTGTAGTGTAGAGTAGCCTCACAAGCGAGAGGACCTGGGTTTGATTCCCAGGCATGGTGATTATCTTCCAGAGATAATAATCCTTCCAATATTTTTTAAAAAAAGAATAAAAAATAATAAATTGCTCACTTAATCCATGACTGTTTATGGGACATAAACCTGGAGAGGTCCATTGCTGTCCAATGCCTCGTCCCAAAGGAAAGATATAATCTCATACCATTCTATCGCTCATACACACTGAATCAATTTCATCCCCAAATAACTATGCAAGAACCTTCTGAATTTGTGGACACAATCTGCATCAATTGACTCTTGGATCCAGAATTCTACACCTCACTGCTCTTCTGTGAAAATAATTCAATCAGAACTGTTTGAGTCCATGTCCCTTGTTGTGGTCTGTGACCACGTTGTCAGTATTCAGACCACAACGACCCTTACTGGGAGTCTACTCCAGTTTATGATTCCCTCCATGTATAGAAACACAGAGAATCAATGTCCTCCATATTAGCCTGGCTCAGTTGGTTGTGAGCTACAAGCCCCTCGTTGGACTTTGAACTCATATAATAATAATCCTTGTATTTAATAATGCCCCTTATCACGTTTTTGAGACATCTCAAAGCGCTTCACAAAATATATGTAAAGTGTAGGTATATAATATGTAATATAATATATAGTCTAGAATGCAGTGCTGGGTGTGTGCTGTATTGTCAGAGGTGCCAACCTTCAGATGAGGTGTCAAACCAAGGTCCCGCCTTTCTGTTCAGGTGGATGTTAAAGATCCCATTACACTGTTCAAAAAGAGAAGGGAGTTCCTCCCGGTGTCCTGGCTCAATATCCCCCAAATAAAATTGGTCACTCACTCCATGGCTGTTTGTGGGACATTGCTGTGTGCTCATTTGCTGCCATGTTCACCTGCAATGTCCCTACACTTTACTGCATCTTACAATATATCCTGTGAAGCACTTTGAGATGTCCTCCTCGCTTGAAAGGCGCTATAATAAATGCAGAGATTATTTTTTACATACGCAGAGAATCAAGCCCTTCGTAAAATGAGTCACAAGCTTAAAAATCCGAGAAATTGAAATTTGTTTAATCCAATGTTTCATAGTTCTTTTTTGGTGCAGCAAATTCTGCACAATCTTACATTTGTTAGACAGTAGTTCTTAAATCTGAGAACATGAGAAATTGCAGGCCCCAAGACTCTATTGTAAACTTGTTCTGCACAGCCCTGAACCCATGTCCTCTTGTTCTACTGCCCAAGGGTACACTTTTTTCTGGGTTTACTTTGAGCTTACCTAGTGCTTCTTCAGGAACATTAGTCGCAGATTTTGATGAGGACTCTGACATCTCGGCCAGAACGTTACAATGCAGGAAGCTCTGCCACTCATTCTCGGGGAGCTCCCCCAGGTTTTCCCCACTCTTGCCGGCTCGCATGATGCTGCTGCACAGCATGAAGGAGAAGTAGAGCTGGTGATGGGTGAATATCGAATACCAGACCACCTGGTAGGCGAGAGAGATGATAATAATAATAATAATAATAATAATAATAATCGTTGCATTTGATATAGCGCCTTATCACGTCAATGAGACATCTCAGGATATTTCACAGGATATCCTGTAGTGTAAATTGACTGTATATTTTGTGGGCAAAACGTGGCAGCCAATTGAGCACAGAAGTGTCCCACAAATAGTCATGTACTGTAAAATGCACTGAACTTCACATAAGTCGTATCAGATGAGACCATAACATTTAATGTGACTTACGCAAAGTATGAGTTATGTGAAACTCGCATAAGTCATAGCATATATGTAAAGTTATGTACCAGTTAGATTTTATACGACTTACACATAATAAATACACAATTACTGAACTGGCTGGTGACATTAAGATTTCAAAATGGACCCATAATTTTCCGAACAACCATTTTCATGTACTTTTCAACCCGTTTTAATATCTGTAAACGTTTTATTTGCAGCTGCCAATCATGAAAAAACGCTTCACGAAAAATTGCTGTCAAGTGTAGTGACTGTGTATTTGTAAGCAAACGCAGAACTATTTTGCATACAGCAAGCTTCAGAAATTTGCCATGAATTATCAATTAATTTGGAGGACTGTTAGTCAGGACATCAGACGAAACTCTCTTCTCCATTAGTTTAATATGCACCTGAGCAAATGAAACATTAGTTTCATGTCTCATTGAAAGAATGTCAATGTTAATGTCCCTCTGACAATGTGGCACTTGCCCCAGCACTGCGCTGTAGAGTCAGCCTTGACTGTGAGCTCAGAGTTGTTTGTGGGGGTAACATGATGATTGATCCAAGATAGCACCAAGAGCCATGGATTAGTGATGAGAGTAGCTGTGAACAACAGCTGGGTGTAATGATCTAAAAATCAGGAGGAAAATCTGCATAACAAGGAAGTATTGTAGGATACCTCACATAGGAATTACTTTGGAACACTCAACCTCATCCCTATGATTTGCCCCCTCCTTCCCCATCTTCAGGTCATGCCTGAAAACCTTCCTCTTTGACCATGCTTACGATCACCTTTCCCCATCTCGCGATTGTGCTCCACTACTGTCAACAGCTCTGGGACGCTACCCTGCATGAGGGGCACTATATAAATGCAAGTTGTTGTTGAGTGAAATAATTTCCTTATTTCAAGTGTGAATCAATTGGCAGGATTAGAGCTTAAGATGTGTATAGGAATAAAGTTAAGAAAGTTAAGACACTTTAATTAAGAGTTGGGACTATTGGAACGGTGTGCAATGGGATGGAGTCCTTTGCTTCAAATGCCTCCACGGCTTAGCAATGGTGGAGTGTGCAACCACGAATGGTGATGCTGTCAGTGCCTGAAGTGTGGAGGCGCTGATGGGAGCCAATCAGGAGAGCCTCGGTCTTGTTGACATTCAACTGAAGAAAATCAGCTCTCATTCAGCCCTTACGTCCGACAGACCTTTTGTCAGGATAGTAGTGGTCCTGGAGTCAAAGATGGAGGCAGAGAGGTAGAGTTGGGTGTCATCCACATACAGGTGGAAGTTGACCCCATGCCTGTGGCTGACGTCACCAAGCAGGAGCATATATATATTGAAGAGGAGGGGACCAAGGACAGAGCTCTGAGGAACACCGCACGAGATCGTGCAGGGGCTACAGGAAAAGCCATTTGTGGAGATGACGTGGAGGCGATGTGAGAGGTATGATCTGAACCAGTCAAGGACAGAGCCATGAAGGTTGAGGTGAGAGGAGAGGCAGTGGATGAGGATAGAGTGGTAGATGGTGTCGAAGGCAACAGACAGGTCAAGGAGGATGAGGAGGCAGAGGGATCACTGGTCGCAGGTGGACAGAATGTCAATTGTCACTTTTGACCAGGGCTGTTTCTGTGCTGTGGGCAGTACGGAAACCTGACTGGAGGGGTTCGAGAAGGGAGTGGCAGGAGAGGAAGGAGCGAAGATGAGAAGCAACAACTCATTTCAGGACCTTGGAGACGAAAGGGAGGTTGGAGATGGGGCAGTAGTTTGGGAGTAGAGATGGGTACAGGAAGGGTTTTTCAAGGATAGAAGTGATGAAGGCGGTTTTTAATGGGGTGGGAACAGTATCAGAGGACAGGGAGAGGTCAACAAGACTGAGGTCCTCCCGCTTGGCTCCCATCAGCACCGCCGTACCTCGGGCACTAACACCTTCATGAATGCACTGTAAACCTCACTGAGCCAATACCGAACCTCAGCATCCTGTTCAACCCTCAACTGTCCTTCATCTCTCACATCCGTGCCATGACCTGCTCCGTCTATCCCCATCTCTGGAACATTGCCCAGATCCGCCAGTGTCTTTCACCGCAGGTCGCCGAGATAGTCAAGCCTGGATGTTATGAATGCGTGTATGAGGGTTTCGGTGGTGTGAGACAGTGAAAGGTGCTATACAAATGTAATTAGTTGTTGTTATCCATTAAAACTGACCTTCCTCTTCAACTATTCCTTCAGTCACCTTCCAACAAATCTTTGACTGTCCAGCGCCTTGGGTTGTCCTCCCGACGTGAAAGGCACTATATAAATGCATTGTTGTTGTACAATGGAAGTGAATGTTAAGACTTTGGGTTTGATTGAGATTGTGTAGAACAACAACAACTTGCATTTACATAGCGCCCTTCATGCAAAGTAGAGTCTTGGAGCGCTTAACAGTGGCAGAATCTGACGCTGAGCCGGGGTGAGCAAGGAGGTGACAGTAAGCACAGTCAAAGAGGAAGGTTTTCAGACATGATCTAAAAGAGGGGAAGGAGGGGGCAAGGCAGGGGGATTGGGGGAGAGAGTTCCTGAGTTTCAGGGCATAGTGGCTGAAAAGACGGCTGCCGATGGTGGAGCGGAGGAGACGAGGGACAAGCAGGAGGCCAGAGCCACCCGAGCGGAGGCAGCTGGTACTGGAGTGTGGAGAAAGGAGGTTAGAAAGGTAGGGAGGTGCCATGGCGTAAAGGGATCTTCAATGGCTGTTTGAGTGTTGCCTGTTTGAGGGGAGCTAGATTGCTGCTCACATGTTCTTGCCTGGGGCTCACCTTGTAAACATTTTCAGTCAGGATTGTGATCATTTTGTAGAGCTGCTCGCTGAAGCTGAAGGAGATCATCATTTTCTCAGTGGTGGGCTCGGCCAGGTACCTGGACATGCTGCTGAAACCTCCTCGCTTGGCTGCAATTTGTTGCTGGGTCAGTTCAGAAAGCGGTTTCTTCAAGTGTGGCTTGTAAATCTCACTGATGGATTCTGTGAATAACTTCATAAACCAATCCAAGGAAAACTGGTACATGTAGTCCAGCTGGGCCAGCTCAGCCACAACAAAATACAGCACAGCCCCGCGGGTTGCCATGGGCAGATACTTTTTCCGAGCAGCCGTGATCTTCTTCTCATTAACCTCCGAGGCTTCAATCCGCTGCTGAATCTCCTTTGACATTACCTTTGACTGCTGAAGGGTATCAATCAGGACCTGGTCATCCAAGATGTGACCTACGCAAGACAGACATCAACAAGGAAAGCCCTGTGTATTTGAATTCTGGAATGTTACAGAGCTAACTGTTTAGTCCCCACTCCCTGTTCTTTCTGTTTTCCTCCTTATAATAATCTGTATGTTCAGTATACTCTTATCACAGGATTTTACTGTAAAGTGTAGTGATTATTTTGTGGGCGAACGTGACAGCCTTTTTGCGCACAGCAATGTCTCATAAACAGCCATGGAGCAAGTGACCAATTTTATTTGGGGGATTTGTTGGCTAGGACACCGGGAGAGAGAAACTCACTTCTCTACTCAAACAGTGCTATAGGATCTTTAACATCCACCTGAACAGATGGGGTCTCAGTTTAACATCTCATCCGAAAGACAGCACTCCAACAATGCAGCACATTCCAGCAGTGCACAAGTGCGTCAGCCTAAACTGTGAGTTCAAAATCCCGACCTGAGGGGCTTGAACTCATGATCTTCTGACTCAGAGGTGCGAGTGCTATCAAGTGAGCCTGGCTGACACCTTTTCATAGTTGTCTAATTCCTTTGGAAAACTATCATAGATTTCATTTGTAATTTTTTGGATGGTTATTCCACGTTCCAATAACCCTCTGAACAAAAAACATTTTCCTAATTCTTTTGTTTTTCTTGATAACTCACCCACCGACCACTGGAAATAATTGAGGAGGCAAGTAGACCAAATTTCCCCCAACAAATGCAGTGGAATTTTACAAACAAACTTTCTATTAGAAGATACTAAGTGTTACCCTTATTCTTAGAATAATAGTAATACTTGCATTTATATAGCGCCTTATCACATTGTTGATATGTCTCAAAGCACTTCACAGAATATACAGTAAAATTTTCAGGTCTTTGCTGAAGACCTTTCTTTTCGACCGCACCTTTGGTCATCTTCCTCCTCCTCCCCCTGGCTCAGCCCCGGGATCTGTTACTGTAAAGCGCTCTGAGACGCCATCCGGCATGGAGGGCACTATATAAATCCAAGTTGTTGCTGTTGTTAAAGTGAATTAACTGTGTATTTTGTGAGCGAAACGTAGCAGCCAAATGCACATAGCAGTGTCCCACAAATAGCCATGGATTGAGTGACCAAATTATTATTAAAAACATTCTTTTGAAGAGATTATTACCCCCAGAAAGCGATTCACCAATCGACTAACAACTGGGTTCCTACTAACTGTTAGGTAAACAGAAGCGTGTGGACTAAGGAAACTTGCCTAAGGTTTCGCTCCGCCCAGGAATTGAACCCGGGTACTCTCGCTTGCGAGGTCAATGCTCTGTTCAATTTGCTACAGAACTCCATATTAAATTGATGCTCGCTGGTTACCCACCGACCACTGGAAATAATTGAGGAGGCAAGCAGACCAAATTTCCCCAACAAATGAACAGTGGAAATTTACAACCGAACGGTCTGTTAGAAGATGCAACGTGTTGCGTTGGCTCTTACCCTCTGCCTTCTGTAAGAGTGAGAGAGACTTGTTCTCCAGATCGCGTAGTGCGCTCTTGTCCGAGGTGATGCTTTCCAGAAGCTGCCCCATCTGCTCTTCCACCTGTGGGTGCTGTTGCTTGACCACTCTGCTCAGCAGCTGGTCCTGCAAACCCTCAAAGGTCACCGTGAAATTGATCAGAGTCACCAGGATAGACACAGATGGGAGGTATTGAGGGTTGGGTGCTTGTGTGGTCATGTACAACCTGCGGCAAAAGAGAGCCCGCTTTTATAGTAATGAGGCTGTTTAATGTGTGGATCCACAGCCCCGTCACACCTGAATAACCCTCGCACCCTAAAACTACCCACTGCACCCACCTGTGTCACCAAACCAGCCCCAGAACCACCCCCTGAACCAGCCAAACACCTTCGCACACTTGTGCCCCTGCCCCGCACTGATACTTTTTTTTAAAGCGGTGAACCCGTGCTTACAATCACCTGAAGTTGCGATTGTATTCTACCTCCGTCTCCCCGATTTTGATGTAGTCCTGGCCGGCTCGAGTGGAAATGACCTTCAGCAGAATTGGCCTCAGGCTGGGGTCCAGCTCTTCCGTCATCTCCTGTGAAGTTCACAAAAACTGAAGCTCAAATGTTCACAAGAAAGGCTTCAGTGAGAAAGGCCATTCAGTCCATTTGACTTAATTCTTCCACAATACCCGTCCTACTTTCCCTACCACCGCAAGTGTCAAGGAATCTTTAATGCCCTCCTAAATAGGCAGGTTGAACTTCAGTTAAGCATTGTGAAGAAAGAGTTAACATAAAGTGTTGGAAAACTGCAGGAAAACATGGTGGTCTTGGTTTTGTTTACCGGGAATGGCCTTTTGATAAGGAGTAGTGAAGAGACATTTGAAAGAGAATATTCTAGTTGGCATCCATTACATGGACACCTGGAATCCGAACACTGCTGGTAAATGTGCCTCACAGCATCGGACCTACGAGCTATTCTATGGTCTGGGCTTCACAGATAGGCAACTCATCAATATTTAAATTCTCTGATAACCTGGTTGCTCCCATTATTGTGACTTATGGTAGTGGGTCTTTGCTCTTTGTATAACAATTGACCGTGGAACTACAATAAAGGAAACAACTGCTTAACATCCAAATTGTGCTCCCATTATTTCATCATTAATTAAATATTAACTGTAGTTTCCTTAAAGCATCTCATCAGAAAGCCATCACCATCATCAAAGCCATCATCAATGTCTTCTGAAGCTCTCTGTGACTCTACGCGCCTTTGCTTGACTGGCACCAATCTAGAGTTTCAATGTTTTCTGTGTATCTCTGTGTGTCTGTATAATAATAATAATCCTGAGCTGTTTCAAAGTACTGTATTGCAAAGTGAATTCGCTATATATTTTGTGAGTGAAACGTGGCAACCAATTGCACACAGCAGTGACCCACAAACAGCCGAGGATTGAGTGCCCACATTTTTTTCTTGAAGGAATTATTTCCCCCAGAAAGTGATCCGCCAATTGACTAACAAGCGAGTTCCTACTTACTCTAGTTAAACAGAGGCATGTGGAGTAAGGAAACTTGCCTGAGGTTTTGTCCTGCCCAGGAATTGAACCAGCGTCCTCTCGTTTGCAATGTACTGTATCATTCCCTGGCACCTCCCTACTTCTCTGACCTCTTTTCACTCCCCAATTCCCCCACCTGGTGCCTTTGCTCGACTGTCATCAGCCACCTGCTTGTCCCTTGCACCCTCCACTCCACCATTGGAGGTCTTGCTTTCTGCTACAACTCCCCGAAATTCTGGAACACTCTCCCTCAATCCCTTTTTTCAAGTCCTGCCTAAAAACCTTCTTTTTCGACCGTGCTCACGGTAATCTGCACCCCCCACCCACCACCGGCTCAGAGTCAAGCTCCACCACTTTTAAGCACTCTGAGATGCTACCCTGTGTGGAGGGCGCTATATAAGTGCAAGTTGTTGTTGTACTGTATGCACTAACCGTGAGCAGAGCCGGCTGGCCCATGCGGATGGCGGTCTCTAAGGTCTTCATACACTTGGGGTGCTTGGCAGCAATTACGCTCAGCTGCTTGCCTTCCATCTGCGAGATCCACTTACACGCCTGCCCCTGGGGGTCAATCATCAGGGGCCAGCAACGCCCCTTCATCACCAAAATGGCATTCTCCATCGAGTAGTGGTCCGGAGGAAGCCCCTTGTTCTGCCACTTGCGAACCTGAATAACAAACAATTTCTTAACCGGCTGACATCCTGTAATCCTCCTCTCCCACTCTGTCTGTGACTTTCAGTCTCTCCTCCCGTTCTCTGCACATACCCTAGCTTCCTCCCTCCTCTGTCTCTTATTCCCTCTCACTGTCCCCGCCAGCCTTCTGCCTCTCCCTGTGTTTCTCACTCTTTCCTCCCTATATTAGGATCTGTATTCTAGAGGGATGAGATCAAATGAGACACAGGGCCTTCTTAATCCAAACTAATCTTGTAATCTTGCACTTCCTTTCCCACAACTCATCTTTCTCTGTTCCCCGCCTTGTGTCACCTTGGCTCAGTTAGCAGCACTGTTGTCTTTGGATCAGAAGATTGTGGGTTCAATCCTTGCAATGGCACTTGGAGTTCACAGATCTTCCAATATAGTATTGGGGGAGTTACAATAATAATAATAATCCTGGCATTTGATAGAGTGCCTTATCACATCGATGAGATGTCTCAAAGCGCTTCACATAATATATTGTAAAGTGGATTGAGAGTGTATTTTGTAGGTAAAATGCAGCAGCCAATTGCGAATAGCAGTGTCCCATAAACTGTCGTGGTTCCTACTTACTGCTCGGTAAACAGAGAGCTGTAGAGTAACGAAACTTGTCTTGCCTGGGAAGGTTTCGCCCTGCCCAGGAATCAAACCCAGGTCATTCTATTGGAGTAACTGCTCCAACACACCCCTTGTACAGCTATTGCCTTCATTCCCCTCATGGAGCTAGTGCCCCGTGCCCCTCATTCAGCTATTGTTCTACATCAACCCTGCACAAGGACATTTCAATGCAAAAACTGACTTGATTCTTCTCGACTGTGTCTTTGACCAGTGTGTAGTCGGGTGAGATAGGGACATCAGAAGAGGTGCACAGTCTGAGCCACTCCTCCATTATCCTCCTCCGGTATTGAGCCGTGAACACTCCATAGTAGGTGATGCTGGCAGCTGAGAGCAGCGTGTCACCCACGATCCCCTTTATACACTTGTCCAACTCGTGGATAAACTGCTTCCAACGCACCTGCAACACAATGAGTCACATCAAGAAACCCTGATCACGCTATCTCAAGAGCAGATTGGTTTGGGCACAATCGTTTAGTAGTAATAATAATAATTCTCGAACTTGATATAATAATAATATAAGTTGCTGTGCGAAAATTTTATACAGCACCATATCTGAGACGCCACCCGGCGTGAAGGGCGCTATATAAATGCAAGTTGTTGTTGTATCATCCCAAAGCGCTTCACAGAATATATTGTAAAGTGAATTTTTGTGGGTGAAACACGGCAGCCAATTGCGCACAGCACATTAGACCCATTTAAAAAAAAACAGCTCGATAGTACAATGGTAGGACGGTAGGGAGGGCATTCTGGAAGGGTGAGATCAAATAGGCTGGGGCTTTCTTTATCCAAATCTCTCTTGCGACTGGTTTCAGGTCTGGACATCTCTCTGGCTGCAGCACAATAGTTTGGTCCAAGCTTCTTTTCAAAATTGTTGGAGTCCTCTGCCTTCTGGGGAGAAGGATTAAACCGAGGTTCTGTTTTGGTCTCAAAAGTCTGGTCCTATGGCAGGCAGATCCGATGTACTCTAAGGCACAGTTGGCAACAAACCAGCCAGCCTGGCTAGTCAGTGGCACCTGGAGGAACAGACCAGTCACTCTGAGCTGGAAATGTTCCCACTCAACTTGATAGGCCTGGCCATATCCTCACTCCTACTAAAGTCCACACCCCCATCAACCCAGTCCTTGCCAGGCTCCACTTGCTCCATATTATAGAACAGATTGATTTTAAGGTCCTCTCACAGGTCCTTATATAAATACATAGTGACGTGTGTGTGTGTGTGTGTGCTTGCATGACACCTGCCTGACCAAAAATAAAACCTCAGATTCCTACTGGGATCAGAACAAACCTTTTCTTCACCAAGAGCAGAGATCAAGAGAGAGGCCCGTATCAGCCGATTAGTAGCTAGGTATTTGCGATTGGCTAGACTTTCTTTCTGGCTCACGGTTTTGTTGTACAGATCCTGCAGCGATTGCTGGTGATCCTCAATCTGTATGGACATAGTTGCCAGACATCAGAAAACAGCAAATATTTCTTAGAACTGGCATATTTAGAGCATTTTATCATGTCACAAGCCTTCACACATGTAGTGATAATAAAAATAACCATCCAAAAATAAAAATAACCATCCTTGCATTTAATAAAGCCCCCTTCGCATTGTCAAGGCATCTCAAAGCACTTCCCAGGATAAACTGTAAGGATGGATAAATCCTTTGGAAGTAAGGGGTATATGGGTTGTGGCGAAACCGAAATGCAATTAAAAGATCTGTCATGATCTAATAGACCAGTAGAAGAGGCTGAATGGGTTGAATGCTCTTCCTGTTCCTCCTAAGTCATGTGCTGTGTCTGACATTTTCGGTCACAGAGGGACAGGAGTTACAAAATTAAGTTGGGAATAAACAGATAATGGCCACTGAGTGAAGCTGTGCTGGATCAGCTTGACTCACCTGATAACAGATGGTGCTATCTCTTGAGGACTCAGATTCCATTGGTCAGTAGTTTAACCCTTTGGCAGTTGGATAAGACTGGGTCCATATGCCGAACAGGGAAGAAATATAAGAACAGGTCAAATTTGGGATAAGAAACAGCTAATGTCTTACCAGGTTAAGGCTTCTTTGCTTCGTCTTCAGCTTTTCGCGAGCAATGCCCAGCGCTTCCTTGGCTTCTGCCACTCGCTGTTGTTTGGGTTGAACGGCCTGAGTTTAAAGACAAAAATCATGGTTACTCAACAACAACTTGCATTTGTGTAGTGCCCCTTATGCAGGGTAGCGCCCCAGAGCGCTTAACAGTCCTGGAGCATGACACAGAGCCAGAGGGTGGCGGCAGATGACAGTAAGCATGGTTGATGAGGAAGGTCTTCAGGCGTGACCCAAAGATGAGGAATGAGGGGGCAAGGTAGAGGGACTGAGGGAGAGTGTTTCAGAGTTTTGGGGCATAGTGGCTGTGAGCGCGGCCGGCGATGATAGAATGGAGGGTACGAGGGACAAGCAGGAGGCCAGAGCCAGTCGAGGGGAGGCATCAATACCTCATGATGACAAGGGAAGGTGCAGAGCAGCCATTCTGAAAACTAAAGTAAAAGTAACCTCTTTTGCCTTTCCTGCAGCAGAGCAGCAGTCAGTGGCCCAGATTCATTGTATGACCACATGGTAACCCCATATTAGAGTCAATACACTTAACGGCACTAATATAATTCAAAGCGGATTGACTGTATACTTTGTGGACAAAACGCGGCAGCCAATAACGCATAGCAATTGTGAATTTTTTGGACAGATTATTTCTCCCTTTATTATGAGTTTGAATTGCGTAGCCTAGAATCAAATGCTCCAGCAGCCCAAAATTCCAGCTAATCTTAGCTTCTGAGTTTATTTTGTTTTAAAATTTAAGATGGCACAGAACTGTATAAATAATCTTAAATTTAGTCTTAATTTAGAAGACAGTATTCCACATTTCATAAAAAGAAGCCAGGTTCTAAAATAAATCTGAATGCAAGAATTTTTCTAATAATAATTCCTTGTAATTTGTATAGCGTCTTCCATGTCGGGAGGATGTCCCAAAGCACTCCACATGATGTATTGTGAACTGGGGTGACTGTATATTTTGTAGGCGAACTCGGCAGCCGGGAGAGAGAAATTCCTTCCTCTTTTCGAATGGTCCCATGGGATCTTTAACTTCCACTTGAATAGGCAGATATGACCTCGATTTAACGTCTCATCTGATGGACGTAATTTCCAACAGTGTAACACATCCCCAACGTGGGTCTTGAACCCACAACCTATTGACTCAGAGTTGAGAGTGCTACACACTGCACCAGGCTGAAATTCTAGGTGATATTACATTTTAAGACCTGATTTTATGAGCTAAGACTAGGTAGGATTTCTATGATCACCTCCCAGTTGGTCCAAGCTGGACAGACTCCTACCTTTTTGACCGTGTTATAGTTCTCTAGTGCGAGTACCCACTGACAGAGTGAGCGGCAGGCGGTGGACACTGCTCCGACCCTGTCAGGGTTAAAGTTTGAACGTTTTGAATAAATTTTCAAACTCTGGAAGACCTACAAAAAGCAGAAGGGGAGACAATGACACAGCAGACAATATGAACAATTTTGTGACAATGCAGTATTAACAACAACTTGCATTTGTATAGCGCCCTCCAAGCAGGGTAGCGTCTCAGAGCACTTAACAATGGCAGAGTCTGACTCCGAGCCGGCATCAGGGGCGGGGGCAGTGTTGGGAGGTGGCCGTAAGCACGATGGAAGAGGAAGATTTTCAGGTGGGACTTGAAAAGGGGGAGAGAGTGGGCAAGCCAGAAGGATTGAGGGAGGGTGTTCCAAAGTTTCGGGGCGCAGTGGCTGAAAGCGTGACATCCAATTGTGGGGCGGAGCATGGGAGGAATGAGCAGGAGGCCATCGCCAGTCGAGTGGAGGCGGCGGGTGGTGGATTGGAAAGTGAGAAGGTCGGAGAGGTAGGAAGGCGCCAGAGAGAAAAGGGATTTGAACACGAGTGTGAGGATCTTAAAGTCGATCCGTTCAGTGACGGGGAGCCAGTGGAGCCTGGCCAGATGTGGTGAAATGTGGGTACGGAGTTTGGTCCGGATAAGTATGCAGAGTTTTGAATGAGCTGGATCTTTTGAATGGTGGAGCTTGGGAGATCAGCGAGGAGTGTGTTTGAGTAATCCAAGCAGGAGATGACAAACGCATGCACCACGGTTTCGGCTGCATTTGGGGTGAAGTACGGGTGGAAGCGGGCAAAGTGACAGAGGTGGAAGAAGGTGGTCCTGGTCAAGGACCGGAAGTGGGGGAGGAAGGAGAGCTGGGGTTCCAACCGGCCGCCTAGATTGCGCACTGGTTTGGTGAGTCTGAGGGAGAGCCCAGGGAGATTGAGGAGTTTAGATCCGCAGCAGTGAAAACGTTGACGGGAGCCAAGGAGTATTAAACGGTCTCACCAATTTGATGATATCCTAGAAAATAAGAACTTGCAATTTTATAGCACTACAAAATTTTAGAATCCTTACAATAATCCTTCAATAAATATAGTGGCTTCTGAAATTAATTGCCGTCAAGTGCAATTGTATGCAGCAAGGCCCCACAAACAGCCATGAAGTGAATGATCCATTAATACGGAAGATTACAATTCTGGCTCGAAGATACTGGGAGAAACTCACTTTTCTTTTCCAATAGTATCAGGCAGAGGAGACCTCGGTTTAAGGTCTCATCTGAAAGACCTTTGACAATGTAGCGCTCCTTCAGTATTACACTGGATATCACCCTTGACTGTGAGCTCAAGTCCTGATGAGGAAGAGGACTGAATACACAATGTCTGAGCTAGAGATATGTATATGAGACTAACAGAGACAAGCAGAAACTTCCAGTGCATACTTTACCGTGAGATGCTCAATAATACCCTTTGTTTTAAACGTACCACCTTTCCCCTCTAAGCTCAGACAGATAGGACTGTGGTTAAATCTCATCTGTACAACTGACAAAAGTGCTCACATAACATAAAAGTATCTGAAAGCATTTCAACATAGTTAATATTAAGTGTAGTGACTGTATGTGGGCGAATGCAGCATCCAATTTGTGCACGTGAATGTTCCACAGACATCCATGAAATGAATGGACGATGTATCTGGTGGATTGTTTGCCAGAACACTGGGAGAAACTCCCTTCTCTTTTTCAATTCTCTACCAGTTTGATAAGAAAATAACCTGTGTCCACTCCATTCAAATCACCTGCTGGATGTGCTGGAATCACTTCACTTGAGTTACATTAAAGGGCTTGTTATAATAATCTTTGTATTTGATATAGCACCTTATCATGTCGTTAAGATGTCTCAAAGCGCTTCACTGTAAAGTGGATTGACTAAATATTTTGTGAACGAAACACATAGCGCCATTTTGGTTTGTTTGTTTGTTTGAGGGATTATTACCCCCGGAAAGTGATCTGACAATTGATGTACAACCAGGTTCCTACTTACTGCTAGGTAATCAGGCATATGGAGTGAGGAAACTTGCCTAAGGTTTCACCTCGGCCAGGAATCAAATCTGGGTCCTCTCACTTGCGAGGCGAGCTTGCTAACCACTACACTATGCTTGCTTGGACTGGTGGTAGTCAGAGATAAATTCCCAGCCTCCTATTTATTTGGTCAGGAGGTGAATGCTCGTTTGGCTGGGTAATTTCTCCAGCATATGAAGGCATCTGATTCTGTTCACTCTGTGAACAAAGCGTGTACAGTAAACTCCTGATAACTCGTCACTCCAAGGCTACAAGGAGTAGCGAGTTAGGCATGTGTATAAATACATACATTAATGGTGCTGGGATATTAAAAATATGATGTCTTAAGTGGTAGTGACAAGTTAAGCCAGGTTCGAGTTTACTGTACTTTGTGCATTAAGCAAAAAACACACTTTCACAACTATCTGTGTGGAAATATATATACACATATATATATGCGCAATTACAGTTCTCAATATTTAGGCAGAAAATAACAGATTCCTGGAAACTGGAATCTGATGAAAGGTTCCAGAGTGGGCCATTTTTATATAGAGTCACAGATTCCCAGTGTGAGTTATAGACTGAAATCTAATCTAAGCACGGCGTGCAAGGGATTTATAAATAGAATAACTGAAGTTACAGGCTGGAATAAAATCAAGGGGTTCGAGGGAGGAAAGGGCTTTATATACAGTGCGCAGATTAATGAGTCTCTGGGAGAGTCACAGGCTGGAATCAAATCAAAGGATGTAATCACTTCACTTATTTGTGAAAGCCTGGTGCAATGGTAGGACTCTCTCCTCTGACTCAGAAGTATGTGGGTTCAAGTTCCAGGTCGGGACTTGGAATCACGTAGTCTAAACTGACAATCCAATGCAGTACTGTGGGGGGGTGTTGCATTGTCGGAGGAGCTGTTCTTCGGATAAGACGTTAAACCAAGGACTCATCTGCTTGTTCAGGTGAACATTAAAGATCCCATGGCACTACAGTATTCAAAAAGAGAAGGGAGTTTCTCCTTGTGTACTGGCCAACAATCCCCCAAATAAAATTGGTTACTCACGCAATGGCTCTTTATGGGACATTGCTGTGTGCAATTGGCTGCCGTTTTTTGCCCACAAAATACAGTCAATCCACTTTACCCTAAATCCTGTGAAGCGCTTTGGGGTGTCTCAACAACGTGATAAGGAGCTATATCAAATGCAAGGATTATTATATTTGAGTAGTAATCCACAGCTCATTAACAGAAGATATTTTATGTAGTGGATTGTAGTCAGCACTTACTCTGCAGTGTAAGAGAAAGACTGATTGATTGTACTATACAGCTATGAAATGGGCAAAGTCTGCCCTTAGTGATCCCAGCTAAAGGTGGTTACCTTCTCTGGTATGTTGTCTTTATCCAGGTTCACCAGCTGTTTGAGAAAGCTGGGGTCACCGAGCAGGAGTTTCGCTGTCGTCCAGGTTGGGCTCTTCTGTAGCAGGATACAGACGGCGTACATCACGGTTAGAACCAGAGTAGGGGGGCTGGTGTATACTCTGCAGAAACATGAGGGAGAGGTTCATAGAATTTCACAGCATAGGAGGCCATTCAGTCCACCATTTCTTTTTTGGTCAGCCAGGTGTCTTGACACATGCAGAAACCCATCACCAGGCTAAAGAGTATCCAAACCAAGCTGAGATTTCCATGCATCCCACCTACACACGGAAATCCCAGAGATAGATTGTTCGAATGGAATGTGCACTTTCTCCCTGGAGGGATGCATCCTGCTTACCTAATTTCTGAAAGTATTAGGTGCAGGTTGGCAATAGCCGAGGCTGTGCGTTGGGGTAACTGCTGGAGTCTAACCAGATAAAATTGCATAGCTTGCCATCCATATTGCTGTCTGGCAAGCTTTCCTGTTGCTTGTCCACCCAGGACTACCCTATCATTAAGGTTTTGGCTTGCAGGGTTAACAGGAGCTGAGTCGGACGACTCCTTGCACCCAGTGACTGGTCTACCCTTCCAGGTCCTGCCGAGGAACCAGGCTGACTGTGCTATCATCAGCAGTGCCCTGGAATACTGTGGGCCTGTGCTGCGCTGGCTCTCTGGAGGAGCGATCCATTCAGATCCAATACCCTGTTCTTCCCTTCACACTTATATGAGCAGGGTAATGGATCTGAATGGATCGCTCCTCCAGAGAGCCAGCGCAGCACAGCCTCACAGTATTCCAGGCCATTGCTGATGACAGCACAGTCATCCTGGCTCCTTATATTTTTCTTTTTCGGGTACACTATAACTTTACTATAACGAACCCTGCTTATAATGATCCCAAAGTCAAGACCCAATTTTTTCAATGGAAATCAGCCCTACTACAATGAACGGTTAAATAGGACTGACACGGATACAACAATGGAGTTTAACCTGAGGCTAATTGAAAGATAACCTATTTTGGCGGGAATCCCGCATGACGTATGCATTTATTGCCTGAAAGGATGGCCTGACATCTGCACACAAACTCCACCGAGGCAAAGAGGAAATTAGCACGAGGCAACTGCAGCCATCATCAATCTACACTGTATAGATTATTTTCAACAATTCAAATGGGCAGTTTCTTCGTTTTTCTGATGCAGCAAATCCAACCCCACTATAGTGAACACATTGATATAACAATCTTTTCTGCCGGTCCCGAGGGAGTTTGTTATAGTGAATTTTGACTGTATTTCTCTAATTCCTTTTTATAATTTTTTATGGATTCTGCGTCAACTAGCATAGTTGGAAGGTCACTGTATCCCGACCCTAATAACTTGCCACGCTATAAAAAGTCAGCCATTTTTTCAGCACTTTGCTTGTAATGCAGGCTCTGAGCTAGAGAATTGTGTTATAATTAAGGTACCCGGTATTTGCAACTTGCAGCTTGAAGGTCACACCTGATTTCGGAGATGTCCCCTTTGTCCAGGGCCCCCAGGGCCAATATGGCCTGTTCCAGAACCGGCAGCACTTCATTCAGCTCTTGGGTGGCTTGCTGCACATTAACAGACACAAGCAAAGTTAAGCTTTGTGCAGGACTGTGTTCACAACAGTCTTGCGAATAACCTAGCTGTAGGTTTACTGATGTCAAGTAACGGCTTATAAATAAACAGCAGGATACAATTTGTTGTATTTCTTAACTGGTCTCACAAGATTGGTCTGCATGAATCATAGAATATTACAGCACAGAAGGAGGCCATTCGGCCCATTGTACCTGCACCGGCTCTTTGGAAGAGCTAACCAATCAGTCCCACTCACCCGCTCTTTCCCCATATCCTTGCAAACTTTTCCTTTTCAAGTATATATCTAATTCTCTTTTGAAAGTTGTTATTGAACCTGTTTCCACCACCCTTTCAGGCAGTGCATTCCAGACCAAAACAATTCTCTGTGTAAAAATATTTCTCATCTCCCCTCTGGTTCTTTTGCCAATTATCTTAAATCTATATGCCCTGGTTACTGACCCATCGGCCAGTGGAAACAGTTTCTCCCTATCTACACTATCAAAACCCCTCATATTTTTGAACACCTCTATTAAATCTGCCCTTAACCTTCTCTGTAGTAAGGAACAATCCCAGCTTCTCTAGTCTCTCCAAATAACTAAAGTCCGTCATCCCTGGTACCATTCTGGAAAATCTCCTCTGCACCCTCTCCGAGGCCTTGATATCCTTCCTAAAGTGTGGTGCCCAGAATTGGACATAATACTCCAGATGAAGAAGGACGTTTGACCCATCTGATCTGACCCTTCCAGAACACCCTCGCATTTCAGCATCCAGCTTCCTTTTATATGATTCCCATTGAATTGGCCTCCACCACATCTCATGGTAATCCTGTTCCAGTTATTAATTACCCTCTGCGGAAATAAAAACCTGGTTTCTGTCTTAAAATTGCATTTTACAACTCTAAACCTAGGTCCTCTTGTTCGATTGTCTCAGTGCATCCTGAAGTATTGATCAGGGTTTACTTTTAAATCCCATTTAAAATGTTATACACCTCTAATGAGTTCCCCTCTGAGCTATTTCCTCAAGGCTGAAGAGCCCTAGGCTGACTAATCCAATTGTGTTGCTGCCTGAATGACTGACTGGTCTGTGATTCCATTCTTTTCCCCCAAAGCTGTGAAATGGAATGGGGATGTAAATTCATGCATTTGATTACAACATTAAAATTATTTTAAGCACTTCACAAGCAATTGCTGGCAAATTACCAATTTATTTACAGACTTGTCAGCCAGGAAACTGGGAGAAACTTCTTTCTCTTTTCCAATACTGTCACTGGTTCTTTAACATTAATTACTTGCATTTATATAGTGTGCCTCATGCAGGGTAGTGTCTCAGAGTGCTTGATAGTGGCGGAGGGAGGGGGAGGTACGGAAGCATGGTCGAAGAGGAATGTCTTCAGGAGTGACCTGAAGACGGGGAATGAGCGGGCAAGGCTGAGGGACTGAGGAAGAGAGTTCCAGAGTATTGGGTGTAGGGCACGAAGGACAAGCCAGTCCGAGCCAGCTGAGAGTAGGTGACGGGTAGTGGATTCGGGAATAAGCAGGTCAGCAGGACCTGTTTACGCCCCGTCATCCACCTGAACAGGACCTTGAACATCTCATCCAAAGTTGCCTCCAGTACTGCGCTAGATTGTGGTTTGTTGGCAATAGTGTGTGAATGACTATGAGTGTATGAGGCTCTTGTGGACAGTGCTCACACCCTCATGCTCTAACCACTCAGTCCCATTACCTCAGCATAATCCTGCACAATCTGTGTCTCTTCAGCCATGAATGCCTCGTCCACTTTCACAATAGCTCGTATTTCCTCCACGGCCTCCGCGTCCCTTTGCAGCTTTTCCATCAGCTGCTCAACCTCCTGTAAACACAGAAGTGGCCTGAAGGTCAGAGGTCAATCCCAGGGAGGTGCAGAGGTCCCACTGACATTCACAATCCTACTACCCCAATCTATGTGCTAACCTGCACTATTGCATAAACTGCCAGTGTCTCCACTTCACCCGCTCTATCCTAGGCACCTCCACTTACCTGCTCTGTACCCAATTGACTGCCAGTATCTCTTCTCCACCCCGGGACTTGCCAGTGTCACTCTCTACACACAGCCTATTTCACTACCCTGCAAGTCACTTCTTATTGCATCTATTGAGCAGTTCTGAACCAAGCCTCAGTGGCCTGCCACTCAGGGCTAATAATAATAATCCTTGCATTTGATATAGAGCTTTTCACATCTTCTAGACTTCTCAAAGCGCTTCACAGAACATACTGTAAAGTGAATTGACTGTATAATTGGGGGTGAACTCGGCAGCCAATTGCGCACAGCAGTGTCCCACAGACATTTGAAGGGCACTATGAAAAAGTTGTTGTTGTTGTAAATGGGATTAAGAACGTAAACCCAGAACAATGCTTTCAGATTTGTCAAAGCAGCAGGACAAGAGGGCACCGATTCAGGGTTGTGCAGGGTAATTTCAGGACAGACACCAGGAAGTACTTCTTTATACAGAAGGGGAATTGACATGGTTGTGAGAAAGGGTGATTCAGATTAAAAACTCAGACATATAAGATACAGCTTGATGCTGCAATGAGAGGATGGTATATACTGGAAAGATGAGATCAAATGGGTCAAAGGAATAATAGTACGTGCAGGAAAACTACCACTAACAACAGCAGAGCAGCAGTAACAACAACAACAACAAATTACATTTATACAGTGCCTTTCACGTCTGGAAGACATCTCCAGGCACTGGCCAATGAGGGGTTTGCATCCGAGCTGCGGTTTGGGATCAGAGAGGTGAAGGGCAGGGGCATGGAGGAGGGAAGATGATCAAATGTGCGATCGAAAAGGAAGGTGTTGAGATAGGGCTTGACTGAGGCAAGGGAAGGGGATGATGCTGAGGATTCTTGGATGGAGTTCCACAAGGTGGGGGCAGAAAGCCTCCCTCTCTCCCCTTCGCTGAGCGCTGCACCCAGTCTATCTACATGAGGTACGGAGGGAGCACTGTGTGATTACCTTGGATTTCTCTTCTATCTGTGGGCCCAATGCCACGAGCTCCTCCTGCATGACTCCGATCAGCGAGGACGCCTCTGAAAGCTTTTTCAACCCGTTTTTGAAGCGATCTCTGCCGAGAGAGAACCGAAAGATATCTCACACAATTCCACAATTATATAAAAAAAATAATCCTTGCATTTGATATAGCACCTTACCATGTCATTTGAGACGCCTCAAAGTGCTTCACAGAATATAGTTTAAAGTGAATTAACTGCATTTTGTTGGGGAAATACAGCAGCCAATTGCACACAGCAGTGTCCCACAAATAGTCGTGGATTGAGTGAACAAATTAATATTTTTTAATAATTTTATTTGAAGGGATTATTAACCCCAGAAAAGCGATCTGCCAATCGACTGAGTGACAACTGGGTTCCTACTTACTTGTAGGTAAACAGAGGCGTGTTGAGTAAGGAAACTTGTCTAAGGTTTCCCAGGAATCAAACCTATATCCACTTACTTGCAAGGCAAGTGCTCTGCCCAATACGCAAGTCCATGCTCGTGGTTTTCTCCACATGAGCCATCTAGTCGAATCCTTACCCTCTCCAAATCCCTTAATATTCCTCCACTTTAAGTATCTAACTAATTTCCCTTTAAAAGAACTGATGGTCTCCAGCTCAATTGAGTGGAGTCCTGTAGCTCAGTGGTTAGAGCACTCGCTTTGCAAGCGAGAGACCTGAGTTCAATTCCAGGCAGGGCGAAACCTTGGGCAAGTTTCCTTACTCTACACTCCTAAAAATAATCCCTCCAAAACCAAAAACAATAATAATAAAAATTGTTCATTTTCAATCTACGACTGTTTGTGGGACATTGCTGTGCGCAATTGGCTGCCGCGTTCGCCCACAAATATACAGTCAATTCACTTTACAGTGTGTTCTGTGAAGCGCTTTGGGACATCCTCCCGACGTGAAAAGCGCTATATCAAATGCAAGGATTATTATTATTATTATCTTTAGCATTCACCAGAACAGTCAGACAGGACTGCAGTTTAATGCTATTTTGAAGGACATCATTTCTGACAATGCCGCTCTCCTCCAGCACTGAATTGGAGGGTCAGCCTAGACTTTGAGCAGCTCTTGAGTGAATAAATTCCTTCTAACTTCTTCCCTATTCTTCTCCCAGTATTATTACTCATTCTCCAACTAAAAAAAACTTTTTTATCAGTATCTTAAAGATCTCCAGCATATCCATCTAAATCACGTATTTTCCAGGGCATTCATTTTAATCCTATACAATTCTAGCTGCATTAAATATCACATTGAGATTGCAGATACTGTCGGTACCTGTTGTTTAGAATATCTTTCTCTTGATTGTTAACATCTTGGTGAAGTTGTGAATGAACTCCAGGTAGTTACTGGGTGTGATGTAATAGTATCGTCTCATTTCCTCCCAGAAGTGACTAGCGGCCAGCGTCACACTGTTGTGCATATCCACGCACATGTGGGTGACTGTCTGCTTCAGATTCTGCAAAACACAACAGCTGCCCAGTCAGTGTCTCGCGCCCCACACACAGGCACCAATGAGCGGCATGCTATGAAGAGGAAGGTAAGTAACAATACTAATTCTTGCATTTGAAATTAGCACACTTGCCTCGCAAGTGAGAGGACCCCACGTGATTGATTCCCATGTGGGGCGAAACGTAGGCAAGGTTCCTTACTCCACACGCTTCCGTTTACCTAGTAGTAAGTAGGAACCCAATTGTTAGTTGAATGGCAGATTGCTTTCTGAGGGCAATAATCCCTTCAAAAAAAATCAACCAGTTTGTGAGACACTCCTGTGTGCAATTGACTGCTTTCGCCCATAAAATACACAGCTAATCCACTTTACTATATATTATTTGAAGCATTTTGACATGTCTCAACATTATAAGGTGCTATATCAAATGCAAGAATTATTATTATATTGTGCTTTATCACGTCATCGAAATGTCTCAAAGCGCTTCACAGAATTTACTGTAAAGTGTAGTGAATGTATATTTTGTTGGCATACCAACACCTAATTTGCACACAGTAATGTCCCACAAACAGCCATGAAGAGATTGACCAATTTTATCGGGGGACTGTTGGCCAGGACACCGAGCAAAACTCGCTTCTCTTTTTGAATAGTACCAAGGGATCTTTAAACAAACCACCAGAACACACAAAAAGGACCTGCCTTTAAAGTCCCATCTGAAGGACGGCACCTCTGACAATGCAGCGCTACACCCAGAGCTGTATTTTAGTGTCAGCCTAGACTTCAAGCTTATACCCTGACTTAAAGCTTGAATCCAGAACCGTCATGACTCAGAGTCAACAGATATCAATTGAGCCAGGCTAGCGAGATGGAATTTCATTGCAGATAAAACAGAAACATTTGGGAAGAATTTCTTCAGACCCACAAGTTTGGGCATTTTGCAGTATGAGAGCAGAGACAGTAATAACAATCCTTGCATTTGATATAGCACCTGATCAAGTCTTCGAGATGTCTCAAAGCATTTCACAGAATATACTGTAAAATGAATTGACTGTATATTTTGTGGACGAAACTCGGTAGCAAATTGCGCACAGTAGGTCCTGCAAAAGGCAAAGATTTCTATTAAAGAACACATGTTGGTGAAGAGGAGAATTAGAGGGCACAGGATTAGGTAATTCACTCCCAGGATCAGTTATTTTATGAATAACCCCCTGTCCCCTTAATTGTAGCACTCCGAGTCCCGCGTGAAGGGTGCTGTATAAATGCAAGTTGCTGTTGTAGATAGTCTGTAACTCTACCAACTCTACTTCTCTGCCTCCACCCTGAACTCCAGCATTACTGGTGTCCTGACCGACCGACAAGTCCTGGACGAGGGCCAACTTTCTCCAACTCAACATCAGCAAGACTGAGGCCCTACTGATTGGCTCACGCCAGCGCCTCCGCACCTCGGGCGCTGGCAGCATCAGCCTCCACGGCTGCACACTCAACCTCACTAAGCCAGTCAGGAACCTGGGTATCTTGTTTGACCCTGAACTGTCCTTTCTCCCCCACATCTGCGCCATGACTGGCACTGCCTACCACCACGTCTGCAATATTGCCAGACTCCACCACTGCCTCACCCCTCAGGCTGCCGAAACCCTTACCCACGCATTCGTCACATCACGGCTCGATTACGGGAACTCCCTCCTCATCGGCCTTCCCAACTCTTCCCATCACAAGTTGCAGATCATCCAAAACTCTGCAGCTCGTGTACTCTCACGCACCAGCCTCCGTGACCCCATCACTCCCACCCTCGCCCAACTCCACTGGCTCCCCAACCCCCAGAGGAGAGTTCAAGATCCTTGTCCTCATCTTTAAGGCCATCCATGGCCTTGCCCCCCTCCTACCTCTCTGACCTGTTGACTCCCTACCAACCTGCCCGCTCCCTCCGTTCAGCGGGCTCCGGCCTGCTCCATGTCTGCCACCTGACCCGCCCTACCATCAGTGACCGGGCTTTCAGCCTCTCTGCCCCCACACTCTGGAACTCCAACCCATGGTCCCTTCACCTCGCTTCCTCCCTTGCCTCCTTCAAAGTCGGTCTCAAGACCCTCTCTTCGACCGTGCCTTTGGTCGCCCTCCCACTTCTCTGACTTCCCTCACCCCTATACCACCCCTCTCCCATGCTCGGGCCCCAACACCTAACTGTTCAGTACTTTGGAATGTCCTCCCGAGGTGAAAGGCGCTCTATAAATGGAATTTTATTGTTGTTATAACTCAATCCCCAGGATCTGCTATTTTGTGTATAAACTCCCTAACCCCTCGATTAAGATTCCAACTCGTAACTGACTTCCGGGATCCATTAATTTGTATATGTAAACTCCTGATAATTCGTCACTCCTAGGGAAATGGGCTCGGTGACTAGTTATCCCGAGTGAGGCAAACGTATAAATACATAAATAAATGCAGCCATTTACAGGATATTTACAGCATGATGGCTTAGAGACAAGTTAAACTAGAGTTGAATTATCAGGTGTTTCCTGTATTTTCCACTCCCCAGTTCCACCCCCCCCAGTTCCATCCCCACACCCAAACAATTCTCAATTAGATTAATTAACCCTGTGAAGTGTTATCTATACTAATAAAGACAAAATGTCTGTGTGTCTGTCAATAACGTAATAACCGATTGATGTAGAGACATGATTTATAACCCTAAGTGGAGTCCTGTAGCTCAGTGGTTAGAGAACTCGCCTTGCAAGCGAGACACTTGGGTTCAATTCCGGGCCTAGCGAAACCTTGGGCAAGTTTCCTTACTCCACACGCCAAATAATAATCCCTCCAAAACAAAAATAAATTGGTCATTTTCAATCCACGACTGTTTGTGGGATACTGCTGTGCGCAATTGGCTGCTGAGTTTCGCCCACAAATATACGGTCAATTCACTTTACAGTCTATTCTGTGAAGCGCTTTGAGACGTCGAAAAGACGTGAAAAGCGCTATATCAAATGCAAGGATTATTATTATTATTATCTCATTGGAAAGGTCTTTTTGAGAGAGGGTTTTTTGGGGAAGGGGGGGTAAGAGGGGAAAGGTTATATAAGCGTGTGTGTGTGAGAGAGTGAGTGAGTCACACACTGCACGTGTGTCTGTCTGCCAATAACGGAATAACCGTTTGACATTATATACCTCATCGATTTATACCTCATCGAAAAGGTCTTGCATGGGGGAGTGCCTTGGGTATTTTTTGGGGTGGGGGGGCATCTCCTATCGTTGATGAGCTATGACCTAAACAAGCTCATTACATATGTATGACAGTTTTGCTTAAGGTGTACACACAGTGTTTATGGCATTTTAAATGGTATCACTGAAATCTACATTTTATATTGGATCCTTGGTTGCAAGCGTCGCTGCAATGAGTACGGCTAGGTATATATATATAAAGTTCTCAAATCCCTCCATTAAATTCTGGTCTATAACTCATTCCCAGTATCTGTTATTCTCTCTCTCCATATATATATATATATATACACACACACTCCCTAATCCGTTGATTACATTCCAGTTGTAACTCACTCTCAGGGATTTGAAAAGTGAAAAGCACTATATCAAATGCAAGGATTATTATTATTAATTATTCTATATATAATCTTCCAAATCTCTTAATTAGATTCCAGCCTGTAACTCACTCCTAGGTTTTAGCGGGACCTTCAGATAAGAAGATATCTCTGCTATCCTCCCTCCAGAAGTTGCATGTTTTACAGTAGAGAGAAGCTAATTGCTGGTGCTCATTGAGTTGTTTCATCTCCTACTCTCATACATACATACACACATACTCTGCATCGGATCCAGAGCATGTATCTGTTTATCATAGTCACACATACCAGCCTGCAGAGAGCACCAGGCTTCTCTCAGTCACACACACACCACAAAATAAGACATTCTGACCATTAAATCTATGTTTGAGTGTTTAGCCTCATGAGCCTCCTAGTCTAATCACACACTCTATTCACTGTCTATTCCCTGTCCCCCTCCAAACTCATTAAAAAATACCTCCTCTACAAGCATCTATCTAACTCCCCCTTAGAACAATTATGGACTCAACAAGGGTTTGTGGCAGAGAATTCTCGCTGCCCAGTGTGTGAAATGTGGCAGGTCCACAGCCAGGTCTGTCCATGGGTTTCTCTCCTATCAGTGGAGGGCAAGATTCTCAAGAGGACTTGGCTTCTCACATTCACACCACCTTGGAGAGAAGACCTGGCTTCTCACACTCACCACCCTGGAGAGAAGACCTGGCTTCTCACACTCACCACCCTGGAGAGAAGACCTGGCTTCTCACACTCACCACCCTGGAGAGAAGACCTGGCTTCTCACACTCACCACCCTGGAGAGAAGACCTGGCTTCTCACACTCACCACCCTGGAGAGAAGACCTGGCTTCTCACACTCACCACCCTGGAGAGAGGACCTGGCTTCTCACACTCATTTACCGCGCTGGAGAGAGGACCTGGCTTCTCACACTCATATACACACACATACCGCCCCGGAGAGAGGACCTAGCTTCTCACACTCACCACCCTGGAGAGAGGACCTGGCTTCTCACACTCATATACACACACACACAGCCCTGGAGAGAGGACCTGGCTTCTCACACTCATATACACACACACTCACCGCCCTGGAGAGAGGACCTGGCTTCTCACACTTATATACACACACACTCACCGCCCTGGAGAGAGGACCTGGCTTCTCACACTTATACACACACACACCGCCCTGGAGAGAGGACTGGCTTCTCACACTCACACCAGGCTCCTGCTGATACCTTGTTGGCATATCCAAAGTCCACGTTGGTGAAGAGGTTGTTGGCCACGCTGAGCAGGGCTTCCCTGGACCACATGTCATACCAATCTATGGTGCAGCAGTTGATTAGCGACGGGTTCATACGGCACCTCTGGCGGAAGAGCGTGCCCACGGGGCTGGTCGCTAGCACCACATGGAGCTTGACGGATACACGCTGGCAAAGAGACAACAAAATCTTTCAATACACTTGCACACAGACAACGAGTCACTGGAATAAAGACAGAACATTCAGTCTAGAGCACCTTATAATACTGAAACGGCTCAACGCCTTTCACAATGAACTGCAGTCAAGTGTAGTGAATAAACAACTTATAGCCAAATGTAGTAGTCTAATAAGGTCAAACAAACAGCCATGAATCTGGAGGACACTGGGAAAAATTCCTTTCTCTTTTCCAACAGCGTCGCAAGATCTTTAACATCTGCCTGAACAGGCGGATGGGTGCTGGTTATAACATTTCATCTGAAGGTCGGCATCTCCAACAATGCAGTGCTCTTCCCGTATTGTGCTTGTGTTAGCCTGGACAGTGAGCTCAGATCCTGATGTGGGGACTTACTGAATAGAGGGGGGGCCTGTTACCTGCAGGAAAAAGGCAAACACAGCTTCCCGTTGGTCCGATATATTGGCTTCGATGGCAGAGTTCTTCAGATGTGTGATGATGCTGTTTAACTCCTCAGTGTCAAACAGGTCCGGAACCTCCCCCGAGTTCAGGATACAGTTCACGTCCTCGAGAATCATGTCCTGCATAAATAGGAGAGAAAACCATGGACTAGCTGTGGACCTGTCGTACTTTAGACACAGGGTAGCTGGATTTCTCTGCCACAAACCCTTATTGAGGCAGAATCCATAATGTTAACCAGTAAAGGGCTTGTGGGGGGGGGTGCGAGAGAGATTATACTAGAAGGCTCATGAGGGCTAAACACCTAAATATGGATCTAATGAGTTGAATGTCTGCCAGCATCTTCTGTCCGTTTTATTTAGAATTTTATTGTTCTTGTTCAGACTGTTGCTGAATTCAAGATGGGCCAAATTTGGCCCCAAGGACTGTCCCTGGAAGATTAGGGATGTATGGTCACCTTCCAGTAGGGAAGCTAGCACCAGCCATGGGAAAGAGGAGGGGATATGGCTTAGAGTAGAGCATATCATTGGAGAAATAGCACTATCAGAGACGTGATGGATTGAATGGCTCTGTAGCCCTGCAAACCCAATAATACCTTGACTAGATCGGCATCGGACAAGAGGAGGACGGTGCTCTGTCCTTGGAGGCCTGTCTTTTTGAAGACTTTCTTCAGATCCTCCCTGAAGTCAAAGTGACTGTAGTGCTGGTCCACAGCAAGTCTGAAGAGCTCACAGCCAGCGATCTGGCTGCCCAGTGAGCAGGAGGTTATCTTCCCCGTGCTATCCACACCAGCCTGGGCACAGAGTTACAACCAGAAATCAGAATTTCTAAATTCCCATATAATAAACCTGTATAATAATTGGTATAGCGCCTTTCATGTCAAGAGGACGTCCCAAAAAGCTTCACAGGATACACTGTAAAATGCAATTACGGTATTTGGTATTTGGTGGATGAACTTAGTGGCCAATATGTCCCACAAAGAGGTGAATGACCAATTTTATTGGGGGTGGGTGGGGGGGGGGATTGTTGGTCAAGACACAGGAAGAAAATCCCTTCTTTTTTCGAATAGCACTATGGGATTTTGAATATATACCCGGACAAGCAGACTGAACCTCGGTTTAATATCTCATCTGAAGGAAGGCACCTCTGACAATGCAGCATATCCCCAGCGCTGTGTTGGGAGTGTCAGCTACAACTGTATGAGTTCCAGGTAAGGTGGTATGTTAAAACAATGACAGATGAAGGAGGTGGCATATTGGATCAATGGGGTGGAGGAGCAACAACTTGTATTTATATGCCTGCCTTCAAATATTGCAATGATGTGGGGGGGGTTGGGGGAAGGGGGGGGTTGTTGGATGGCAGGAGGTGATAAATTGAATAGATGAGAGGAGAGAATGGAATTGAGGGGACAAAACCATAAACACCGCACCAGCATCATGTGTCCTCCAGGCAGTCTTAACACTCTGGCTGCTCTTGTGATGTGCTCGATTGCTTCTTTGAAGAACATCAGTAAAGAGGTCTGTAAAACACACACGTGTACAACACATTACCACAACACATTACCCTTGTCTTCCCTAACTGCAAGAGACTGTGGAACTGTGGTATTTACAAAGTGACTTGAAACATTTGTCACCATGTTACAGTGTGCAAAATATCCAAAGCCATTTGATTTGTAAGATTCGCAAAACAGCAAGTTGTAAATCCCCAAATTGGTTGGGGGTGTGGGGGTAGGTGGATGGGAGGTAGCTGGGTGAAGAGAGGAGGCTGAGTGGGGGTGGGGTCAGCGGTTGGGCAAAGAGGGGGAGGTCAGGCTCAGTGGCTGGGGAGGGGGCACAAGCAGGCCATACCGTGGTGGTGGCTGGTTGGGAGCGGATGTAGTATTCCTCCAGTACCGTGGCCAACATCTTCATGTCCGAGATCCTATCGTAGATGCGGTTTTTCCTGTCGGTGTGCATGTCCAGAAAGTCGCCAAAGAGGAAGGCTTCGGATATCAACTTCTCAGGGGTCCAGCTCACCTGTGAGAACAACCACCACCCACAGCACATACACACATTCAATCATGGTGCGAAAAATTAGGCAAGTTTCCTTATTCCAAATGCCTCTGTTTAGCCAGCAGTAAGTAGGAACCTGTTTGGCAGATTGCTTTCCAGGGTGGGGGGAATGGTTAGTGTGTCAGCCTGGCACAGTGGTAGCGCTCTTGCCTCTAAGTTAGAAGGTCGTGTGTTCAAATCCCACGTCAGGACTTGGAATCACATTTTCTAAGTTGACACTCCAATATAGTGCTGGGGGGAGGGGTGTTGCTTTGTCGGAGGTGCCGTCCTTCAGATGAGACATTAAATCGAGCTCCCATCTGCCTGTTCAGGTGGACGTTAAAGAACCCATGGCACTAATCAAAAGGAGTTTCTCTCTCCTAGTATCCAAGCCAACAATCCCCCAAAATAAAGATTGGTCAATCGCTCCATGGCTGTTTGTGGGACATTGCTGTGCGAGACACTTTGAGGTGTCTCAATGATGTGATAAGGCTCTATATCAAATGCAAGGATTATTATTATTATTACTACATGTGGCCTCTGGGACCTCAACATATGTAACTAGTGGAGTGCCACAAGGATCAGTGCTTGGGCCTCAGCTATTTACCATTTACATCAATGATCTGGACGAGGACATTGAATGTAATGTGTCTAAATTCGCGGATGACACTAAACTAGGTAGCAGAGTGAGCTCTCAGGATGATGCAAAAAGATTGCAACAAGATATAGATAGGCTAGGGCAGTGGGCAAGTAGGTGGCAGATGGAATTCAATGTTAGCAAGTGTGAAATTATTCACCTAGGTAGCAAGAATAAAAGAACAGATTATTTTCTGGAAGGGGAGAAGTTAGATAGAGTTAGTATTCAAAGGGATTTGGGTGTCCTTGTACACCAGTCCCAAAAAGTTAGTTTGCAGGTGCAGCAAGCAACTAAGAAGGTAAACGGCATGTTAGCGTTCATTGCAAAAGGTTTAGAATATAAGAGTAGGGAAGTCTTGCTGCAACTGTATAGGGCTTTGGTGGGACCGCACCTAGAGTATTGTGTGCAGTTTTGGTCTCCATATTTAAAAAAGGACATACTTGCCCTAGAGGGGGTGCAGCGTAGATTCACTCAGTTAGTTCCTGGGATGAGGGGACTGACCTATGAGGATAGGCTGAATAAATTAGGGCTGTATTCTCTAGAGTACAGAAGAATTAGGGGAGATCTTATTGAAACTTATAAAATTCTTAAAGGGCTGAATAAAGTAGACACAGAGGGTCTGCTTCCCCTGGTAGGAGAATCTATAACCAGGGGTCACAGTCTTAAAATTAAGGATCAGCCTCTTAGAACAAAGTTGAGGAAACATTTCTTCACTCAGAGGGTAGTGAACTTATGGAATTCACTACCCCAGAAGGCTGTAGATGCTCAGTCCTTGAACATTTTCAAGGCTGAGACTGATAGATTCTTGAAAAATAGAGGGATTAGGGGATATGGGGATAGGGCAGGTAATCAGAGTTAGGTGAGAAGATCAGCCATGATCTTATTGAATGGCGGAGCAGGCACGAAGGGCCGAATGGCCTACTCCTAATTCTTATGTTCTTATGCCTGTTAGTCACCTGTTAGCAACGTCAGCAGAGAATTCAACCACCAGGGAATTCCAGAGCCGACCCACGAGAGGTCTATGATATCCCCACTTCTTCTCACCCCCTACCCCATTACCAGCGCTCTCCCTGACAGGTCTTAACATACAAACAGAAAGAAAATCATCGCCTTGCTCATCCACAGGTCTGTCTCTGCAGACCAGTCACTGAGGGCAGGGATTCTTCCCACTCCGCTCCTATTAACCGTGCAGCCAAAGCCCTAATGGATAGGGAGGTCCTATCTGGATAAGTGACAGGAAGTTTTCCAGCGAGCAATATCAATGGCAAGCTATGTGATTTTTGCTGGTTAGACTCCAGCAGTTACCCCAACGGTCATGTGGTCCCTAGGGCACACATGGAAAATTTCTATATGTACATGGCATACCAGATGAAAGTAGCATTCAAACTCTAAAGCAGAAATGGCCAACTTGTGGCCTGTGGGCCACATGCTGTACACTTGACCATTTTATGAGTGTATATTGTGGCCCATATGCTGCCCATGGGCCATAGGTTGGCCATTCCTGGTCTCAAGCATGGTAAAGGGTTTCCACAAGTCACACACCAGCTGCCAAAAAAAAATTCACCCTGTCATAGTTTATGTACAGCACAGGACCCCTTCATGTTGATGCTAGTGCTAGCTCCTTTACTGTAATTCTCTTTAGGAATCCCTTGCTCCTTCCTCCATCGTGCCAGAGTCGGCGCTAACCTCTTCAGGTATTTGTTCAGGTTTCTTTGATGTGGATTTTCCAAATGAGGTGAAACAACAACTTGCATTTATATAGCGTCCTTCACGGTGGTAGTGTCCCAGAGCGCTTCACAGTGGCGGAGTCTGAAAAAGCTACTGGTTCTGTCGATGTTTTCGTGATAAACTTAAAAAAAACTGAAAAAAGGCTCACAACCATTCACTGCGCAGTGTCCTATTAAGCTGCTTTGTCAGCCTGCCCTGCAGGTGGCGCTCATGTGTTACCAGAAGTCCAGCCTCTGCCGGATGCCAGTAGGGCACGATGTGATATTGTGGTCCAGGGTATCAGATTCAACACTGAAAGGGCCAGTGTTCGGGACATCTCACTCAGAAATCTACAGGTAGTGAAGAGAACTGATACAACAAACTGTTCTTTTGGGACTGCAAGTGTGCAAGCAAACATTTCGGGAGGGGGTTGCGGGGGGTCTGGTGAATGAACCCTCACCTCGGTTTCTACAACCTCCTGACGGTCATTTCCTGGAATACCGGCCTGATTCCTGTTTCCTGCCCGCCCAGCCCTACCATTTGGATAAGCTTTCAGCCACTCTGCCCCCGTACCCTGGAGCTCCATCCCAGAATCCTTCCACCTCACTCCCCACCTGGACCTTTAAAGCCAAGTTTTAAGGCAATCCTTTTCAACCACGCTTTGGGTCAACCCCTTCCTCAGTTTCCCCCGCCCCCAACTTGGGCTTCCAGTTGACTCTGTGAAACACTTTGAGATGTCCTCCCACCGAAATGATGCTGTACAAATATAAGGTTGTTGTTGAACCACATGTTGAGAAACAAACTGAGGCAACATTACTTACATTGAGATCAAATGGGCTGATCTGAACCTTCATTTGAACCTGTTTTGTTACAAGGGAAACATTTATTTCTAATATTTCCTTAACTGCATTTAAAGTGACCTTCATCCCTCCATCTAGTACCTGGATATAAATTGATGGCAGCTAACCTTAAAGTAGTTGTGCAGCTCATCTGAGAGGAACTGATAGAACATGTATCTATCTGGGACGTCAACAAGCCGGTCGTGGAAGCACCTGGCTGCTTCATGCACAAACAGTTCAATCACTTTGACTTTGGAGACGATGACAGACTCGTTGGCTTGCAGCAAACCCTGAATTACCTGTAGCAATGGAACAAACACGTCACATGCTTAGAGAGGCAGTAACATGCTACACACACCACATGCTTCAAAGTAGTCAGTAACATACTAAAATGAATACACACTCATTTAATAAAATGCTACACACATCACACGCTTAGAGCAGTCAGTAACATGCTACTGGCATCACACAGATTCAGATGAAGATCAGACCATGTCCATACCTATCAAGCTCTCTTTGTAAGATGTTTGATGCTTCCTCTGATCCCTTTAGTCCACAAAATACAGTCAACCCAATTCACAATGTATTCTGTGAAGCACTTTGAGACATCTCAATGACGTGATAACGTGCTATGTCAAATGTAAGGATTATTATTATCCCAGAGACCACGCAATTTGATGTCAACTCCAAATTAAATTACTTTACACTGGGTCTGCAAATCCATCATTAATGTATACTAAGAACATGAGGTGTTCCATGCTTAGAACGATCAGTAGCATGCTACACCTATACATACCATAAGACGTAGGAGCAGGAGTAGGCCATTCGGCCCCTTGAGCCTGCCCCACCATTTATAAGATCATGGCTGATCTTCTAACCTAATTACATTTACCAGTCCTATCCCCATATCCCTTAATCCCTCTATCCTTTAGAAGGACTGAGCATCCACAGCCTTCTGGGGTAAAGAATTCCACAATTTCACTACCCTCTGAGTGAAGAAGCGTTTCCTCAACTCAGTTCGAAAAGGCTGACTCTTAATCTTGAGACTATGACCCCGAGTTATAGATTCTCCAACCTGGGAAACAGTCTCTTGGCATCTACCCTTTCAAGACCCTTAAGAATCTTATAGGTTTCTATAAGATCACTTCTAATTATTCTATATTCTAGAGAATATAGGCCTAGTTTACTCAACCTCTCCTCATAGGTCAACCCCCTCATCCCAGGAACCAACCTAGTGAATCTACGCTGCACCCTCTCTAAGGCAAGTATGTCCTTTCTTAAATAAGGAGACCAAAACTGCACACAATATTCTAGGTGGGGTCACACCGAGGTCTTATACAACTGCTGCAAGACTTCCCTACTCTTGTACTCTAACCCTTTTGCAACGAACGTCAACATGGCATTAGCTTTCCTAGTTGCTTGGAGTGATACAAGTGAATCTTGTATATATAAGTATATCTTTGAAGGTGGCAGGACAGGTAATAATAATAATAATCCTTGCATTTGATATTGAACTTTTCACGTCTTCTAGACGTCCCAAAGCGCTTCACAGAATATACTGTAAAATGAATTGACTTTACAATTCAACCTGTAACCTGTTAAAAAAAGCATACGGGATACTAGGCTTTATAAATAGGGGCATAGAATACAAAAGTCAGGACATTATGATGAACCTTTATAAAAACTGTTTAGGCCTCAGATAGGGAACTATGTTCAGTTCTGAGCACCACAATTTAGGAAGAATGTCAAGGCATTAGAGAGGGTGCAAAGGAGGTTTACCAGGATGGTACCAGGAATGAGGAACTTCAGTTATGAGGAGAGGCTAGAGAAGCTATGATTATTCTCCTTGGAGCAGAGAAGGTTAAGAGAAGAATTAATAGAAGTTTTCAAAATTATGAGGGGATTCAATAGGGTGAACATGGGGAAACCAATAAAAAAACCTAAAAAAATCCTAATCTCTGCTGGAGTAGAGATCAGCGCTGTCATTAGTAAAATATGGTATTCTATTAAGAGAGAAGTAGGACAAGTTTGCAGGGCTATGGCCTCCTTCTGTGCTGTATGGTTCTATGATATACATCCAGAGAGGTCAATAACATGCTATGACTAGTGAGTAACACACAACATGTATCATACACCGAGAGTGGTCAGTAATGTTCCACACACATTGCTACACTCTTGACAATGAAGTGCTCCCCCAGTATTGCACTGGAGTGTCAGTCTGGACCAGTCCCTATATGAGGCTTGAATTCTGACGCAGAATTCAGAGCTTGACCAACAAAACCAAAATGACACTTTGGTATTATTCATACGCAAGCTTTGCCGGTGTGTGTCGACAGCCTGATCAATAAAAATGGCGAGTTGTGGCTCCCTTACCTTGGCCAGATCGCGGAGGTTGAAGGTATAGTGGGGCTTCACCGGAGTGGGCAGCATGTAGTGGCACATCTTGTAGTAAAGGGCGATAGAGGCCGACACCAGTGATTTCCTGCAGCGTTGCACGTCACGCATGAATTCACGGCTCTCCAGGTAACAGCCAACTTGTACCTGAGGGAACAACCATCACAACACTTCCTAGTTTACACTTTAGGGTTAAAGGGGACGCTGAGCAACAAGCCCAAATTAGGTGAGTTCAAATCCACAGAAATCAGTCTCTGGATATAAAGTACAGTGCTCTGGTCAGGCCACATCTGGAGTAGCGCGTATAGCTCCAGCTGAGCCGCACCTGAATGATTGTGTATAGCACTGATCAGCACCTAGAGTACTGTGCGCTACTGTGTAAAATTCTGGTTAGATCGCACCTGGCAAACTGCATTGAGTTCTGGTCAGGCTCGACCTGCAGTACAGTGTACAGATTGGGTCACCTTGCACCTTGCAAACTTGTGTCCATTCCGAGCTGCCGCAATATAAAGAGGCTATCCGGAGCCAGATGTAGTACAGAGGAAATCAACAAAGCTAATTTCCAGTGTAAGAAGGATGAGAGACCATTTGATAAGCCTCAAAAAGTGATTTCTCTTGCTTTTACTCTGTGTCTAACCTGTGCTGTAGCTGACCTGGGACGATTAGATGGGGCAGCGTAAAAGGAGCTTTACTCTGTATCTAACTTGTGCTGTAACTGACTTCAGAATTTGAGATAGGATACTACATTATTGTGAACTCTGATTTCTTACCTGGAAGATATGCTGTAGCGAGCTGGTAGCAGGTTGAGGCAGGGCAAACATGCAGAAGTGTTTAAGAAGCCGTGGGCTGATTTCATTCCTTCCGCCACCGGGGGGCGCACAAGCTGCAACCATGGTTACATTTTCCACATGCTGCAAGGGTCCAGACAGTGAGATACAACAACAACAACTTGCATTTATATAATACCCTTCATGCGGGGTAGCGTCCCAGTGCCCTTCACAGTGGCGGAAGCTGACACCGAGGCAGGGGGAAAGGAAGGGGGAGGTTGACCTTAAGCGGAGGCAGTGGGTGGTGGAGTGGAGGGTAAGCAGGTCGGATAGGTATGGAGTTTCAAGAGAATTAGGTGATTTGAAAACGAGAGAGATACAGTGAGACCATCCCACCCAGGAGAACCAGGAATATCTATCACTCTGTACTTTCAAAAAAAAACAAGAGGAGTACAATGCATTGGGGCAAAAGAAAATTTACAATTTATTATCTATACTAATAAAGACACAGTGTCTGTCTGTGTATCCACCAATAACGCAATAAACGATTGACGTATAGAGATATGATTTATATCTCATCAGAAAGGTCTTTTATGCATCAGTCATCTGCATTTTTTGGGAGGGATCTCCTATTGTTGAGCTATACTTAAAAAATGCTTCAAATCAGCTCCAAAATATGAGGTATTCATGATTTCTGCAACAAAGTAGTCAGAGGAAAGCACACACCTTTCTAAAGAGATACATCTATACTAATATATTCTGCAGCAAAAGTATGGCTTTTTTTTGGCCTTGCACTAACTCAAGGAACTGCCGAATCACACAGTAAACCCCTTTGGTGAGCATAGCTTTGATAGGAGTCCTCCCAAAAGGAGTCCTCCCACAGGAGTCCTCCCAGCTGAGTATAAAGACAAAATGTCTGTCTGTCTATCTACATTCCATATTTGATCCTTTATTAATTAGAGAGAAATACCCATTGCTCTCTAATTAATAATAATCCCTGCATTTGCTATAGCGCCTTATCACGTCGTTGAGACGTCTCAAAGGACTTCACAGCAAATAACAACAACATCTCAACACATTTCTTCCACTTTCTGCCACACATCCGTTCCCTGACCAGGACAGCTTTTTTCCACCTCCGCCACATTGCCCGCCTCCCTCCATACCTTACAACCTACGCAGCTGAAACGCCTTCGTCGCTTCTCGGCTGGACTATTCCAATGCCCTCCTCGCTGGTCTCCCTAGCTCCACCATACACAAAATCCGATTCAAAACTCTGCTGCACAGAACTCTGAACCCCCATGAAACCAGTCCTTGCCAGGCTTCACTGGCTCCCAATCAATTTCAAGATCCTCTCACTCGTTTTCAAATCACTTAATTCCCTTGCACCTCCCTATCTATCCGACCTGCTTACCCCCCACTGCAACGCCTGCTGCCTCCGCTTGGCTGGCTCCGGCCTCCTGTTCATCCCTCGTGCCCTCCCTTACACCCTCCGGTGGCCCCCGGAACTCTGGAACTGTCTCCCTTCAATCCCTCTGCCTTGTCCCCCTCCCTCCTCACCTTCAATCCTGCCTGAAGATCTTCCTTCTTGCTTATGGTCACCTCACCCCTCCCTCTCCCCCTGGCTCATTGTCAGATTCCGCCACTGTGAAGCTTTCCGGGAAGTTACACTGCGTGGAGGGCGCTATATAAATGCAAGTTGTTGTTACTGACATGGATGCAGGGATTAACCCTTTTCACTCACTTGGACACTGGCATAATGAATAGTGCTTACCATAGGGATACGGGGAGATTGCTCATACACAGGGAGTAAATTGCTCATTGGGGTACAAGCATAGGGAATAACAGACCTCACTCACAGGATCACAGGCATAGGAAGGTTATCCTCACTCACCAGAACACAGACAGACAGAGTAACAGTCAATCTTCACTCACTGGGACTTGGACATGCCCAAGCAATAGTCTCCCTCCCTCACTGGGACACAGACAGCATGATGATATAAATGGTAAGGCGTGTGACAAATCACAGCATGTGACAAATCACAGGATGTGACAAATCCCATCACTTCATGACACCTCCTTATCTTTCCGATCTCCTTTCTCTCCACTCACTACCCGCTGCCTCCGCTCGGCTGGCTCTGGGCTCCTGCTCATCCCTCAACCCATTCGCTCCACCATCGGCAGCTACGCTTTCAGCCACTATGCCGCAAAGCTTTGGACCGCTCTCCCCCAATCCCTCCCCTCCTTGCCTGCCCTTTCCCTCTTTCAGATCACAACTGAAGACCTTCCTCTTCGACTGTGATTATGTTTACCTATTCCATTCCCCGGCTCTATCTCAGGCTCGCCACTGTTAAGCACTCCAAGACATTGCCCCTTGTGAAAGGTGCTATATATTGTTGTGTTGTTAGTAGTGACAAGTTAAACCAGCATCGAGTTATTAGGAGTTTACACAATATCAGTAAAGATATCAGATCATATCAGATGCAACAAATACGATTACTGTAGTGGCACAGCTAACGTACCTTCCACAGCAGCTTTTTAGTGTCGAAGAAGCCTCCAAGCTCCAGGAACTGACGGATCAGCTCGAGGGGTGGCTGATCTCCGTACGGCCCTGGCGTCGGCATGTTCAAGTCATCAACAAACACGATCATCTGAGAGCCATGCAGGACAGAGCAGAGGTGTGAGAAAAGGAGGGAGGGAGGGAGGGAGGGAGGGAGGAACTAGCAAGCCACCCAAACTTTTGACAAAATGTTCTTACAGACTGAGAATGGGTAGAATCTTTGTTTCCAGATCTTTGATCTCCCTCTCTTTTACAAAGCCCTCTATTCCCATATCTCTGACTCAATCTGGGTTCCCATGCATTCTCTGTAAAGCTCTTTGAGAGGTACTCTTATGTGAAAGGTGATATAAAAATTATAATTATTGCCTAGCACCACTTATCCTCACTCCAGATAACAGCCTCTTCACTTATCTACATTGAGATGTGGATGCATGGACACAACAAAGACCTGATAACCGCATTATTTTCAGATCCACAATGGGGTCGTTCCCAATTAATGTGGACATCAGGCTGTATACTGTGATCTGAATGTGATTTGGAGACAGGCACTGTGAGTGAGTGAGAGAGTGAGTGAGTGAGGAGACCTGCGTGGGAGTTATGACTTTTGCCTCACCTTCCTTTGTTTTGGAGGACGGAGCACATCTTGGCCTTTCTTCACAAGATTGTTAAGGATCTGGGCTTGTGTTCGGGCGGTAGTGGTCTGCGTGTTGAACTGTACCTTGGCGATCACTAAGTCCATCTTTTCTAGCAAGACATGAACAGGATTTCTCGCACTCAGCTCACTGTTCTGTTGTCGGCAATCTGCTCAGATCAAATAGGAGCAAGATGAGGTCAATCCTGAGTCATGGGTTTAACTGAGTAATTCTGGATTATTCTGCGCATCAATTCAACTAGATGGTTAGTGTCAGCTTGGTTCTCACAGTCTCACTCTGGGCTCTGGGTTAAAAGTTTGTGGGCTCAAGCCCTCCATCCAGACATTGAGCTTACCGTGTAGGCTGGCACACCAGTGCAGTACTGGGGGTACACTGAATTATCCAACTTGCTATCTTTCAGATGAGACATTAAACCAAGTTCCCGTCTGTTTTTTCAGGCTGTTTAGGCTGTTCAGTGGCACTAATATTGAAGTGGGTTTGTGGTCAACAATCCTCCAAATAGATTGGTCACTTATTTCATGGAGTGTGAGGGACGTTACTGTGGTTAAAATAGTAATAATAATAAACCTTGCATTTGATATAGCGCTTTTCACATCTTCTAGACGTCTCAAAGCGCTTCACAGAATATGCTGTAAAGTGAATTGACCATATATTTGTGGGCGAAAAGCAGCAGCCAATTGTGCACAGCAGTATCCCACAAACAGCTGCTGCTTTTGACTATAAGTACACTTGGAAATGATTACCACTGAAATGCTATCTCTATCATTGTTTCAACTCTCAACCATGTTTGTGTCACGTTCTGAACCTCTCGAACACACTCCTCGCTGGTCTCCCCAGTTCCACCATCCATTAGGTTCAGCTAATCCAAAATATGGCTGCGTGTACTCTCACCCGCACCAGACCTGCCAGGATTGTTGAGACGTCTCAAGCACTTCACAGGTTATACTGTAAAGTGGTTTTGATTGTGTATTTTGTGGGCGAAACGCGTCAGCCAATTTTGTTCAAGACCTGCCCAAAACTGACAAACAGCCCAGAATGAACAGTTTTTGTAATTAATCTTTACTGCTCATCCACATATCTATAGGTAGTCTGTGCTGCAATGTGCGGAGGCCATATTCTTTACTAGTGTTTCTTTTCCTCCTCCTGGATCTCTTTCTTTCTCTCCACCACCCCCACCGGTAAGATTATAAAGTGATCCAAAGAGAATTGGATTTAGGAAGTTTTATGGAATGCCTTCATGGTTATTAAACTTTTATGCCTTTCAATAACAATGCTTGCAATTGATGCGGTGCTTGAAGTGTCCAAACATCTCAATGCTCTTCTTGCTACCAAGTTAGTGACGATATTCGTGGGCAAACGCAGCAGCCATTATAAGAACAGCAAGCTCACATGCACAAAGCCATGAAGTGAATAACTTCTTTACCTGGAGTCCTGTTGGCCAAGATATTGGAGAAAAAACTTTTTTCCAATAGTATGGTGGAATCTTTAATGCCCCGGGCAGATGAGAACTTAATCTACCATTTCATCTGAAAGATGTCCTGATCAGAAATGTACACAGTATTCATACATAATAATAATAATCCTTGCATTTTATACAGCACCTTATCACATCATTGAGATGCCTTAAAGCGATTCACAGAATATATAGTGGAGTGAATTGACTATATTTTGTGGGAAAAACGCTGCATCCAATTGCGCGCAACTGGATGATAATAATATAAACACAATAGAGCTGTACACAGCATTCGTATTGTGGCCCGAGCAGGATGTGGTTTGCTGAACAGCTCAGCAGAGGTTGTGTGCTGTTGCTGCTGATGACAATTCTGTGCAGGAAAAGCTGTCACTTTCACCAGTGTTAGCTTTCCCCCTGAGTGGAGTGTCACACTCCACTCCACCACTTTCACACTGCTCTCTTCTCAGCCCCCTGAGGAATACCAGCAGCAGCTCGTGGTTTGAATTGCAAATGAAAAAGGAGCCCTGGCGGCACCCATCCCTTCCCATTACACCAGCCACTTGCACTTGCTTCTTATTAGATACAACTTGCCCTGTTTTATAAAGATCACGACTGCTGCAGTTGGATTGGAACACAAACAAGGTCAGGCTTTATTAAGACGATGACATTCAGTTAAATTAGCTGTGAATATTCATAATTTGCCCACAAAACACACAGCCAATTTACTTTACAGTATATTCTGTAAAGCGATTTGAGATGTCTCGAAGATGTGATAAGGCACTATATCGAATGCAATGATTATTATAATTATTATTATTGATATTGTTATTATTATTATTATACCTGCTGCAGGAGAAATGGTAACAGAGATTCTCCTGTACTAACAAGCTGTAATTACAGGGACGGTCTGCAGCTCAAGGTTTCTTCCATGAGTTACTTTCTTGTTTGGGAAAAGGTCAACATTTTATTACAGAATATAAAGGATGGATCAGAAAATAACATTTAACCAGGAGCCTCTCATTAGAGCTTGGAGACATCTCGACGTCACAAATAAACAAAACACTAGATCTTTCTTAATGAGACATTAAATCAAGGTCCCATCTGCCTATTCCGGTTAAAGATGTTAAAGATCCTGTGGCGCTATTCAAAAAGAGAAGGGAGCTTCTCCCAGTGTCCTGGCCAACAATCCCCCAAATAAAATCAAGGGGTTCGGGTGGGGAAAGGGTTTTATATACAGTGCGTAGAATAATGGGTCTCTGGGAGAGTCACAGGTTGGAATCACATCAAAGGATGTAACTACTTCATTCATTTGAGACAGCCTGGCACAGTGTTAGCGCTCTCGCCTCTGAGTCAGAAGTATGTGGGTTCAAGCCCCAGGTCAGGACTTGGAATTGCATAGTCTAAGCTGACATTCCAATGCAGTGCTGGGGGGTGTTGAATTGTTGAAGGTGTCGACCTTCGGATAAGACGTAAAACCGAGGTCCCATCTGCCTGTTCTGATGGATGTTAAAGATCTCATGGTACTACAGTATTCAAATAGAAGAGGGAGCGTCTCCCAGTGTCCTGGCCAACAATCCCCCAAATAAAACTGGTCACTCGCTCCATGGCTGTTTGTGGGACACTGCTGTGCAAAACTGGCTGCCACACTTCGCCTACAAAATACACCTTTTGTTTGGTCAGCTGAATGTCTGGCACATGTGGAAATCCATCACCATACTTACGAGTATCCAAATCAGTACACACTCGAGTCTAACCAGCTAAAATTGGATAGCTTGCCATTGATATTGCTATCTGGCAAGCTTTCCTGCTACTTGTCCAGCTAGGACTACCCTACCATTAGGGCTTTGGCTTGCAGAGTTAACAGGAGCTGAGTGGGATGGCTCCCTGGCTCCAATGACTGGGTCTTCCCTTCCAGGTCCTGCCGATTAGCCTGGCTGGCTGTGCTGTCATCGCTAGTACCCTGGAATATTGTGGACCTGTCTGGCTCAGAAACTGGACTACTGAGACTGCCACAGAGGGCTGGGTTTGGGCCCTCACTAGGTGGGTGGCAGTTACAGGAAACCCTGCAAGCTTCCTGTTGGGTAACACATCTCAGCATGAACTGTGTGAGAGCACTGCCACCATCTTCTTCAGGGTCATGTCCCTTCCCATTGAGTGATGGTTCCACCAATTGGAGATTCAGAGTTTAAACAGCAGATGCTTATCTCTCTCCAGGCCAATCAAGGTGGATTCCAGACGTACAGACATCTGTTCACAAACTCAAACTCGAGATAACGCCTTCCAGTAGCTGTTGCCCCAAGCCTCAGAGATTCCTCATAAGCCACTGGTGGGCATCTGCCTTTAATGTAGTGGGAGAAACGTTAGAAGAGAGCTTGTGACGTGCTAGTTCTTGAGGTCCAATTCCAATGCCGCGTACCAGGTTACTCAGCACCTCAGCAAATGCAGGAATTATTATCGTTATTCTTTGAGTAAAGCCATTTTCGCTTACATCAACTCTAAACGTATCCTTCATTAATTCCTATTTCTAAGTCTTGTTCCTCCTCACTTTGAAGTAACAGTCTGGCTTTAAATATCTACATCACCACTATAAGATTATACTTGCGATGCTTTCTGTTTTTAAGGTTTTAACTAGTATACTTTTTGATTATAACCAAGCACTTATAAACTTTTTAATATAGCATTCCTTAGTTATTAGGGCATGAATAAGAGAAGGTGCATGTGGCAATTAGTGTTAGCAAAGGTAAAGATATATTGGCCTGACCCTGGCTGGGGTCAGGTTCTGATAACTTTCTCTCGTTCGTTGCCTGTGTCCCATGTTATCCTCCCATCTAAGAATTGAGTAATCATGTCCTTGTGCACAGATGTGAAAACAAGGGATTCATCTGCTTATCTCAACACTAAGAAACAGGAAGATGGCAGAATCCTCCCAAAAAGCTGTCTATCTCTCTTTTTCCTCAGTTATTTTCTCGTCAAAAGAGCCTGCCAAGATCGCTAGCAGCCTGCAAAGGGTGAGGGCTTTCTCTGTGACAAGGGAAGATGGAGTTAGAAACACATAAAAGATATAGCTTTGGAATAGTTGGAGTTGACTTAGAGGGTCAGCGCATTCCCAGTGGAATCAATAATGATTCTACTGTATCTATGGTCTCAGTTTTAAGTATAAGTTTTGCTATTTGTATTACTTAATAAACCTTGGATTATTACACATTCATATTGGTCTTCTCCATCCAAATCTCTTACACGACTCAATAAGTTCTTCTCTCCAGACTGTGAAGCCTCAATATTTCTCTAAGCGTTTTCACAATGCATTTCTTTAACACTTACGATTGTCTGGTTGCATTTTTCTGTAACTTCTTCGAGTACACCCTTGGCTGTGTATTTAGCTACCCTCTCCACTCCCATCAGCTCATCTTCAAATCCCTTCATGTCCTGACACTTCCCTACCTCTCCGATCTGCTTACTCCCCAACCCACTACCCGCTGCCTCTGCTCGACTGGCTCCAACCTCCTGCTTGTCCCTCGTGCCCTCCAATCCACCATCAGAGGCCACGCTTTCAGCCACAATGCCCTGAAACTCTGGAACACTCTTCCTCTATCCCTCCACCTTGCCCCCTCCTTCCACATCTCCAGGTCGTGCCTCAACCATCACCTTCCCAGTCACTTTCCCCAACTCGGCCACAGTTACTTGCTCTGGGAAGCTGCCCTGCATGGCGGGCGCTACATAAATGCAAGTTGTTGTTGTTAGCTTGAAAATTCACACACACATTCACACTCAGTGACACAGTTTTCACCGTGCTTCAGTCTTTCGTCACTAAGGTATCACTGGGTAAGATTTTTCTGTTAACTTTGTTATGTGTCATTTTATTGAAGTCTGCTGCGATAAATCTTACTTCTGAGCTGCTCCTGGTTTACAATACAAATTTACAGGCACGGGTGCTATATCAAATGCAAGTATTATTATTATTATTATTGTTATTATTATTATTATTATTGTGGAGTCCTGTAGCTCAGTGGTTAGAGCACTCGCTTTGCAAGCGAGAGACCTGAGTTCAATTCCAGGCAGGGCGAAACCTTGGGCAAGTTTCCTTACTCCACACAGAGCCTAATAATAATCCCTCCAAAAACCAAAAACAATAATTAAATTGGTCATTTTCAATCGACGACTGTTTGTGGGACATTGCTGTGCGCAATTGGCTGCCGCGTTCGCCCGCAAATATACAGTCAATTCACTTTACAGTGTGTTCTGTGAAGCGCTTTGGGACGTCCTCCCGATGTGAAAAGCGCTATATCAAATGCAAGGATTATTTATTATTATTTATTATATATTGCCAGGTTCCACAAGCCTGTCACCCCCATCCTCACACAGCTCCATTGGCTCCCCATCCCCCAGTGGACTGAGCTCAAGATCCTCGTTTTATGTCCACAGTCTCACCCCACCGTACCTCTGTGACCTCCTCAAACTCTGCCAACCCGGCCGCTGCCTTCACTCAGCTGCACTATCTGTGGGCAACCCTTCAGCCTTATTGGCCCACTCTCTGGAAGTCCATCCCAGGATCCCTCCACAAAAGAATTTTCCACAATTCGGTGGCATTTTACATTTATAGACAGAATGGCCTCACAGGCTGAGACTAGATGGAACCTTGGGCCAGAGATCCCAACAAACAACTGATTAATAATAATAATCCTTGCATTTGATACAAATGCAAACACTTTGAGATGCGTTGAGGCGTCTCAAAACGCTTCACAGAATATACTATAAAGTGAATTGATTGTATATTTTGTGGGTGAAACACAACAGCCAATTGCGCACGGCAATGTACGAGAAATAGTCGTGGATTCAGTGACCAAATTAATATAATTTTTTTGAAAGCGACTAGCCAATCAACTAACAACCGAGTTGCTAGTTATTGTTAGATAAACAGGTGTGTGGAGTACGGAAACTAAGGTTTCGCCCCACCCAGGAATCAAACCCGGGTCTTCTCACCTGTGAGGCGAGTGCTCTAACCAATACACTACAGGACTACATATGACTTAGCAGAGGGCAAAACAAATTCAGCACTAATCTATGTACCAGTTAGAGACTGAAGTATGTTAAGAATGGATTAATTCTGCAATAGAGAATGTGTCATGTATAGGGGGTTGGACTGTTCCTTTAACTGTTCATTATCACTGAATAATGCAGTGCCAGACTGACACTCACAGGTGCTTTGTTCAGCAAGGTTATTAGTGTTCAATGTGCAAAGCTGAGAGAATGCAGCACACAGTATCTTTTCATGAAAGCAAAATAATTGCTGCCCCTCAAGGCTGTGGTAATTACAGATCCCAGCTTCAGCCTTGCACCTGCTCTCCCCCACAAGTCCTCCGTATCTCTTCTAGTTTTCAACCATAATATTTCAAAAGGTAGCTAACAGCATCCACGATTTACATTTAATAGCGCCTTTCACATTGAGGACCAGTTTCAAAGGGCTTTACACAGCTGACTGGGCACTTGAGCCAAAGCAGGATGGGGAGGCGTTGGGGGAGAAGGGGACGCAAAGCACGGTTAAGAGAATCTTCCAAGGCCCGTGTAAAGACCTTCCTCTTTAACCATGCTTTCGGGCATCCTCTCACCTCCATCCTCCTTGCCCTCCACCCCCCTTGAATCCAACCCCAGCTCGGGGGCAGACCCCTCACTGTCCAGCACCTTGGGAATGTCCTACCAATGTGAAATGTGCTATATAAATGCAATTTGCTGTTGCTGTAGTTACCTCCTGGGCTGGGGGGGAGGGGGAGGGAAAGCTAGCAGTGGCACAAACATGATGTTGTAAACGTTCCACGATTTTACAAAGTTAAAATAGTGATTTAAGATGACATTTGTGAGTTAGCTATAAATACTCCAGAAATAACATAACGCTACATCTCGGGCACAGTATGTTCCCAATTTTTACAGCAATTACAAAGGCCTTTTTCCCCACCGAAATAAAGAATTGTTTCAGACAATGCCTCTGTCTTTTTCTTGAATCAGCTAGCATCAAACTGTACACGAGAATGTTTACAGGTAATATTCATAGCATTTCATTCACATGTGTTCTTTGTATAACTGGTACATCTGTATAAGAATTATCCTTGCAATTGATAAAACATGATTATTGTTAAAAAGTCCAAAAGCATGTCAATGGGAATTGCTGTCAAGTGTAGTGACTGCATTAGTAAGCAAATGCAGCAGTCATTTTGTACAAGCAAGGTACAAAACGACCACAGAGGGAATGATCAATTTATCTGGCGGATTGCAGGTCAAAAAATTGGAAGAAACTCCCTTCTCTTTTCTCATATGGTCATAATAATAGTATTAATCCTTATATCTAGTTTAGCACCTTTCACTTTGAGAGGACGTCTCAAAGCGCTTCACAGGATTTTATTGTAAAGTGCAGTGATTGTGTGTTTTGTGGGTGAATTGGATCTTTTTGTGAGTCATGGATCGAGGCGAAGGGGTTGAGGAAGTTCCAAAGTTTCAGGGCGTAATGGTGGATTTCGGGGACGTGGCAGAAACCGGACTTAGTAGAGCAGAAACAGTGGGTACTGCTGTGGGCAGAAAGGAGGTTAGAGAGATGGGGGGGTGCCAAGAAATGGAGGGATTTAAACACTAGAGTGATGATCTTGAAGTCGATCCTCTCTGTGACAGGGAGCCAGTGGAGCTTGGCAAGGACTGGAGTAATCTGGATATGAAGTTTGGTGCGGGTGAGAATGCGAGCGGCTGAGTATTGAATGAGCTGAATTTTGTGAATAATGGAGGAGGGGAGACCGGCGAGGAGGGTATTAGATTAGTCCAGCCGAGAGGTGACAAAGGCATGGACAAGGGTTTCGGCAGCTTTTGGGGTGAGGTATTGTCGGAGATGGGCAATATGACGGATATGGAAGAAAGAGGTGCTGGTCAGGGAAGTAACGCACACTCTGGGGTTAGGGTATCCAAACCTTGGCTCCTGCCAATGTGTGCCTAATACTTTCCAGAATTAGGTAAATAGGATGTGTCCCTCCAGGGAGAGAGTACGTATTCCATTCCAACAATCTATCTCTGGAATTTCCATGTGTAAGTGGTATACATGGAATTCTTAGTTGGGTTTGGATATTTCTAAGCATAGTGATGGGTTTCTGTCTGTATCAGACACCCAGCCGACCAAAGTAAAATCAACTAATGGCACCTCAGATCTTTGTGCCCTTCCCCCACTATTGCACGAAAGTGTCAGCTTGGTGTGTGAGCTCATACTCCTGATATGGGGTTTGCACCCACAACCGTCTAAGACAAAGGGGAGAATACAATTGACTCAGCCACCTCACAATGCACATCACGGGGTTAATGTTTCTCCGCCAGCAATGATTTTTTTCGGGTGACAACTCATATCCTTCCAGAAGCTGTAGTGCCTGCAATTACATACAAGACAGCACTTTGGCAGCTCAGACGATGCCCGCATTTTACCTTATAATCACAGAGCAGTGGCAGGGAACCAGAGAAGCAGAGAACTTGAATTTTATAAACTTTGTTTTATGGCTTCTAACCACTTCCCAGGTAGATGTAAGGAGTGACTGTCTTTTGTAAACAAACGCAGCAATGATTTGAACCAGCAAACACTGCACACAGCCATGAGGTCAGTGACCGATTTAACTGGAAAATTGTTGGCCAAGACACTTTTCTTTTCAAATAGTGCCGTGAGATCTTTAATGTCCACCTGGACAACAAGCAGGTCTGTTTAACAGGTCATCTGACAGACAGTACATCTGACAAGGAGGCTCTGAGCTACATCCAAATGTGGCACTGGAGGGGGATGAATTGTCAGAAGGACTGTCTGCTTTACAACAATAACAACAAGAACTTGCATTTATAGGTGCCCCTCATGCAGGGTCACATCCCAGAGCACTTGACAGTGGTGGAGCACGATGCCGAGCTGAAGGAGTTAGCACCATCGAAAAGGAAGGTCTTCAGGTGCAACCTGAAGATTGGGAAGGAGGGAGAAATGTGCAGGGAAATGTGCAGGGATTGAGGGAGTATTCCAGAGTTTCAGGACGTAGAGGCTAAACTTTTAGGTGACAAGAAGGTGCGGCTGGCTCTGAGGTCTCTTCTTCACACGCTCGCCCATCAGTGTAGGCAATGTATACATCTATACATCAATGTATTTGAGAGAAAATGTGATGCGCACATGAGAGAGAAAGGAATATAGGAGTGGTGGGGGATTGTATGGAGTATAAACTGGCAGGGACTAGATGGGCAAAATGGCCTGTTCTGTGCCTTATCACTCTATGCAACTCCTGGCCTTTATGCTGGTGTATTGTACCTCCATCAATGCAGGTTGTATCTTTATCCTTATCCAGGAACCCAGTGGTCAGGTAGCTGATGTTCTGCAGAAAGCTGTAGGAATAGAACACAGAGAGTAACATTAAGGATACACCATAAACCCATAGAATCTACCACACAGCAGGAGGCCATTTGAATTGCTCTCTTGATACATCCTCCTCCAGCTAAGCCATCCACCCTAACCCCAATATTCTGCTCTTTCCCCATACCCTCTAATCAGATGATGTGGCACTTCAGTCCATCTGATCTCATCCTTCAGGAATACGCACCCTACGCTTCTCCCATTGCAGCTTTGAGCAGTTTCTTAAATGTGTCTAGCATTCTGGTCACAATTACACTGTCTGGTAACCCCATTCCAGCTGTCGATGGCCCCTCTGTACAAAAAAATATTTCCTGGTGACCATCCTAAATGTCTTATGTTTCATTCTCCTCAAATCATGCTCTCTTATCTTCCTGGTGTGGCATATCTGAAACTAAGGGTCCTGGGTTTAATTTCACCACAACAACAACAAATTTATATTTATACAGCACCTTTCACATCAGGAGGACCTCCCAAGGCACTCGACAATTCCGGGCTTCCCCCTGAACTGAAGGTGGGAGCCAAGGGGAGTGGGAGTGGGGGTATGTAATGATGACCAAAGGCCTATTTGGTATCTCATATACTCTCTAAGGTTTCCTTTGAGACATCTCTTCTTGAGGTTGAAGAGCCCTGTCTTACCTATCTTATCTGGTTACATCCCTGTAATACTGGGGAATCAGTCTGGTTGCTCTCCTCCGCACTGCTTCTGGGATCTAGGAACATTAAGACCATAAACGTGGTCCTGAAAAAACAGTGCTGAAAGAGGATTTTTTGTTCGAAAAGATTTCTTGGGAGTTTCCCCTCTATTCTCCAGGTCCTCACAGAACATAGGTTTGGCCAAATGTTATCAGTCTAACTTCTATATTCCTGCTCATTAGTCCATGCAATTTGTAACCCGTCTTAATAATAATAATAATAATAATCCTTGCATTTGATATAGCGCTTTTCACATCGGGAGGACGTCCCAAAGCGCTTCACAGAACACACTGTAAAGTGAATTGACTGTATATTTGTGGGCGAACGCGGCAGCCAATTGCGCACAGCAATGTCCCACAAACAGTCGTGGATTGAAAATGACCAATTTATTATTGTCTTTGGTTTTGGAGGGATTATTATTATTATTATTATTCTCTTCGGATGAAGATTCACGATGGTGGCTTTGTCTCAAGAAATGCTTGACATAGATCAGCTGATATCACTTCCTTGGTCATTCACTTTACAATAATAACAATCCTTGTATTTGATATAGCTCCTTATCACGTCATTGAGACGTCCCAAAGTGCTTCACAAAATATATATTGTAAAGTGGATTGGCTGTGTATTTTGTGGGTGAAAAGCGGCATTTATGGCAGTTTGTGGGGCATTGTAGGAGCTGGAAATCAGCCATCATTTAACCAGGTAACTGAGTCTACACTCCATCCGTGCTACAAGCAATCCTGCTTGGTGAAGAAGCATATTACAGTGGGGTTCTACTGTATACACACACATGCACAATTATACAATACCAAATGTATGTATAACAACAACAACAAAATTACATTAGCGCCTTTCACGTCGGGAGCACCTCCCATGCGCTGGACAGACAGAGTTACGGACCTGAGCTGAGGGTCGGGGTGGGGGAGGGGGAAGGACAGGGGGGGAAGCAGGAGATCGAAAGCACAGTCAAAGAGGAGGGTCTTAAGGTGGGTCTTGAAGGTGGCGAGGGAGGGGGCGAGACGGAGGGACTGCGGGATGGAGTTCCAGAGGGTGGGGGCAGAGTGGGGGAAGGCCCGCCCGCCGATAGTGGGGTGAGCAGGCGGGGGATGTGAAGCAGGCCGGAGCCTGCTGAGCGGTGGGAGAAAACAGGGTGGTAGGCAGTTAGGAGTTCGGAGAGGTAGGGGGGGAGCAAGACCGTGGAGGGCTTTGAAGGTGAGGATCAGGATCTTGAACTGTATCCTCTGTGTGATGGAAAGTCAGTGGAGTTGGGCGAGGATGGGGTTGATAGGGTTGCAGAGCCTAGTATGGGAGAGGACACAGGCTGCAGAGTTCTGGATGATCTGCAGTCTTTGGAGGGAGGAGTTGAGGAGGCCGACAAGCAGTGAGTTTGCATGGTCGAGCCTCGATGTAATGAAGGTGTGTATGAGGGTCTCGACGGCCTGCGGTGTGAGAAAGTGTCGGAGCCGGGCAACGTTGCGGAGGTGGGGAAAGGCAGAGCGGGTCATGGCGCAGATGTGGGGTAGAAAGGATAGTTGAGGGTCAAACAAGATGCCAAGGTTTCGGACTGGCTTAGCGAGGTGGAGTGTGCAACCATGGCTGGTGATGCTGTCAACGCATGAGGTGAGGAGGTGTTGACGGGCGCCAATCAGGAGAGGCTCGGTCTTGTTGACATTCAACTGTAGACACACAAGTGCATTTACAGACAGACACAGTGACCTGTAGGAATCTTGGCTTGAAAAGCCCATGAATTAACTAGCACGATACCTTGCAGGCTTTGTTTCATTGTGAAGGAAGACATTGCCCAAGATAGTCTTGGGTCGGATCGTCGTTCCATGTTCCTTGCGGAGTTCGGAGAGCATATTTTGAATGATAGTAGACTTCCCAATCCCAGATTCACCTACAAAAAGAAATCAAACCAGAAGCACTTTCCTGAGAAGAGCTAAGAAAGTTGGTCCAATGCCATCATCCCTATCATATCACCATGTTCATTCAATTATGGATTCTGTATAACATGAGTCTGTGATCTTATTAATAATCCTTGCCTTTGATAGGGTGCCTTTTATGTCTGGTCATCTCAAAATACTTCACTTGCATATTTGAATATTATATTAAAATACTGTATGTTTTGTGGGCGATGCAGCAGCCATTTTGCACGGAGCAATGTGCCACAAACAGCCATAAAGTGAATAACCAATTTTATGTGAGGGATTGTTGGCCAGGGCACCGGGAGCGAGCAACTCCCATTGAATTTTGAATAGTGATCTTTTACATTCACCTGAACAGGCAGATGGTACCTCCGTTTAAAATTTCATCCAAAGAACACAGCACCTCCAACAATGCAGAGGTGCACTGTTGGGTGGGTGTGGGGGTGGGGAAGGGAAGGGAAGCAAATGGAAAAATGGGGATGAAATTTGGGGTATATTATAATGTGCATTAATAGATGGAATGCAGTATGAATCATAACAATTTGCAACCCCTGAAATCACTTCCTGCCATTATTTTCCTCCGTGAAAATTGTACTGATTTTTAGAGAAATTTTCCAGGAAGAATTGCTGGTCTTGTCACTGAAATTAAAGGTCGAAATTTAGTCTAAATGTTACTGCACAACTGTGTTAAAAGCTTCAGCATTTCGCATTTGAAAGGCAGCTCAGAGTAATGACAGGTCAGTACTTGAATATAGACAGTGCAGCAAACTGTGTAATGTTCGTGATGAGTGGCTTTTAGTTGTGTCTGAGTGGAATGACACATGCCCTTGTTTCCCTGGATGCTATGAAGAGAATAATTAAGTATCAGCACTTGTTCTCACTATTAGTTTCAAACTCCAACAACCAGACTGCAAACAAATACAACATTCTGCGAGTTGGGCAAGTACCTCTGTCAACTCTATACACTCTACGGGAGGTGTTTAAAATAATGAAGCAGATTGATAAGCTAGGTAGTCATTCTTCCCTCTGGTAGATGAATCAAAATGGAAATAATCTTAAAATTAGAGTTAGGAGGATTAGAAGTGAGAACAGGAAACACATCCCCACACCGAAAGCTATGAGGCTGTGAACCACATTGTCCCATAGGTTCGTAAAAGCGTTTTGTATCCGTGTGCTATCTGCTTTTAAATCAAGCTCCTGGGCATATACAATGTGTTAAGAACTTGTGAGAAAGATGGGGCGACAGAGTTGCCCACCATTCCAATGTGGGGAGTGAGAAATGCAGCAGTATCAGAAGCGTGGAAAGCACTGCAGTGGAGGAGAATAGGGCAGAAAGAGATTGCTGCCAGAAATAGGAACAGGAGGAGGCGATTCAGTCCATTCTGCCTGTTCCTCCATTTTATTAGATCATTGTGGATCCTTTGATCGCATTTTTCCATTTTACAAAATGCTCTTGCGTCCTGGGTCTTTCTATCTCCTTTTCAAACATCCCAATTGATTTCTGCCTCTACGGTCTTATGGGGCAATATAGTTCACAGTCTCATAGCCTTCGGTGTGAGGAAATGCTTCCTATTCGCACTTCCAATTGTCCTAACTCTAATTTTAAAATTATTTTGCTGTGGATCGAGGTGGCAGAGGTACTTGAAAACCATAAAGATGACTTAAAGTTGATATGCTGATGTAATGGAAGCCAGTGGAGCCTGGGAGAGGGGAGTGAGGATGTGGTATTGGATGTGTGGAGCCTGGGTGTGGGAGAGAATTCCGCTGTGTGACAAAGACAGATGAGGAAAAAACATAGGCATTTTAAAAGAACTACATGCGATATTGAGAATATACCTGTTAGCAGTACTGGACAATGGCTCAGCAACATCAGACTTGTCAAGAAGGAATATCGCACGCTGTCTATTGTTGGCACCAGCTCTCTCTGAAAGAACGAACTCTTGCCTAAGTCATCTGCTTTGGTGATTCCAGCTATCATTGGGTCATTCAGGGCAGATAGGTGTATCCCTAACAAAGCACATCAGTGATTAAACATTTTACTCCAAATTGATTATGTGTTTCAAAATTTTAATGAGTCACGCGAGTCCGCATTTCTCCAGGACATTGCTGATGACAGCTCAACTAGCCTGGCTCATCGATAGGACTTGGTAAGCAGACCACGGGCAGGGATTCTTCTCACTCAGCTCCTGTTAACCCTGGAAGCCAAAGCCCTAATGAGAAATGTGGTACTAGCAGGAGAAGCAGCAAGAAGCTTGCCAGACAGTGCTTTCAATGGTAATTTATGTGGTTTTAGCTGGTTAAACTCCAGCAGTATCCAACACAACACACACTCTAGGGTCCCAAGCATTGGCTCTTGCCAACCTTCACCTATTGCTCTCTGAAATTAGGCAAGCAGGATGCATTCCTCCAGGGAGAGAGTGCGCATTCGATTCCAATAAATGTCTCTGGAATTTCAATGTACAGGTAACCCTAACCTTAATGTGCATGGAATTCTCAGTTTGGTTTGGATACTCTTAAGCATGGTTGATGGGTTTTCACAGCATCAGACTGACCAAAAGTCCCTTGGGCTCTCTGGCGAGTCACTCTTGAAGAGTCACCCTCATGGTGAGCTTGGGAATCTGATCTCTGCGCCAGGGTAGCTCTGTACTGCTCCAGGAGACTCAATGACTGACAAGTCTGGCTGAATCATCATTGGGACTTGGAGGGGTGGACATGATACTGGCGTGGGATTCACCCTGTTCAGCCTCTTATTACCTTGAGAGCCAAGGCCCCCAGCAGACAAGAAGTGGAAAGCTCACCAGTACTTGAGTCGGGGAGCGGCAGCAGGATAGCGCGGGGAGGAGCCTGGGCCTACTGACCCAGGTACTTAAACTCGACGCCGGAGCGAGTTCAGCTAGGGAGGGGAGGGAGGGGGTGGTCTGGAGGCGGAGCGGGGGAACTGCGACGTCATAGATTAGTTTTCAGGTGAGTGCGCGCGCACAAAAAAAAAAAAAAAAAAAAAACTCCGCGCCCCCCACCCCAGGGCTCACATCAGAGCCCACTATGGTCCTGTTGGGTTCGATGCCCCAATCTACGGGATAATGCCATCCACCTGACCGCTCGCTCCCGGTCCCCGCGTGCGCACTATGGCTGCCGCTTTGACCCGAGCCCCCTCACCCCCTCCCTCCCGCCCCCCTCCTCTCTCCCCCCAAACCCTCCCCCCTCTCCATCTCTCCCGCTCTCTCCTCCTCTCTCTCCGTCCCTCTCGTCTTCTATCCCCACTTGACCCTCCCACAACCTCCCTCTGCTCCAGCCTGGGAATCCTCCGCCGGGCTCACCGTGGCACTCGGCGTTGGCTGTCCAGCAGCAGCCACACCGACTGCCCCATTCCCCACCACTCTCGCCAGCCACCCCGGACACAGACCCGGGGAGTCAACCTCTCCTCCCTCATCCCCATCCCCCCACCCCTGCCTCACAACCTGGACCCCCTCCCCTCCCACACACCCTTCTGTCAACCGCTCCCTCCACATCGGACTGCAAAATGTCCGCTCCCTCTGCAACAAGGCCCTGGTCATCAACGATCTCATCCTTGATGAGAACGTTGATATCATGGCCTTGACAGAAACGTGGCTCACCCCAGGCGACACCTTCCCCCTCACGGAGGCCACGCCACCCGGCTACACCTCCCACCACATCCCCCGCCCCAACCGCCGTGGCGGTGGTGTTGCCCTTATCTCAAGGACACCACTTGCCCTATCCCCCTACTCCTCTGGCTCTTTCCCCTCCTTCGAGCACCTCACCCTCTCCCACCCCTCATTCCTCTCCCTTAAAATCCTCCTCCTCTACCGGCCCCCTAAAACCTCTCCCACCTTCATCTCTGACATTTCAACACTCCTCACATCTCTTTGCCTCTCCTCTGATCGCCTCATCATCCTGGGCGACTTTAACCTACACTTCACCCCCTCCTGCTCCATCTCCACAGACTTCTCTTCCCTGCTCTCCTCACTCAACCTTTCCCTACACATAAACTCCCCCACTCACAGTCACGGCCACCCACTCGATTTGGTGATCACCCGGGGCCTCAGTGTCTCGGATGTCACTATTACCGACAAGGCCATCTCCGACCACTACTTCATCTCCTTCACCACCTCCACCCCCCTCCCCACCTCCACCAGACCCACCACCATCTTCTACCGCCCTTGGAAGAAGTTACCCCCACAATCCCTAACCGATGCCTTGGAGTCCTCTGAACTCCTCTCCCTCTGGCCTTCAACCCTCACCGACCCCTCTTCTCCTCTCTCCCTCCTCCACAATATCCTCTCCTCCACACTCGATACTCTTGCCCCCATCACTTCCCGCACTGTCTCCTACTCCCGCTCCTCCCCCTGGTACACCACCCACCTCCGCTCACTGAAATGCCAGGTGCGGGCTGCTGAGCGCACCTTTGTCAAATCTGGCCTAACGGTCCACCGACAAATCTGGCTGGACCTCCTCAAAATTTACCGCTCCACTCTAGCCTCGGCCAAGTCGTCCTTCTACTCCAGGATAATCCTGGAGGCGAAGAACAACCCCAGGCTACTGTTTTCCACCACATCCCGACTCCTCCGTCCCCCCCGCCACCCCGCGCAGGTCATCTCCTCCAACCTTCACTGCGAGGAGATGCTGGATTTCCTTGAATCCAAGATCAAGGGAATCCGCTCCGCGGTCACTTCCCCTCCAACTTCCACCCACCACCCACCCCTTCCCTCCCACACTCCGACTCCTACCCATCCTCCCCTACACACCTTCGTACCCGTTTCCCCACCCTCTGTCACTGAACTCATCCTATCCCTAAAACCAACCACCTGCTCCCTTGACCCCATCCCCACTCCACTCCTTATCTCCCAGCTCCATTTTCTTGCCCCACATATCACTGACATCATAAACCTGTCCCTCTCCTCTGGCTCTGTCCCCATTCCATTAAAAACTGCCATCATCACGCCCACCCTGAAAAAACCCTCCCTTGATGCGTCGCAGCTATCAAGCTACCGGCCCATCTCCAACCTCCCCTTTCTCTCCAAGGTCTTGGAAAGAGTTGTCGCCTCCCAACTGCGCTCTTTCCTCTCCACCCATTCTCTTTTCGAACCCCTTCAGTCAGGTTTCCGTGCTGCTCATAGCACAGAAACTGCCCTGGTCAAGGTCACCAATGATATCCTGACCATCTGTGACCAGGGCTCCCTCTGTCTCCTCGTCCTCCTCGACCTATCGGCAGCATTCGATACGGTCGACCACGCTATCCTACTCCACCGCTTGTCCTCCCACCTCAACCTTCAAGGCACTGTCCTTGAATGGTTTAGGTCGTACCTTTCCCACCGTCTTCACTTCGTCTCAACGAATGGCTTCTCCTCCACCCCCCGTACTGTCTCATGTGGTGTCCCTCAGGGCTCTGTCCTCGGTCCCCTCCTCTTCACCCTCTATATGCTCCCCCTTGGTGACATCATCCGCAAACATGGGGTTAACTTCCACATGTATGCGGATGACACCCAACTCTACCTTTCCTCCTCTACTCTCAACTCCACGACCACCGATGTCCTGACAGCTGCCTGTCCGACATCGAGTCCTGGACGAGAGACAACTTTCTTCAGCTCAACGTGCGAAAAACCGAGGCCCTCCTGATTGGCTCACGTCAGCGCCTCCGCACCTCAGGCGCTGACACCATCAGCATCCAAGGCTGCACTCTCCACCTCTCAAAGCCAGTCAGGAACCTCGGCGTTTTGTTCGACCCTGAGCTGTCCTTTCTCCCTCACATCCGCACCACAACTGGCACCGCCTTCCATCACCTCCGGAATATCGCCAGATTACGGCACTACCTCACCCCTCACGCTGCTGAAACCCTGGTTCACGCCTTTGTCACCTCAAGGCTGGACTATGGGAACTCTCTCCTCGCCGGCCTTCCCGCCACCTCCCTCCACAAGCTGCAGGTCATTCAGAACTCTGCAGCTCGTGTACTGTCCCGCACCAGGCTTCGCGACCACATCACTCCCACCCTCGCTCGCCTCCACTGGCTCCCCATCCCCCAGAGGATTGATTTCAAGATCCTCATCCTCACCTACAAGGCCATTCACGGCCTTGCTCCCTCCTACCTCTCCAACCTACTATCCCCCTACCTACCTGCCCGTACCCTCCGTTCCTCTGGCTCCGGTCTGCTCCACGTCCCCCGCCCCAACCGCCCTACTATCGGTGGTCGGGCCTTCAGCCTCTCAGCCCCCAGGCTCTGGAACTCCATCCCCCAGTGCCTTCGCCGCTTCCTCCCTTTCCTCCTTCAAGGCCGGTCTCAAAACCTTTCTCTTTGACCGTGCCTTCAGCTCCCCTCTCGACTCTCTTCCTCCTCCTCGCTCCCTCCCTTCCCTCCCCTCACCCTGACCATTTCCCCCCTGCTCGGGTCATGACCCAACTGTGCAGCGCCTTGGGACGTCCTCCTGACGTGAAAGGCGCTCTATAAATGGAATCTTGTTGTTGTTGTTGTTGTTGTACTTCTTATCGGGTTTTAGATGTTTCATTCCCAGGAGCTACACCCAGCCACAATTTGGGGTACCCCAATTCCATAGTTTCTACCAACCTGAACTTGGATACTCTGATAAAAGGCAAGTTGGGAGGTTATCCTCATTTCTTACACTGACTTACACACTGACAGCAATGTAAAGGACTCTACTAACTGCATCACAAAATCACACAGTTATTTGCGAACATTACATCACATCTGGTTGCATTACCTTTTGAGATAAGTGATTGAGTCGATGGGATCAAGTTGTCCCAGGGTACAAAGTTGCCCAATTGCATATCCACAAAGTAGCTGAAGATAGGCTTGCTCTCAGGTGGAAAACGGATCTCTGAAACAACAACAACTTGCAATTATATAGTGCCCTCCACACTGGGTAGTCTCCCAGAGTGCTTAACAATGGAACCTGTCCAGAACTGGTGAGATGAGGGTACAGAGTTTGGTCTGGGTAAATATGCGGGCAGCAGAGTTCTGAATGAGCTGGATTTTTTCAACAGTGGATCTGGCGAGGAGTGTGTTTGAATAATCCAGGTGGGAGGTGACAGAAGCATGCACGAGGGTTTCGGCTGCATTTGGGATAAGATACGGACGGAGGCGGGCAATGTGGCGGAGGTGGAGGAAGGTGGTCCTGGTCAGGGACCAGATGTGGGGGAGGAAGGACAGCTGAGGGTCGAATTGCACGCCTAGATTGCGCACTGGTTCGGTGAGTCTGAGGGAGAGCCCAGGGAAGTTGAGGAGTTTAGATTCACAGGAGTGAAGACATTGACAGGAACCAAGGAGTATGGCTTCCGTCTTGTCCATATTCAGCTGCAGGAAGTTTGCACTCATCCAGGCCTTGATATCTGCCAGACAAGCTGATAGAACATCAGCGGACATGGAGTCGATACTGAAGGAGGCAAAGTAGATTTGTGTATCATCCGCATACATGTGGAAGTTTACCCTGTGTCTGCGGATGACATCGCCCTGAGGGAGCATATAGATTAGCAAAAGAAGAAGGCCAAGGATGGAGCCCTGGGGTACCCGCAGGTTGGGCGGGGGCAGGAGGAGAAACCATTTGCCGAGATGAAATGGAGGCGGTTGGTTAAGTAGGAATCGAACCATGTGAACGCGGTCCCGCTAAGATAGATGAAAGAGAGGCGGTGGACGAGGTTGGTGTGGTCAACTGTGTCAAATGCGACAGAGAGATCCAGGAGGGCGAGGAGGCAGAGGAAGCCCTGGTCATAGATAGAGAGGACGTCATTTGTGACTTTGACAAGCGGTGTCTCTGTGCTATGGGCAGGGTAGAAACTAGACTGCAGGGGCTCGAGGAGTCAGTGGATGGAGAGGTGTGACCGAAGTTGACCTGCAACAATGCATTCCAGGACTTTAGCAAGGAAGGGTAGGTTGGAAATGGGATGGTAGTGTGAAAGATTAGAGGGATGGAGGGTGGGTTAATGAGGAGGGCTGTGAATATAGCGGTTTTCAGGGGGACTGGAACAGAGCCTGAGGAGAGAGACTGGGACAGCAAGGGGAGAAGGAAGGGGAGTTAAGTGACCAGCAGCTGGGTGGGGAGGGGATCGAGGCAGCAGATGGTGAAGTTCATTCAGGTGATTGTGGTTGAGAGGGAGGAGGGAGAAATGGGGACAAAGGAGTGTAAGGAGGAAGGAGTGTCAGGAGCCGTGGAGGACTGAGAAGGTGGTGTGGAAGGGGACATGGGGGGAAGATCGGTCCCAGACGACTTAAAAGGGACCTCACAGAGGTGTACAACATTTTAAAATGGGATAGAAAAAGTCAACCAAGATCATTACTAACATTGTGAATCCTGTCACAAGAACAAGAGGACATATAATAATAATAATTCTTGCATTTGCTTTAGCGGGTTATCAGATCATTGAAACGTCTCAAAGTACTTCACATGATGTATTGCAAAGTGGATTGACTGTGTATTTTGTGGGCGAAATGCCGTAGAAAATTGCACACAGCAATGTCCTACAAACAGATATGGAGGGAATGACCAACTCGACTAACAACCTGGTTCCTACTTACTACAAGGTAAACAGAGGCGTGTGAAGTAAGGAAACTTGCCTAAGGTTTCGCCCGTTTACAACTCTAAACATAGATTTAAGAGTGGTAAAGGGCAATTTCAGGGCAGATGCAAGAAAGTTTTCTTTACACGGAGGGTAATCAATGATTGGAACAGGTTACATAAGAACATAAGAAATAAGAGCAGTAGGCCATTCGGCCCCTCGAGCCTGCCCCGCCCTTTAATAAGATCATGGCTGATCTACTAACCTAATTCCATTTACCCACCCTATCCCGATATCCCTTAATCCCTTTAGTTTTTAAAAATCTATCAATCTCAGTCTTGAATATGTTCAATGACTGAGCATCCACAGCCTTCTGGGGTAGAGAACTCCATAAATACCGGGGAAGATGGTAGAGGCCAGAACACTAGACTCATTTAAAAAGCAGCTTGATGCAGTATTTAGGGTCAGGAGGGTTAGTGTTCTGGAGGGATGAGATGGCGTGAGAGCCTTCATGCACATCAATCTTGTGATCTTGTGATTTTTCCTATCTACATCTGCAAGTGAAGAAAACTGAACTGAGGAATAACTAGGATTAATGTTCAAACGAGCACGGTGCTGGTGAAGACTTACTGAGCCCCTTCTCTCCACTGAAAATTCTGCGGGCAAAGCTGTCAAAGTCCCATGTGACTTTGATGAGATAGTCATCTTTGCCCTCAGTCCCTGAGCTAATCAGACTTTCTTCTCCGTGGTCATCCTCGCGTTTCAGATTTCCGCCTATGGCCCAGGTGAAAGCAAACACGTAAAGCTTAATCAGGAATGTGTTCAGTTGCTTTGGCTCCTTTTGCATAAACCACCTTGTCTCCTCCCTGTAAGGCAGAAAAATTAAACCATAATATAACTCAGCCAGTGGATCAGCAGGTTGTTGTTAAGCCCCACATCATTATCAAGTTCACAGTCTGGACTAAGTCTCCAGGGCAGTGCGCGGGGAGCGCTGAGTTGTCAGAGGCACCATCCTCCAAATGATATCTTAAACTCATCTCTCATCTGCCTATTCAAGTGGACATTGAAGATACTGCAATACTACTGGAAAAAGAAGGAAGTTTCTCCTTATGTGCTGTCGAAAGAAACACGTCATTTACTTCATGGCTATGTTTGAGTCCTTGGGGTCTGGCAACATTGCATCCAAATTCACTGTCATTACATTTGACAGCAATTCCCTGTGAAGCACCGTAAGAAATTTGACATAATAATAACCCTTGCCTTTGATATAGAGCCTTATCACGTCATTGAAACATCTCAAAGCACTTCACAGAATATACTGTAAAGTGAATTGATTGTATATTCTGTGGGCGAAATACGGCAGCCAATTGTGCATAGCAGTGTCCCACAAATAGTTGTGGATTGAAGTGACCAAATTATTATTATTATTTTTTTTAAATATTTGAAAAGATTATTACCCCTGGAAAGCGATCCACCAATCGACCAGCCACGAGGTTCCTGCTTACTACTAGGTAAACAGAGGAGTGTGGAGTAAGGAAACTTGCCTAAGGTTTTGCACCCGCCGGGAATCAAACCCAGATCCACTCTCTTGCAAGACAAGCGCTCTAACCAATACGCTACAGGACTCCACAGACATGAGTTGGGTTCTATATCAAATGCAAGGAATATTATTTTATTATATTCAATTAATCTATCATTTTAATAATTCTGCTGAATAACTATGTGTTGATTATCTTCACCACCAGCTGTAATCACAAGTTTAATGAGCCGTTGTTCTGCTGCATTCATTAAGCATAGCAAAGATGAAATATAAAAGGGTGTGGGGGAAAGGCAAAATGAGTCTGAATGAATAGCTCTTTCAGAGAGCATAGGCATAATGAGCTGCCAAGCTTCCTTCTGTGCTGTAAATTTCTATGGCTCTATGTGCGCTGGTAAGAAATCTTCTATTTAAAGCATAATTGGAATGATGAACAATGCATAATGACACCCCCAGAAGCTGTGAATCATTGCTGGCTGGGTTGAGTTGTGCCAAGCCACCAAAGAAAATGCTCCAAAACATGGACACAATGTAGGTCTGAAACACCGAACCAGGGATACTGAAGCCCCTCCTTTGCCAGACAGTGAATGCATCACTCGTCTTGTGCAGATGCAAGATAGAATCGGCAAGATAGAAAGTTAAACTGGCCAGGAGTTTAATAAGAATAATGCTTGCATTTGATATAGCACCTTATCATGTCTCAAAGACGTCTCAAAGCGCTTCACAGAATATATTGTAAATTGAATTGACTTTATTTTTGTGGTCGAAACCCGGCAGTTAATTGAGCTTAGAAATCAGGCTGACGCTCTAGTGCGGTGCTGGGAAAATCACTTCACATAGGACGCTTAACCCAGCTCCCATCTGCCCGTTTAAGTGGTTAACAAAGACCCTATTTCACTATTGGAAAAGAGAGGGCAGGTTGTCCTGGATTCTTCACTGGCAGTCCCTGCAATAGGCAATAATTACTGTGAAGCACAGAGCACAATAAAAATGTTAATTCTTTCTTATATTTAATCTTTCTACAAAACGCACTTTGATTTGGTCAGCAAATCTGTCTTCACAAAGCTTTTGCCTGGCGTCAGTAATATGCCCTCAAACAGGTTTTCTTCCTCATCGATTAAGTCAGTTTCTGTCAAGGAAAACAACAAAAAGTTAAGATATACAATAAAAGTAGGGTGCAGATAATAATAATAATATTCCTTGCATTTGGTATAGCGTCTTATCACATCAGAAGGACATCTCAAAGTGGGTCACAGGAATTACTGTGAAATTGAGTGACAATATTTGTAGGCAAATAGCTTGGTATTGGGGAGTTTAAATATAGAATAACGATTCCTGGGGCTGAATTGTGGGTTGGAATCTATTTGAGGGGAGTGCTTTATATAGGAAGAAATGGATCCTTGGGAGTGAATTACAAGCTGGAATCTGATCAAAGATTTTGGGTAGTTTTATAGATAGATTTATACACACACAGTATATAGAATAACAGATCCTGGAAATCAGTAATAGCCTGGGATCAAATCCAGGGAATGGGGGTTATATTCAGAATAATTTTGCATAGAAGATACAGTCACTACACTGACTACAGTATACTTTGTGAAGAGCTATGAGACATCCATCCGATGTGAAAGGCTCTAAATGAATTTTAAGGAGTTTATAAAAAAAGTTTGCAATGTAATGCAGGGGGTTCAGGTGGTTTATGTATAGAAAAATTGATTACTGTAAGATGCCAAGCAGATTCAGTGTCTCTCCACAGGCAGTGTTTGGAGATGGAAAGGTGAATCATAGCATCAGTGGTTGAGACAGGAGTGCAGGTGCTAATTTTATCCTCTCCCCAGGGAATAAAGTGGCTTTGGACAGTCTTAAGGGGGATGGGGGGATGGTGGAGTGGGGAGAGGGGGGGGAGGTTGGAGTAAAACAAAAATGAGTGCAATTAAAAAGATAAAAACAAGATTAATTTATTTGAAGGAGATGCAATCAAAAAATGAGTGAAATAACCTTAGGCAAGTTTCCTTACTCCACATGCCTCTGTTTACCCAGCATTAAGTTGGAACCCGGTTGTTAGTCGATTGGCAGATAGCTTTCCAGGGGATAATAACCCCTTCAAAAAATAAATAGAAAATTTGATCATTCAATCCAGGACTGTTTCATTATTCTGTAATGTTAGCAGCATTTGGTATAACATGGGAGTTACTCAAGGCTCTGAAGGGAACAATGTTAAACGGCAGCAGTTATGTGTCCTTTTTGATTCATGTTTCCATAAATTTCACGCAACTCCTGCAAGCCTACTGAGGAACACTGTTTTCAGTCTGACAGACAGCATTAGCTTGGGACCAGTAGAACAGAATGTTCTGGAGTTAGTACAAGTGCTGCAGATGGAAAGAGAGACAATCTAATTGCTAGTGTTGAGCTTTCATTCCTACTGAGATCACTACCCATTTTGTTTTTTTCCAAACATTAAAGATGCCAGCTTATGGAAAAGATCCATTGATCCCAACCTGATTGTCTCTAATACTTATACACCACCTGCCTCACACCGATTTCACATTAAGAAGGCTTCTATAGTTTATCTGCAAATTTTTTCTCATCCCCTCCGCTCCACCATCGGCAGCCACTATGCCCAGAGACTCTGAATTTCTCTGCCTCAAACCCTCCGCCTTGGCCCCTTATCTGTCTTCAGATCGCACCTGAAGACTTTCTTGTTCAGCTGTGCCTACTGTCACCACCCCTGACTTGGCATCAAGCTCCACCACCGTTATGTGCTCCAAGTTGTATGAAGGGTGCGATATAAATTCAAGTTGTTGTTGTAATTTGAGAACTGCCTTCTTTTTAATAACTTTGGNAAAAAACAACTTCAATAATAAAGACTGAATTTTTTTTTTAAAAATCCACAGTTCTGTTCCCTTTTAAATTCCAAGGCACAATAATCTCACAGGCTAAGACGAGATACAATTTTGGGCCTTGGTGCATCTGGATGGGAGAATAAGAAGGCAGACAAAACTAAAAGGATTAATTACCCAACACAAAAGCATTCACTTCCCAGCCACTGGCAGCACCCGTGCTTCCAGAACTTGCATCAATCATGCCCCATTTTGGGTGACACCTCCAGAGACTGTGCGTTGTCCATGGTGCAATGTTCTCAACCCACTAGCTAGGTCATGTCTATTCTCTACACTCTGCATGCGTACTGCCAGGGAAACCTGCCGTTTTATTGAACTTTGACTTACTGACGGATCAGGCAACAGAAAGAAAAAGGACTTTTTAATAGCACCTTAGCACATTGAAAAATGCTTCACAAAACAATTACTGTGAAGCAATTAATTACTGTCAAGCATAGTGACTATAATTGTAGGCAAACGTTGCAGCCACTTTTTTACACCAGCAAGGTCCCACACACAACCCATGAGATGAATGATTGACTTATCTGGAGCATTGTTAGTCAGGGAACAGAGGGAATCTTCCTTCTGTATTCTAACAGCACCCATTTAAACAGGCAGATCGGATCTCAGTTTAACACCTTGCATAAAGGACAGCTTCTCTGACAATTCAGTGCTCTCGTATCAGCCTCTACTCCTGATACTAGTTCCTGATCTGCTGCTTCAATCCCAAACTTTCTGACCCAGATGCAAAAATGCTACCAATTGACCCCACTGGTACACAGTCTAAGACCTCCCAGACGCTGCCCCTCGTGAAGGTCGCTATATAAATGTTGTGATGTTGTCTGAAAATGTTTTTAAAAAATCAAAGCACTACTCACGCTCGCCAAAGCCACCGTTCTTGTCCATGAAGTCCAGAAAAGCTTGTAAAATGTTACACAGAGTCATGATGAGGCCCATCTCGGAGACTGGGAAGTGCTGTAACTCTCTCCGGCTGTTTACAAAGTCCAGGCCTTGTGCCATACTGACTTCAAAAAGTTCCTGTAGACAGATTTTTCCTCTGCTGGTCAATCCACTTGAGAGACGTGAAAGCCAGGTTTTCACATAAGGTTTCCAGCCAAGATCCACAGGCTCCTGCACATAATAATAATAATCCTTGCATTTGATATAGCCCCTTATCACGTCTTCAAGACGTCTCAAAATGCTTCACTGAATATATTTTTGTGAAGTGAATTGACGGAATATTTTGTGGGCCAAATGCGGCAGCCAATTGTGCATAGCAGTGTCCCACAAACAGTCGTGGATTGAGTGTCCAAATTATTTTAATTTATTTTGAAGGGATTATTACCCCCGGAAAGTGATCCGCCAATCGACTAACAACAGGGTTCCTACTTATTGCTAAGTAAACAGGCGTGTGAAGTAAGGAAACTTGTCCAAAGTTTCACCCTGCCTTACACATAGTGTAAAACACAATTCTTAAAGAAAACTCCTTGCGATCACATCAGAGAAAGTGCCACAAATCTGACACCGAATCCCATTACAAAATGGTTGCAACAACAACAACAAATTACATTTGTACAGTGCCCTTCCCGGCAGAAGGACATTCCAAAGCATAGAACAGTCATAGATTTGAACCCAAACTGTGGATTGGGATCAGAAGGAATGGAGGGCATGGAGAATAGAGGTAGGAAAGTGACTGAAGGCGTGGTCGAAGAGGAAGGTCTTGAGGCGGGCCATAAAGGATGCAAGGGAGGTGGGGAGCCAAAGGGACTGTGGGATTTAGTTGCAAAGGGTGTGGGCAGAAAGACTGAAAGCCTGACTGCCGATGGTGGAATGGGCCAATGGGGGGAGGGGGGGCGCGCGGGCATGGAGCAGGCCAGAGCCCGCAGGGCGGACAGGTAAATTGCATATCACATCATGAAAGATATTGCCCAAGATCACAAGATTGTGTTTGGATGAAGAAAGTCCTTCAGTTCATCTCATCTAATTTCTCTAGAATGTCCACCTTAAAATCCTCCAATCACAGCATCAAGCTGCTTTTTAAATGAGTCCCAGTGTCCTAACTTCAATTTCCCTTCCTAGCGAAGTATTCCTCTCAGTTTTGACTGGTGTGATCCAACTTCTGGGCTGCTGAGGGCCAGATACCCTATTTGAGAAATGTCTGCAGGCTGCATAAGCATTATTTTGGTGTTTCCCCTCCAGAAACATAACATTTACGGGTTATGGAGGGAGCGGGTGGGCCAGATGAAATGGAGGTGGATGAAATCGACCGTCGAGCCGAATGCAGACCGTGGGCCGGTGGTTGGACCACCCTGCGTATAGACCATTGCTTACCATGTAAACCATGGCACATCGACTGATGGTGGCAGGACTGGCACAGGCCAGGCTGTCCACCTCGAAGATGAGCCTTAAACCGGGGGTAAAGCGTATCCGTTCACCATTCACCAAGCATAGAATCTTTGTGTCATCCAAAACTGTGTTCAGATTTTCAACCCAACTGGTGTCTATGGGGCCATCCAAGATTATCCAGCGCCAGCTATCTATCATGTTGAGATCTGGAGAGAAAAGAGATGGCAACCAATAAACAGAGCTGAGAAACTTTTAAAGTTGAGAGAAAAATAAGGAAATTGTTCCAATAGGGATCTTCGAAATTATGAATTATTTTGGTAGACAGTCGACAACTAGAAGACATAAATTTAAGATCAGTACCAAAAATACAAACATGGATCTTAGATGGGCTTAAGCTCTTCCAATAGACATAGTGGATCTGAAGTAAATATAATACAAAATTACATTTGTATAGCGCCTTTCATATCGGGAGGACTTTCCGAGGCTCCAGACAATCAGGGATTTGGACCCGAGCGGGGGTGGGGGGTTTAAGCAGGGAGGGTAGGAGGTTGGCCGAAGGCGAAGAGGAGAGTCTTCAAACGTGCCTTGAAGGAGGCAAAGGAGGGACCGAGGCAAAGGGAATGTAGGATGGAGTTCCAAAGGGTGGGGCTGGAGAGGCTGAAGGCCCGAGCACTGATGGTGGGCAGGTCGGGCGGGGGATGTATAGCAGGCCGGAGCCTGCTGAGCAGAGGGAGTGGATAGGTTGATAAGATAAAGCAACTTAAGTCAGACCTAGAATGGAGAAACAACTTGCATTTATATCACACCCCTCACGCAGGGTAGCATCCCAGAACGCTTGACAGTGGTGAAGCACAACACAGAGCAGGGGGAGGTGACCGTAGCCAGGGTCGAAGAGGCGCGACCTGAAGATGGGGAAGGATGGGCAATGTGGAAAGATTGAGGGAGAGTGTTCCAGAGTTTCAGGGCGTAGTGGCTGAGAAACGTTTAAAGTTGGTGGAATGGAGATATGAGGAATAAGGAGATGGGTGCCAAGAAAGCCAAGGAGGAGGCGGAAACACTAGGTATATCCGGGAGCAAATCCCATGGGAACACTGGCCGGCTGGTTCCCAGGGAATACCTTGGGTGTGATGTGACCATTGGGGAATTCAGTGGGGAGGGGATGGGGAATGGGTCAGATCCCAATAAGCAGGAGCCCGGAGCCATACGAGCGGAAGCAACGGGTAGTGGGTTAGCGAGTAAACAGGTCGGAGAGGTAGGGAGGTGGCAGAGCCTGAACAGATTTGAAGACGAGCGTGAGAAGCTTGAATTCAATCCGTTTGGTGATACCCAGCCAGTGAGACTGGCTAGAACAGATGTCATGTAGGTACAGAGTTTAGTGCAGGTGAGTATGCGGGTGGCGGAATTTTGGATTAACTGGATTTTGTGGATAGTGGAGCTCGGGAAACTCACAAGGAGGGCACTTGAGTAGTGGATGAGGGTTTTGGCTGCATTCAGGGTAAGGTATGGTTGGAGGCATGTAATGTGGTGGGCAACAAGCACCTAAAGGGTTTCAAATAGTAAACATAAGAACAGAAGAAATAGGAGCAGAAGTATGCCATTCGGCCCTCAAGCCTGCCCCGCCACTTAACAAGATCATGGCTGATCTACTAACCTAATACCCGCCCTATCCCCATATCCTTTAATCCCTTTAGTTTTTAAAAATCTATCGATCTCAGTCTTGAAGTCTTAAATTGATAAGCTGATGGAACGGAAAAGGATTCATGGTTTTTGGATCATGAGATTGATGTGTCAGAGATAACTTTCGGGTAGTTAGATTGCTGGTAGATATCTCACCTTGATTCTCCTGAAATGGGTATTGGAGGTCACTCCAACGTGTGTCCTTATCAATCTTTATTAAAGGAGGTAATTGGCCCAGCCGATCAGGGTCATTCTCTCTGCTCAGTTCCTTCGCAAATCTTCGTGCTACTGAGGACAGGAGCCCGTCTGACCAGTCCATGGTGCTCATGTTTATCTGCCCGTACAACTCCCCAAGATTGACACACTTAGGGTTGATGGTAAAGGATTCCATTTTACCTTTCTTGGTATGGAAAGTTTGGAGAGAAAGCACACAGGGAACAGATTAAAGGAAGGGTCTGGGTGCAGAGGAAGCCAAGATAACAGATTAATAAAATAATCTTAATAAAAAGGATGATTTAAAAAACACAGAAAGCAGTGAGACACAATGAGCCAAGCCGAATAGTTTCCTTCCCTGCTGAAAATTTCTATTTTCCATTTCTTCTGGGTAAAATCATAAAAGCAACTTTTCCTTTAAGACGCCGTAACATTGTCCCTGCCAACGATCCTCCAAAAAGAATTCAGCACTTGGCTGTTCGTGAGCCATTTTTGTGTGCATAGCATATTAGCTACCATGTTTGCTCACAAAATACAGTCACACCACTTTGTGGTAGATCCTGTGACATGCTTTGAGACGTCTCGACAATGTGATAAGGCACGCTATCAAATGCAAGGATCATTATTATTTAACACTGTGTGTCGCCTTGGCGGAGTATGTTGCCCATTTGTTCTCTCAAACTTCATTTTTGTGAAGTTAAAGTTTTGTAAAGTGGAGTGACTGTGTATCTGTAGGTGATCACAGCAGCACACAGCAATGTCCCACAAACAGCCAAGAAATGCATGCCCAATTTTATCTGGGGGACTGTTGGCCACGATGCCGAGAGAAACTCCCTTCTCTTTTCGAATATTTCTATGGGATCTTTAAGGTCCAATTGAATAGGTTTCAGACTACTTGAATAGGACCTCAGTACAATGTCTCATCTGAAGGATGGCATCACTGAGGACAAACTGAGCCAGGCTGACACACATAGTCATTTGTATAATTTTTATATCATCTCATCAGATTGAAATGTCATAATGTGCTTTACAGTGAATACAGACTGATATGTGTTGGCAAATACAGTTCACATTTCTGCACAGAAAGGCCCTGCAAACAGCCATAAACAAGGACCAAGAAAAACTCCCTTTCCCTTTTCCAATAGTTTAATTGCAGCTTTAACGTCACCTGCTCATCCAAAGGATGCGACCTTCCACAAGGTAGTGCTCCCCTAGCACTGCACTGGAGTGTCAGCCTAGACTGTGAGCTCAAGTCCTGACATAGAGCATGAACCCACAAGCTTCTAACCCAGAAGCAAGAATGCAACCAACTGAGCCAGGTTGACATGTCTACTCAAAGGGGAACTATCACATGTCAGCTTCTGTTTGCAAATAAAAATATATTTGTCTTTTGTATATCTCTTGGATCCAAAAGGCGGGAATTTTCTCTCAAGTTATTCTTTTCCGTCTTAACAGTCCTTGCCATGGATGAACAGAAATGAGTGACAGCTAAAATGCTGTAGATGACTATCTTGAACGTTTACACTGATAGAGATGTTGCTCAGCCCCTCCAGTCCATCTCCAGGGTTGGATGATAAAGAAGTGCTTGTTTTTTTCTCCAACAAGAGACCTATGAGCACAATGGCATAGGCACAATGGACCAATAAATACTGCACACAATTACCACGCTGACCTTTCATTTCTATTAACTTGTGTCAATGCAGCTCAGATAGATGGGGACAAGCAACTTGCACTTCTATTGCATCTTTCATAAACGATAAAGTTTTGGAACAGTTTACATGAAAGGTATGGAAGTTGAAAAGAACGTGACCAATGGTACAGTTGAAGAGATATGTTGGTTTTCAGGAGGGTTTGAAGCCAGGCAGAGAGATTTTGGGAAGAAGCTTCAGAGTGTTGGGGCATAATGGCTGTAAACTTGGCAACTAACAGCCGGGAGGAGGGAGTGAAGGACATGCAGCAAGCCACATTTACAGAATAATAATAATAATCCTTGCATTTGATATAGCACTTTATCACTTCGTTGAGATGTCTCAGAGCGCTTCACAGAATATATTGTAAAGTGAATTGATTGTATATTTTGTGGGGAAAATGCAAGAACCAATTGCGCACAGCAGTGTCCCACAAACAGTCATATATTGAGTGACCAAACTGTTATTATTATTTTTTATTGAAGGGATTATTAGCCACGGAAAGCGATCCGTGAATCAACTAACAACAAGGTTCCTACTTACTGCTTACTTAATAGCATAACCATATAACCAGGTGTGATTATAACAAGGTATGAGTGGGAGGGAGAGTGAGGCTGGAGGAGATCTCAAGGCAAAAGTGGGGCAAACATTGAGGAACCTGAACATCAGGAGGAGAAACACAAAAGCAAAAGGTAAATGTAAGCACAAAGTCAGAAAGCACATTGAGTCAATTCTAAGCTAAGCATCAACCCTCCACACACCAAATTGTGACCACAATGCCTACCATCATACCTCCTCTATTCACACGGGAGGCTTACACTGTCTAGGTTGCAAGTTTTTCCTTAGTGCAGGCTCAGTTTAATGTGCCAGCCAAGAGTGGACGCTGACACAATCGACGGCAGTGGTCCTCTCATGTCAGCTGAAACTGGGATTTGTCTCCCAACTCCTCTCAGCTTTTTTATTGTGAAGTGTGAGATCCTCAGGATTGAGGAAAAATCTTAAATGGGGTCTTTATCTGGTTTTCTGCAGTTCTTCAAAAGAAATATAAGAATTTTCCCAAAAAGTGGCCCGTGACCACCTCCAATGAATTCTAGCTAATAATAATAATAATAATAATCCTTGCATTTGATATAGCGCTTTTCACGTCAGGCGGACGTCCCAAAGCGCCTCACAGAACACACTGTAAAGTGAATTGACTGTATATTTGTGGGCGAACGCGGCAGCCAATTGCGCACAGCAATGTCCCACAAACAGTCGTAGATTGAAAATGACCAATTTATTATTGTTTTGGGTTTTGGAGGGATTATTATTAGGCTCTTTGTGGAGTAAGGAAACTTGCCCAAGGTTTCGCCCTGACTGGAATTGAACTCAGGTCTCTCGCTTGCAAAGCGAGTGCTCTAACCACTGAGCTACAGGACTCCACAAACCTACCTTATCAAGCAAGACTTCTGTTACTGACTGTATACTTGCTATGGACTTGTACAAAATAAATCAATTACCATTGTAATAGAGGTGTGTTTGGCTACTAAATTATAATTAGAGTTTGCCTCCAAAGTAAGATTTGGCAAAATGGCGAGTGCTTTCTCCAGAATCTGTCTGACTGTTGTCTTTCCTCCACCTGTGGGGCCCACTAACATCACTCCATGGCGAACCTGAAATGGACAAGACAAGAAATGGATTTAAACATAAGGGGATACGTTCCAACCATGTCCCAACTTGCAGACTTGCGAAATTCTTGCAAACATTTCCAGCTTCCTGAGGATAGTGATTAGCTTTAAAGAAACGTAATGTTTTCTAAACCCTTCAGAAATTTTAAACACCTCTATCAAGTGCCTCCTCTGGCTGACTTCTCTTTATACTCCACAGACTTCTCAGTCCCAGAAATTAGCCCAGTCACTTTCTCCTGACCTCTAAATACTTTGTTTTTTTGAAATGGGAAGACTCCATGTAGTCCCATGGAGTCCCTTAGCGTAGTGGTTGTGGAGTCCCGTGCTGTAGTGGTTAGCAAGTGAGAGGACCCAGGTTCAATTCCTGGGCTGGGCAAAACCTTAGACAAGTTTTCTTACTCCACACACATCTGTTTACCTAGCAGTAAGTAGCACCTAGTTATTAGTCGATTAGTGGATCGCTTTCCGGATTTAATAATCTCCCCACAAAAAAATATGGTCACTCAATCTATGACTGTTTGTGGGACACTGTTGTGCACAATTGGCTGCCGCATTTCGCCCCCAAAATACATAGTCAATCCACATTACAATTTGTTCTGTGAAGTGCTTTGAGACGTCTCAACGTCATGATAAGGTGCTATATCAATTGCAATGACTATTATTGTTATTATAACTAACTAGCTATACCTGTTGCAGCTACTCTTGCAACCAAAGGATCCAATATGGAATGTAGATTGGCACACAGACAGACACACTTACTTATCCTTGAAAGGTTTGATTTTCGCTTTGGCATCTTTCTAATGATAAATATAAATGTCTAATTTATAATCACTGGGACGTCCTCCCCACGTGAAAGGCGCTTTAAAAATGTAATGTTGTTATTGCCGCGGCATAGCTTCATCTGTGTTCGATATTTTGTTCCTGCCACCGCTTGGCTACGGGGTGTGCTCTGTGACGCACGATGCCACAGTGCCACTTTGATTCGGTGGCCACCAGATGTAACTGTCATGAAAAATGCAAAACTGAAATGCATTTTAAGTCATAATTCATGAACGATAGGAGATACCCGAGAACAAATATGCCCATGTCACTCCCAGATGCAAGACCTTTCCGATGAGATATAAATCCTGTCTCTACATCAATCAATCCTTCTTGAAGCGCAGACAGACAGATAGACAGACTCATTTTATTAGTAGATAGACATAATCACTCAGGTGCCTGAGTGATGGTCTCACACAGGCCACATATAATTTGTATACGTCCTCCACAGGTATATGCTGACGATGTATGTAGTAGGTCTTCCCCAGGGAATAACAGTGACAATGTATAGAGTCATCTCCCAGGCAACAACAAGACAAAAATCGTTTCCAGTAACAACGGGAAAGATGTGGAATCTCGCTTCAAGAACAAATGGCAACTTATTTTTTCCATGCTAATTTTTTTTCCAACTGCTGTTGGAGTCTATTTCATTCTATTTATAGAGAGCAAGTGAACATTTTCATTAGACAATCTGTCGCACAGATTTCAAGCTGAACTAAATTCTGGTAATTCTTCTGCAAGAATTTAATTTACGCCATTCACAACTTGTGCCATCATTCTGTATCACCAAACCAGTTGTGAGGCACTAGGCATATGAGGAGAGGCTGACTGTCAACAGGAAGGGCAGAGAAGATCAGGGGGAGAAGGATGGAAGAGATAATTAGGTGAAGACATGTAGGGGAGACGGCTATGGAGAGAAGGGGAGAGGTGTAGGAGTAATGGGAGAGGGAGAGTAGGGGAAGAGGAGGACAGCGGAAGCAGGAGGTAGTGGAGCAGTGGAAAGTGAGAGTAGGGGAAGATAGATTGCGGAAAAGGAGTAAAGGGAGAGGGAATCAGTAAGTACAAATATAATTTTGTTGCTGTTGTTGAGTAGGAGAGTGAGACAGTGAGTAGGAGGAGAGGATTAGAGGGGAGTGGGGGAGAGGAGTAAGGGATTGGGGGAGAGGGAGAGGAGGAGGGACTACACCATCTAAATGCACAGTCTCCATCAGGCTACAGGTCCATCAGTCATTGGAATGTGCCTGCTACCCTAATTGATCTGAAGAACATCATCGTAAACTAGAAAGTAGTGTTCTACTCTTTCCTTGTTGTGCCTTTCCTACGACTACATCCATTAGTTGCGGATGGGTGATGAGGGCTATAATCTCAGAATTGTTGTCAGAAGTAGCGAGGAGAAGCGATGCACGATTACTTCATTCAGAGGTTCTTAAGGTCTGCAATTCTTTATCACTTGTGGCTATTGCGGCCTGAATGTTAGAATCATTCAAAGTGAAAATGGATAAGGTCCTGAGCAGTAACAATATTATGGGATGTGGAGCGAAGCGCCCACAAAATACACAGTCAATACAATTTACAGTATGTCCTGTGAAGTGCTTTGAAGCATCTCAACAATGTGATAAGACTCTATATCAAATGCAAGGATTATTATTATTATTGTTAATAAAAGTGGGAAAAGTAATAACTGAGATAATACAAACAGGCAAAGACCCGATGGGCTGAATGCCCCCCCTTCTAATCTGACATTTTTTTGTTTCTGACTTTTGGTTGGGATTTAAAATGTAGAATTTCTCAAAACATGAAATGATTCTAAACAATAAGCACACACTGTTGTTAGATGATTCTAAACTGCTTAATATCATGGTTTCCCTCAAGAACCAAGGCTTGGGGACTCCAGAGTGTGCATTGGGGAACTGCTGGAATCGAACCAGCTAAAACCACATATAATAATAATAATCCTTGCATTTGATGTAGCGCTTTTCACGTCTTCTAGACGTCTCAAAGCGCTTCACAGAATAGACTATAAAGTGAATTGACTATATATTTGTGGGCGAAATGCGGCAGCCAATTGCGCACAGCAGTGTCCCACAAACAGTCGTAGATTGAAATGACCAATTTATTATCGTCTTTTTTTGAGGGATTATTATCAGGTGTGTGGAGTAAGGAAACTTGTCCAAGGTTTCACCCTGCCAGGAATCGAACCCAGGTCTCTCGCTTGCAAAGCGAGTGCTCTTTGCATAGATTGCCATTGATATCGCTGCATGTCTCAGACCAGATATCAAGCAAAATATCTTCATTCTGCTTGGTGGCTTCTCACTTCAGTGAGAATGCTGCACATAAGCTCCCCACGTACACATGGAACCTGCTGCAATCTAGACCAGCGAGTTCTAATTGTGGTGCCATGCACCCTCCTGTGCTTGACTGGCAACCGTGTTAAAGAAACTGTGAAACTTTCTCTCAGCTAATAAAAACGTCATTTAAGTCACAGCTGCCAAGCATAAATAAAGCACCAGCTCATCGTTCCTCGTTCTTGTGAGCACTGCTTTCATCTACTTTGAGGACTTTTATATAAAAAAGAAAAGTAGCTACTGGCTTTAACTCTTCACTGGCTCTTCACATCTATTTAAAGGGGTTCTATTGCTCTCTGATTATTCTGTACACTGCAGATTTGAGGCCTACAATTTTGTATGAACTTGCCCTTAATATCATAATAATAATAATCCTTGCATTTGATATAGCGCCTCATCATGTCTTCGAGGCATCTCAAAGCGCTTCACAGAATATACTGTAAAGTGAATTGACTGTATAAATTGTGGGCAAAACATGACAGCCAATTACGCACAGCAGTATCCCAAAAACAGTCGTGGATTGAAGTGACAAATTTATTATAGAAATAAATATACTTTTGAAGAAACTATTACCCCTGGAAAAGCAATCCGCCAATCGACTAACAACTGGTTTCCTACTTACTGCTAGGTAAACAGAGGCATATGAAGGAAACTTGCCCAACATTTCGCCATGCCGGGAATAGAACCTAGGTCTCTCACTTACGAGGCAAGTGCTCTAACCACTGAGCTACAGGACTCCACATCATGGTCTTGAAATTTAAAGTTGGTCAGATTTTTAATTCAGTCTTAATTGAATGCCAGTTTTCTACAGATCTTAAAGTTTAAGACAGTGATATTCAGCCTAAGAACATTGGAAATGTTGCTCAGTGGACTCTTTCATGCTCCATGTCTCCCACCCGGCCCACCCCACCATTGGCGGTTAGGCCTTTAGCCTTTCTGCCCCCATTCTTTGGAACCCCATCCTACCATTTCTTTGACTACGCCCATCCTCCTTGTCCTCCACCACTCCTGATCCCAATCCACAGCTTGAATGCAGATCCTTGACTGTCCAGCGCATCGGGACATCTTCCTGATGTGAAAGGCGCTATACAAATGTAATTTGTTGTTGTTTGTTCTGGAACTTGATGACTGTCTATGTTTTCCCCAAACCACAAGAGCACAATAACAATCCTTGTACTGTATTGTTTCGGCACTTTTAACATCAAAACACCTCAAAGAAGTTCACAGAAAATTAGTCTCTATGACTATGTATTTGTCTAAATGCACATAACGACCTTGCACACAGTAAGGTCCTACATACAGCAATGCAGAGAAGGATTAACGGAACTGGTGGATTGTTGACCAGAACACCAGAAGAATATCCATTCTCTTTTCCAATAGAGTTGTGGGATCTTTAAGGTCCACCTAAGTAGGCAGATGAAGAGTTTAGATGAAGAAGACCTTCTGGTTCATTTGATTTCATCCCTTAAGGAAAGAAGGTGGATTATTGCGGCAGATAAAATCAAATGGGCAGAGCTATCTCTGGTGTAACCTTCATAATCTTAACCTGGAAATGCTGGTTTCTTTAGCCACCTGAAATCCCACCCATCTTACCAGAAGCTGGTTGTGGAATTGTAGGATTTTCTCCACTTGGCTCGGCCAGTGCTGCAAGCCCAGGACATTGGTTACATCAGCTATTGCTTTCTATAGTGAACAAACAAGAGAAACATGAGGTGCTGTGTTATAAAATTACACACAAACAGTTTTGAAAACAATTCAGTCACACTATTACACAGTGGAGTCCTGTGGCTTAGTGGTTAGAGCACTCGCCTCACAAGCGAGAGGACCTGGGTTCAATTCCTGGGCAAGGCGAAACATTGGACAAGTTTCCTTACTCCACACGCCTGGTTACCTAGCAGTAAGTAGGAACCCGGTTGTTAGTTGATTGGTGGATCACTTTCCGGGGTAATAATCCCTTAAAAAAAATGTGGTCACTCAATCGATGACTGTTTATGGGACGCTGCTGTGCGCAATTGGCTGAAGCAATTCACCCACAAAATATACAGTCAATTCACTTTACAGTATATTCTGTGAAGCACTTTGAGACGTCTCAAAGATGTGATAACGCGCTGTATAAAATGCAAGGATTATTATTATACAGTACAATATCATTGATCCAAACATCAGATAATCGCCTGTGCCGTTAACTGAATCAGGACTTAATTGCAGAAGTAAAGTCGGGCTGTGATGTCGGGGATTTCTTTTGAAAGAGGGCTCCAGAGAGCAGGGATGTAATTGCTGTAGGGTGAGTACTGATGGTGCGAAAAAGTGAGTGAGGAACAAGCAGCAGAGAGATGCACCAAATGAAATGAAACTGAACTCAGAAACAGGGTTATATTTTATAGACTCAGTGGAGTTCTTGCTGGTGGCTTGAAACATCACAAGGAAAGACGCTAGAATAGAACAAGCGTGGGCCTGGATTTAAACTGAAGCACCTTTTCATGTCAAATCAGATCAAAATCAATTCAGTGATTACAATCAAGTATATGTAGGAAAACACAGTCTCTGTCTGTCTGACACCTGGATGAAGGAACAGCTCTGCATTGACAGCAGAAAATATGGGATAATTTGGAATGCTGATTTGCCAAATGTAGAGAACTCTTCCTGCCTGACAGCTGGTGTCTCGTTCTCCTGCCTTAGAGTAAGACAGTCATTTCCTCAGTCAGCCTCTAACTTGTCATACACCAGCTAATGGACTCAATGTGCATCTATTGCCACTGGGTTTGTGATCTGAGCACACAAGAATAATAAAGATATGTGTATATATACGTTAGCTAGCTGTACCCATTACAGCTACACTTGCAACCAGTTTAATCGGCCTTTCTATCTTTCGTCTGGCATTTTTATTGCCCTTGAATGGCTTGATCTTCACTTCTTAGGCATCTTTATCCCTGAAGATTCAGAAAATGTACTATTGGCCTCATTAGCATCCCTTGTTCACATATTTGCATACATATCCTTTTGGGAGGACTCCTGTTGGGAGGACTCAGTGGGAAGACTCAGTTGGAGGGTTCCTGTTGGGAGGACTGAGTGGGAGGACCCTGAGGGAGGATTTGTGTGGGAGCAATCCTGTTGGGAGGACTCGTGTTGGGAGGAGCTTGCTTAGGTCACAATAGGAGACCTCCGAAAAAATACATACTCATGACACTGCCCCTGCAAGATCTTTCCAATGAGGTATAAATCACGTCTCTGCATCAATCGGTTAGACAGACACACGGACAGACATTTTGTCTTTATTAGTATATAGATGTATCGCTCTAGAAGGGTGTGTGACCTCTGTCATTATTTTGTTGCAGAATACACGGCATACTTTTTTTGGCTTAATTAAAGCATTTAATTTTTTTTAATATGGCTGATCAACGATAGGAGATCCCTCCCCCCAAAAAAAATATGCCCACGTCGCTTCCCCAAGACCTTTCTGATGAGGTAGAAATCATGTCTCTACATCAATCGGTTATTGGGTGGGAGCAATCCTTTCAGGAGGACTCGTGTTGGGAGGAGCTTGCTTTTAGCGGACAGAGAGATATTTCATCTTTATTGGTATAGATAATAATAATCCTTGCATTTGATGTAGCACCTTATCACATTGTCGATACGTCTCAAAGTGTTTCACAGGATATACTGTAAAGGGTAGTGACTGTGTATTTTGTGGGTGAAACACAGCAACCATATGCACACAGGAATGTTGCACACATATCCTTTTGGGAGGATGGAGTGAGCCATGGAGTGAGTGACCAATTTTACTCCGGGAGCCATGGAGTGAGTGACCAATTTTACTTGGGGAATTGTTGCATACATATATATTTTTCCCAGAACTTGTCAAGCATTTGAGAGGCTATTTTCCTGGAAAGGTACTAGCTATACAAATGCAATAGTAATAATATAAATAATAATACTTCCCAGATTTAGGTAAAAAGGCTGAGTCCCTCCAGGTAGAGAGTGGGTATTCCATTCCAACGATCTATCGCTGGAAGGTCCACGTGTAGGTGGGATATATGGAATTCTCAGCTTGGCTTGGAAACTCTTAAGCATGGTGATGGGTTTATGCATGGGTCAGACACCCGTCTGCCCCTTCCCCCCCAAAAAATACAAATGCAAGTTCATGGCACTCTCAGGACAGTACCTTTAGGAGGTAGGTTTCCTCTTTGGGGGTTGTCACTCCTGGAAACAAATCAGCCAGAATCCTCTCGAACAAAGGCACATCTTCAGCCACAAACCTGGGAAGATTGGCAGCTTTCAGCGCATTGATCAAGATGTGCGATTCCTCCTGCTGAGTCAGGGATTTGTTGGTATCGCTAAACAAAGAACAACCAAAACAAAATTGCGTTAAAAGGTTAAACCCGTCGCGTGAAACCATGTTGCTGTGGAAGGTGAAAATGAAATGAAACTCACAGGACAGACGATCAACACTAATATTCACAAACACCTTTGTGTTAACGCCTTCAATGGTGTGTTATCGTCACAGCACTGGGGGGAAAACGGTTTCAATCTGCTTTCTCTGTCACCAAAATTAGGCCTCTTCGACCTTGAAAAGAGACTTCTCAGAGGAAACCTTATATATGTTAAACGGGATAGAGGATACTTTCTGGGTTTACGTTCTCTATGCACTACGGTAGCAACAACAACTTCAACAAATTACATTCGTACAACACCTTTCACGTCGGGAGGACATCCCAAGGCGCTGGGCAGTTAGGCATTTGGACCCGAGTTGGGATTTGGAATCATGGAGGGCAGAGAGGGTATAGGTAGGAAGGTGATTGAAAGCGCGGTTGAAGAGGAGAGTCTTGACACTAGCCTTGAAGAAGGAAAGGGAGGGAGCGAGGCAAAGGGACTGTGGGATGGAGTTCCAGAGGGTGGGGGTAGAAAGGCTGAAGGCCCAACCACTGATGGTGGGGTGGGCAGGTTGTAGGGATGAGGAGCAGAAAAGGAAACACAGGTTCTGGAGTGTGAAGGGCAATTTCAGGGCAGATATATTTACATTGAGGAACTGGCGACCACCAGAACACTGGATTTATTCAAGTAACAGCTTGATGCTATAATAGGAAGATGGTCGGGCGAGTATAATGGAAGGATGAGATTTTCATCCCCATCTCCCTTGTGATCTTGTGCTCTCCTCCCTGATAAGAAACCTAAAATTGCTTTGCTTGTTCGTAATGACTGCTTCAACAAAGGCCTTCCCTGGTAATTCTTCCCCACATCTATTACCTTTTGAGAAGCAGGGTTTGGCAGGCTTTCCTTCCTCCCTTTGAACACACTCATTTATAACTTAACAACCCTGCTGTCTGAACTCTGCTACACTCGTCAATTCGCCTGGATCAATGCTGTTAATCATACAAGTTGTGAAGCACCCTGAGCAAGTGGAAAGATTCAATAGATAATTTTCTTTCCCCGGTAAGAAGTGCTTTCAGAAACTAATGATTGCCTTCTTCACCTTTTCTCAGCTGGAGTGAGGATCTACTCCAATCAATTCTATTAGACATCATTCAATTGGCCTTTTTATCAATAACAATATCACATACAATGCTATTACTGCTAATAATAATCCTTGCATTTGATATAGCACCTTATCACATCATTGCAATGTCTCAAAGTGCTTTACAGGACACACTGTAAAGTGGAATGACTGCGTATTTTGTGGGCGGAACACAACTGCCAAATCTTCAGTTGACAGAATGCTCAAATGAAATAAACAAGTTATGTTCACTGCATTACTGCTCCAGTCATTCAGAAGGATGAATAACTTTGTTTTCACGAAAGCAGCCAGATACATTCCTATACATAATTTATGCACATTTATATCACTTCTCTCAAAACTGGTAGTGTTGCAGCAAATTATACATCAGGTTGCGCTTTCTGTGTCTATTTCTGTCTTAGTTGCAATGTGCCACTGAGCTCCAGAATGCACCAAGCTAGGGGGCACTGAGGAATCAGCAGAATCAGACAAAACCTTACGAAGAGAGCTCACCTTGGGACCTACCTGGGCTGATAACTGGCGAATGATATTCATTACAGATAAATGCAAATAAGCAGTAAAAATAGAGGCGTGCACACTCCCTGTGTCACTCAACATGACCAAATAGTGTGAGGCAGCATTAAGCAAGGCAAACAGGATGCACACACTCATGCTGTGTAATAATGCACGCTCGCTCTGTGACATGCACACTCACTTTGCTTTGGTTGTTCTCTTCTTCTGCCCGGCCATCATAAGAATGGACTTGATGGCTCTCAATCCAAAGTCATAATGGTCCTAAAGGAGAGAGTAAATTCCTGTAAGTGCCTCAAGTTTATTGCAGGTACTGATGTAAAGCTGGGACCTTTACTAGAGCCAGAAATAAATACCATGTTATACTAATGATGGTGCTGACCTCTACTCCAACAGAGATGGGGTTTTTTATTGGTGAGTGAGACTATGCTTGCTCTCACTTATGGCTGAGATTCGTTGTGCTAACCCCTCACAAACGAACCTCAGCAAGAGAACTTTTCTGGCATCTGCTAGATCAAGGAGTAACTGATACTTGATCTTAGCCAAATGGCGGAGAAGTGAGACACACAACAACAACTTGCATTTATATAGCATCCTTCATGCAGGACAGTGTCTCGGAATACTTATGTTCACACATACATAAACACACATACCCTTGCAATGCACACAAAAAATTACACATAATCTGACCCCCCAACCCACCCACCCCATACACAGTGTCAGGGTCTGACAGTCTGAATAGTAAATTGGTAGCTGGCAGGATTGTCAACTCTGCTAACATTATAAAATCTTCAGGGTTCTAAAGATTGCCTGGAAACTATCCAAAATTGATGGGAAGTTTTAGAAATGGGTTTACATCCAACTCATCTGCTTCGATCAATTCACTCGGACTAATTCAAGATAAATTCGCAAATCTACAATCATACTGCAAATGTCACATCAGTATGACCCCTATATAATATGACGGATTCGGACTGTTAGAAAAGTGCCTACTTTCTGCTGAAAGAGAAAATCATTCTCACAATGCATCGACTCATCTGATTACACTCTGCGCAGTTCTGAATATAAGGAACCCTCAATGAGATCCCTCATAACACCTGCTCCAGCAGCAACTGTTTTCACTGGAACAGAGATGGTTAAGGTGGGAATCTAAATGAAAATGATTAATGTTTTTGATGTGGTAAATCGCAAGACATTATTTCCACCGATTGGCAACAATTGAGGATTATTACCAGAAGGGGAGATGAGAAGAAATGTTTTTACACATATGGCTGTTGAAACTGAGTACATCACGTGTTTCCCTTTTTTAAGGGAATTGAATAAACACTCAAGGAAAAATAATATGAAGAGGAACAGGGAAGGAGGCAGGAGAATGGGATTAGAGTAGATTGCTCCAGTGAGGGAACAAGCACCAGCACAGATATGACTTCTTTCACTGCTGTACATTTCATATGAATCTAACACACAAACAGCTGGTATGGATCCAGCAACAATCCAGCACAGAGATTTTAACAGTGCTGGAGAATGAATGATGGCTAATGCTGGACTGTTGGCAGCTGAGTCAGTCAAACTGAAGTAACACACTGCTGAGCAGGTTCTTGGCTGTAGTTTCGGACTGATGGAGAGTGACTGATAAGAGAAGCAAAGCCAAAGCTACCTTTTAATTGCCACAGCAAAGCCTCACTTGCTCTGGCTCTTCCTGAACAAAGAGCATGGACTTGAGTTCAGAAGAGAGAAGCTGAACAGATAGGTAAAGTTCAGAATTAAGCACTTTACACAATCTGCCTCCTCCGGGTCATCAAATCCACATGCTGTGGATCCAACATTTTGCCCACAAAATACAGTCAAATAATTTTACAGTAAATCCTGTAAAATGCTTTTAGATGTCTCGATGACGTGATACTGTGCTATATCAAATGCAAGGATTATTATTTTTATAATACAGCAGGGAGATTTTAACAATGCTGGTGAATGGTGTACAGTGACCTTGATGGGAAGTTTCAGAAATGGATCTTACGTTCAACGCATCTGCTTCTATCAATTCACTTGGACTAATCCGAGATATGTAGGCGGTGTAGGCAGTTTGCGTCAGCAAATTCAAGCAGGAATTAGATAGCTATTGGCAATGATTTTTTTTTGGTCAGCCGAGTGTCTGACAGATGTGGAAACCCATCACCATACTTAAGAGTATCCAAACCAATCATTCCATGATTCCACCATCCCACCTTCCCCACTATGATTCTCTTGGATGCATTACTGTACAAATGGCAAGACTGAAGTAGCAGCAAGGGGAGAGTGATGCAAGTTGAGAAGGAAAATAGAATATTGGGTGAAGGTTTGATTTGAATGACAGATTGAGATGTAGAACGATTCCACCTAAATTCACTGTTCTACATCTTAAAATCACCTGCCATTTGTAGAGAGCTTTTAACAGCGTTTGACTTTTTCATTATCATCAGTATTTTTGTGTCCATAGACCAAGTACTGTAGGTGAGACCTTTCTGAACTGTTCATCTGAAGTACCATGTGATGAGTGCATTAATTTGAACTGTCACAATACACCTTAATAATTATTTTGGCTTTCATAATAATAATCCTTGCATTTGATAAAAGCACTTTATCATGTCTTCAAGATGACTCAAAGCGCTTTACAGAATATACTGCAACGTGTATTGACTAGATTTTCTGGGCCAATGCAGCAGTTCATTGGTGCACAAGCAATGTCCCCAAATCAGCCGTGGAATGTGTGACTATTTTATTTGGAGGATGGTTGGCCAGAATACCGGGACATGATCATGTGTTGGAACACCAATAACTTGCATTATAGAATCAATACCATGCATTGAAGGATCGTTAAGACATTGGAGTATAAATACTATTCACTGGAACAGCAGTGCATTGACACATCAATTAGATGTATTTTATTATTGACACTATGCATTGTAACAACAACTTGCACTTATATAGCACCCTCCACGTAGGGTAGCGTCTCAGAGCACTTTGATTGTAGAATTGATTTACCATGCATTCATGGCCACACTGACATGCGATGGATAGATGATTGAAGAAACAACCACACGTTATTGCATCAATCACTGTAAATCTGTATAATAACCTCTAAAATAAAGTGCCCCGGGACGCTACCCTGCGTGAAGGGCACTATTATGAATGCAAGTTGTTGTTGTTTTTGAAAAATCATTTGGGAGCGAATCATTTTTAGGATCCTCCAGATGAAATGAAAGATGAAACCAAGTTCTCGTCGCCCACAAAATGCAGAGTCACACGATCCTGTGAAGTGCTTTGAGACATCTCGACAATGTGATGAGGGCTATATCAAATGCAAAGATTCTTATTATTAATTATTATAATAATATTTTAGAGATCTAAAATCTAAAAACACACTGAAAAAATACAATATTACATTGTGATAACTTTGTGAACTAAGTACTGGTTCCTACCTGTTGAGATAACTGTTTCATGGCCAGTTGGTACAGATTGACGATCTTGCCTGACAGAGATTTGGCTGAGTTAAATCCCTCAGAGAAAAGCATGATTTCTGCTATTAGCTGGTAATCGGGAACCACCATCGCCACAGGCCGGAACAGAGACTTCAGGTTGTCCGGGAGTTCCACCCGACCGGCGTACCTGCAACACACGTATGCACATTACACCCAAACCTTCTGCTGAATAAACCTGTAAGGTAATGAATACCAGAACAAAATGGAAATGGGAAATCAACTCAGGATTGCCACGGGAAGAGTTAAGCGGGAGGTTAGGAACAATGTTTTGACGTGGAGCGGTAGCAGTGAGTATTGGAGTATGGAGCGAGAAGGTTAGAAAGGTAGGGTGGTATTACGATATGGAATGCTTTATCACAAGTGGCTGTGAGGCCAATTAGACAATTAGGGGTGTATTTGAAGAGAACAATAATAATAATCCTTGCATTTGTTATAGTGCCTTATCATGTCTTCGAGACTTCTTAAAGCACTTCACAGAATGTACTGTAAAGTGAATTAATTGTATTTTTAGTGGGCAAAACGAATAATATAAAAGGGTACAAGCAAAGAGCAGGGAATTGGAATTGGAATATAGTAACTGCATTGGGGCATCTGGCATCAGCATGATGGCTTCCTTCCGTGCTGTCATTCCTATGAACCTTTTTATGCCCATCGGTTTGTCAAAGAGAATCTTAGTGTCTCAGTCCTGAGATTACACAGCAACTTTCATTTCGGCTGGGTTTAGATTTGAGGAACAATCAGTCAAAAAGGTCTGAACAATTTTCAGGGTTCTCAAGACAAAATGAGGATTTTTTGGTTCCTATAGAAACCCAAGCAGGACATTGGAAAGCCCTGCCATTTGTCACTTAATAAGTAAATTACGTCACAGACCTTTTGACTGCTTGTTCCTCAAATCTAATCTCACCAGCAAAGCACATGCACACATCAGGGTGTAATACTAAATAAACTGTGTGCTATACCCTCTGCAGCAGGATAATAGCAGAAAGTGTTTCTTTGAAGCCATAATCCCTGATGCAGAATGAGCATAACGACAGCTATTCACTATCAGGAAATGAGCTGACATCTATCCTGCGAGATACCAACTGAGCAGAAGGAAGATAATTAGGCTTTAGGAAAGTGGTTTTGGTTCAAAATTTTAATCCTAAAGGACTTAAAAGGACTGAGAGGTAGTAAAATGTATAGCTGGCAACATCAAAGGCTTCCTACCTCAGCAGCACTTGGGAGGATTTGCTGTTTGATAAAAAAGAGTAATTCAACAGCTGACCCCAGAGTCCGAAGAAAAAAGACTCAAGAGAAGCCATAGGTTACATTTCGGTGGCTGTGAAAGGCCGTAGAATATAGTAAGTCCTATATCCTCACTGAGCAGGGTCTCCTTGGAGCTGAACTGGTTCCAAGGTGACATGCTTTGCAATGGAATGTCAGAATCGAGCCAGCTCTGTGACGGTCTCGGTAGACCAGCCCATGAGCCAGGCGGGTCCACGGTATTCCCGGGCACTGCTGATAGCATCACAGCCAACCTGACTCATCGGTAGGCCCTGGAAGGGCAGACAAGTCACTGGGGCAGGGAGTGACCCCACTCAGCTCTTGTTAACCCTGCAAGCCAAAGCCCTAATCGGTAGGGTGGTCCAAGCTAGACAAGCAGCAGGAAAGCTTGTCTGACAGAAAGCACACTCTAGGGTCCCAAGCCTTGGCTCTTGGCTCTGGACAAGCTGTGGCAAGTTCAAGCCCCATATCAGGGCTTTGGGCTCAGTCTAAGCCAACACTCCAGTACAGCATTGAGGGGAGCTCTGCATTATCAGAAGCACTGTCCTTCAGATTAGACGTTAAAGTCAGCTCCCATCTGCCTGGTCAGGTGGACTATTGGAAAAGCGATGGGAGTTTCTCCCAATGTCCTCACCAACAATCCTCGTATAAATTGGTCATTCAGGTCACAGCTGTTTGAGGGCCCTTACGGTGAGCAAATTCTGCATTTGCTCTGAAATTTGAGACGTTTAAACACTAATAATAATAATGCTTCCATTTGATATAGCATCCTATCAGGTCGTCATTGAGACATCTCAAAGCGCTTCACAAGATATACTGTAAAGTGGAGTGAGTGGGTGTATTTTGTGAGCAAACGTGGCAGCCAATAAGTTGCGTATGTGTGATGGATTATGTGCGGCAATATTCTATGAAAGAGGACTAAAAGGAAGGGAAAAGACAGGAAAAAAAATCTTTTTTTTAAAAAAGAAACTAAAAGCCTTACAAAAAAAAAAGCACCATAGGTGGAAAAGGATACCAAATCTATCTAATGAGGGACTAGGTGCCATCATGCACTCCATCAGTTATCATCATGCTGTCAGGTCTTTTCTTTGCATACACAGCAGAACCTGACATGTGACATATCCAACATAAATGGCTTCTCCCTCACTGTGACAGCTTGCCCTATCTTCAAACACCCACAGCTCTGTTCCAGCACGCGTACATGTACCACGTTTATGCTTCAGACATCCATGAGCTGTACACTGCCAAATTGGCTCAGTTGCTCGCTCTCCAAGTCAAAAGTTGGTACTTTCAAGCAAAGCATAGGAGACTTCGAGCTCAGAGTCTACACTGACAATCCGATGCAGCATTCTCAGAGGTGGCGACTTCAGGTGAGATATTAAACTGTGTTTGCACCTCAGATGGACATTAAAGGTGCCATAACACTTTGAAAAGAGAAGGTAGTTTGTCCTCAAACTCTAAACTGTCCCTCACTCACTTCCCTCACTTTGCTCTCATACACTCTTCTTTCTCGCAAACTTGCAGTTTTCTCTCTCTTTCTCATGTCCATTGCTTCTGGTGTTGCAAGGAAGTACAGAGGCAAAATGGACATATTGTCCTCATCCAGGGTTGCAGGTAGTGAAGGGACTTGGAGGTGCAGTTCTAAGGGAGAAGGGGAGGGTATGGCCTGTACCTCACATCCCTTTTTTCCCTCGACGAGAGACAACGTTCGTCAGCTCAACGTGCGCAAAACTGAGGCCCTCCTGATTGGCTCGCGTTAGCGCTTCCGCACCTCAGGCGCTGACAGCATCAGCATCCAAGGCTGCACTCTCCACCTCTCAAAGCCAGTCAGGGACCTCGGGGTTCTGTTCGACCCTGAGCTGTCCTTTCTCCCTCATATTCGCGCCACAACTGGCACCGCCTTCCATCACCTCCGGAACATCGCCAGACTACGGCACTACCTCACCCCTCACGCTGCTGAAACTCTGGTCCACGCCTTTATCACCTCAAGGCTGGACTATGGTAACTCTCTCCTCGCCGGCCTTCCCGGCACGTCCCTCCACAAGCTGCAGGTCATTCAGAACTCTGCAGCTCGTGTACTGTCCCGCACCAGACACCGCGACCACATCACTCCCACCCTCGCTCGCCTCCACTGGCTCCCCATCCCCCAGAGGATCGAATTCAAGATCCTCATCCTCACCTACAAGGCCATTCACGGCCTTGCTCCCTCCTACCTCTCTGACCTACTATCCCCCTACCTACCTGCCCGTACTGTCCGTTCCTCTGGCTCCGGTCTGCTCCACATCCCCCGCCCCAACCGCCCTACCATCGGTGGCCGGGCCTTCAGCCTCTCGGCCCCCAGGCTCTGGAACTCCATCCCCCAGTGCCTTCGCCACCTCCTCCCTTTCCTCCTTCAAGGCCGGTCTCAAGACCTTTCTCTTCGACCGTGCCTTCAGCTCCCCTCTCGACTCTCTACCCCCTCCTCGCTCCCTCCCTTCCCTCCCCTCACCCTGACCATTTCCCCCCTGCTCGGGTCCTGACCCAACTGTACAGCGCCTTGGGACGTCCTCCCGACGTGAAAGGTGCTCTATAAATGAAATCTTGTTGTTGTTGTTCTTTCTTCCTCTCTCTGCTTTCTCCCTTTCTCTCGCTCTCTCCTGCCGCTGTAACTGCCTCGTTTTCATATACGCATGTATGCCTCTGTCTGCACTGCATAAAAGTACTGTAAATATAAAATGTGGCTTTCACTGCTGCACAGTTCTGTGCATGTGCAAAGTTGATACATGCAAACAATTCATGTCCTTAGCAACCAAATTTGCACATGGGCATAATTTGTTTTAACAATTTTGTGATATGTGGATAAGTGGCATGTAGATAACCGGTCACAGGTAATTACAGTCAAGTGCAGTGACGTTTTTTCGTAGGCAAAGGTGACAGCTATTGAATTAGTAAGTTCCCACATGAGATAAAGAACCAATTTATCTGGAGGGTTGTTGGCCAGAAAGAACCTTCTCAATTTCAATAGTAGCACAGCGTCGACAACCATTTGAACAGTCAGACAGGAACTCAGTTTATTGTCTCAGCTCAAGGACAGCACCTCTAACAATGGTGGGATCTCTAAAAATGCAGTCTCCCCACCCCCCGACACATACACACACACACACACACACACGCACGCATGCACACACACCAATTGTGCACAGCAGTGTCCCACAAACAGTCATGGATTGATTTTGAGTGATTATTACCCCCAGAAAACGATCCACCAATCGACAAACTTCTGGGTTCCTAGTTACTGCAAGGTAATGCAATGGAGTGTCTGTCGGCTTAGTCTTTGAGCTCAAGTCCTTCAATAGGTAGTGAGGAATAAAACAGAGTAGGGAGAGCAGATGTACAGACTAGAAATTGTATATATAGTTATAGTTACCTACTTAGAAAGGAAACATTTTCAGAGCTATGGGGTAAGAGTGGGGAAGTAGGACTAATTGAATAGTTCTTTCAAAGAGTCAACCACAGACACGATGGGCCAAATGGTCTCCTTCTGTGCTATAAGATTATATGATTCTATAATTATCGGGGCGACATGATTTATACCTCATCGGAAAGGTCTTGCACCTGGAAGTGATAAAGATGAAATGTCTGTCTGTGTGTCAATCTACATTCTATATTGGTTCTTTTGGTTGCAAGCGAAGCTGCAACGGATACAGCTAGTGTAGGATAAGACCTTTACAGTGGTGGTGTCAAATGCAAAGCAAGGGGGAGGGGAGGTGTCTATAGATGCAGTGGAAGAATTAATAATAATAATCTTTGCATTTGATATAACGCCTTATCACATCTTCGAGATGTCTCAAAACGCTTCACAGAATATTCTGTAAAGCGAATTGACTGTATATTTTGTGGGCAAAACACGGCAGCCAATTGCACACAGCAGTGTCCCACAAACAGTCGGGGATTGAGTGACCACATTTTTTTTTAAAAAGGGATTATTACCCCTGGAAAAGCGATCCACCAATCGACTAACAACTGGGTTCCTACTTACTGCTAAGTAAACAGAGGTGGGTTGAGTAAGGAACCATGCCCAATATTTCGCCCTGCCCGGGAATCGAACCCAGATTCTCTCGCTTGCAAGTCAAGTGCTCTAACCGCTAAGATACAGGACTCCACAGGTTTTGAGGTGGGAATTAAAGACAGATAGAGAAGGAGTGAGGCAGAGTAAAACAACAATAACTTGCACTTACATAGCGGCCTCCATGTAGGGCAGCGTCTCAGAGCGCTTAACTGTGGCAGAGCCTGACTCCGAGCTGGGGGGAGGGGGCGCGTAAGCATGGTCGAAGAGGAAAGGTTTTAGATGAAAGAGGGGAGAAGGAGGGCAAGGTGGAGGGATTGAGGGACGGTGTTCCAGAGTTTTGAGTTTCAGTAGTAGCTGAAAGCGTGACCTCCAATGTGGCGGAGGGTGCGAGGGACGAGTGCCAGTTGAGCAGAGGTGCCGGGTGGGGGATTGGGGAGTGAGGAGGTTGGAGAGGTAAGGGAGGTGACAGGGAGTGAATGGATTTGAACACGAGTGTGAGGATCTTGAAGTCGATTCATTCGGTGAAGGGGAGCCAGTGGAGCCCAGTCGGAACTGGTGAGATATGGGTACGGAGTTTGGTTTGGGTGAATATGCGGGCGGCAGAGGTTCGAATGAGCTGGATCTTTTGAATAGTGGAGCTGGGGAGACCGATGAGGAGTGCGTTGGAGTAATCCAACCGGGAGGTGACAAACGCATGCACAAGGGTTTCGGCTGCATTTGGGGAAAGGTGCAGTCAGAGGCAGGTGATGTGGCAGAGGTAGAAGAAGGCGGTTCTGGTCAGGAACCCGATGTGGGGGAGGAAGGACAGCTGAGGGTCAAACCAGACGCCTAGGTTACGCACTGGTTCGGTGAATCTGAGTGAGAGCCCAGGGAAGTTGAAGAGTTTAGATCCGCAGGAGTGAAGAATTTGACGGGAGCCAAGGAGCATGGCTTCCGTCTTGTCCACATTCAGCTGCAGGAAGTTTACACTCATCCAGGCCTTGATGTCTGCCAGACAAGCTGATAGAACATCGGCAGACATGGAGTCGATACTGGAGGAGGCAAAGTAGATTTGTGTGTCATCCGCATCCATGTGGAAGTTTACTCCATGTCTGCGGATGACATCGCTCAGAGGGAGCATATAGATAAGAAAAAGAAGAGGGCTAAGGATGGAGCCCTGGGGTACCCCGCAGGTGAATGGGTGGGGGCGGGAGGAGAAACCATTTGCTGAGATTAAATGGAGGCGGTTGGTTAAGTAGGACTTGAACCATGCGAGTGCGGTCCCACTGAGGTAGATGAGGGAGGGGAGCCGATGGAGGAGGATCGTGGTTGACTGTCGAACGCAGCAGAGAGATCCAGGAGGACAAGGAGGCAGAGGGAGCCCTGATCACAGAAGCAGAGGATGCCGTTTGTGACTTTGACAAGTGCTGACTCTGTGCTGTGGGCAGGGCGAAAACCAGACTGTGGGGGCTCGAGGAGGGAGTGGAAGGAGAGGTGTGACCAAAGTTGACCTGCAACAATGCGTTCCAGGATTTTGGCAAGGTAGGGTAGGTTGGAGATGGCACGGTAGTGTGCGAGATTAGAAGGATCGAGGGTGAGTTTTTTGAGGAGGGGTGTGAATACAGCGGTTTTCAGGGGATGTGGAACAGAGCCTGAGGAGAGAAACTGGTTGACCATATTGGCCAGCACTGGGGAGAGAAGGGGGAGTTGAGTGACCAGCAGCTGGGTGGGGAGGGGTTTCAAGGAGAAGGGAGAAATGGGGGCAAAGGAGTGTGAGGAGGGGGGAGTGGCAGGAGCTGTGACGGAGGAAGAAGGCGGTGTGGATTGTCTGGGTGGGGTGGAAGGGGATATGGAGGTGGCGAGGACAAAGCAGCCAAGCGGATGTTTTCAATTATTGAGACAAAGATGTCTAGGACCTCTTCACACTTGCCGTTTAATGTGAGGATAGAGGGGGCTTGAGGGGTGCATAGAGGAAAACAGTGTCTTCACCTAAAAGAGAGGGTTTTCCAAAGTCTAGTGACTTAATGACGGAAGGCCTGGTCACTGATTGTTGGGCAGAAGGGTGCGGGGACGTACAGCAGACCAGAGTTAATCAAGTAGAGGAAATCAGAAAAACAGGGAAGTGTTTTAAAGCTGATGGTGAGGACCTTGAAGTCCATCCGTTGAAACCCAAGGAAACAGTTCGGTAATCCTTCCTGGATGCTTCAAGATTTTTCTGTTCTTGTCTGAATCTTATGCAAACGCAGAAGGAAAAGGACTCTGAATAAAGCACTGCTTACCCTGGGTTCATAGTTACAAAGATATTGCAGGACATGTTGAGACGTATTTCTCTACCTTCAAACACAAATCTGCAAAGAAACAACATGAACAGGGGGCAGCATTAGTTACAGAAATTAACTGTTCATAGACTTAGGTAGAGCAGGAGAATGATTAAAATAGAGACCTCCATTGGGCGAGACCTCCAAAGTGCTTCATAGGATATATTGTAAAGTATGGTAACTGTGGGTTTTGTAGGTAAATGAGGTAGCCAATTTGCAAACAGCAATGTCCTGCAAACAGCCATGAAGTGAATGACCATTTTCTGCTGGGGGATTGTTGGCCAACACAGCCATGGGTTTCCTTCCCTTTTTGAATAGTGCCATGGAATCTTTAACATCTACCTAAACAGGAAGACGAGATCTTGATTTAACATATAATCCAACGCCAACAATGCAGCACTCCCCTGAGCACTGCACTGGAGCGTCAGCCTAAAGCCAGACCATGGGAGCTTAAAGTTCTGACACGGGGCTTAAACCCACAAGCTTCTGATTCAGAGGTGAGAGTGTTACCAACTGAGCCAGGCTGACATCATCACTGATGTGCAGAATGGCCTCCTCTGTCCCATCATTTCTACTCCTGTGGTTCCTTACCCTGTAATCTTACTTTTCTTTGGGCCATGAAGCTGTCAAGTTAATCACAATGCTCTGTGACTACATTTAAATATAAAACGTTGGTGGGAAGGGTTCTGATGCTCTTAGTAGTCCCACACACTCTTAATAGTCTTTATTTCTGTCAGCAGTCAATCAAATGGTGAAATTAAGAAGACAGGTTCACTGTTGGCCGTAATTAAATACCCTCGATAATGGGATAGCGCTGCTCACCTCATGACTCCGCTGTCTTTGGCTGCTTTAATGGTGTAAATCTGCGAGGCTGTGACTGACAGGACCTCCACATCAATCCGGTTGAATTCGTCAAAGCAGCACCAAGCCCCGGACTGAGCCATCCCAGAGAACAATTTTCCCAACATCTGCAGCGAGCAAGACCGAAAGTTGTGAAGGGGACGACAGAATGAGAAAGAACGAAAGGGAAAAAGAGAGAATGGGAGAGAGAGAGAGAGAGAGAGAAAGTGAGGGAGAGAATGAGGAAGATTGAAAGGGATAAAAGAGAGTGAAAGAGAAAGAACAAAAAGGAAAGAGTAAGAGAGAGAGAGAGAAGGAAAGAGAAGAAGTGAGAGACAGAATGAGAGAGTGAAAGGGAAAAAGAATGAAATGGAGAGAGAATGGAAGACTAAAAGAGAGTGAGAGAGAGAATGAGAAAGAGTGCATTAGAGAGAGGAAGAGAGCAGGTGTGTGTAACAGCAAGAGAGAGAAGCAGGGGTTGGTGGTGTGGGGGGACATGAAACAAAATAATGAGAAGGTCAAACTTGCTGAAAATGCTCATTAGTGGAGCTGCCAGCACGAGATAGCTATGCGGTCCAGCGCTCACTCCTCAGAAATTTTACGGAAATTAGATTTTAATTAAGCAGATCACATTGCAGTCATAGATGATCAGACTGACCGCTTTGCTGTTTTCAAATTTAAGGAATGTATTTGTATGTCAATTCTGAATATACCCCAATATACTTTGGAACGTCACACATCTAACCTCAGGCTATGATTTTAGTGATGGGTGGGAAATGTCCAGGTGAAGTGACATCAAGGAGGCAAAGTCACTGCGGAATCAGCTCTTTCTGAAAGCTTGTGCAATAAACGTGCGGTGGAGACGAGAGCAAAAAGTTAATTAATCCGTGCAGTTGATATAATGCCTTATCACCTCGTTGGGATATCTCAAAGCACTTTAGAGATATAGTGTAAATGTCCAGATCCTCTCACTTACAAGGCAAATGCTCCAACCGATATACTACAGAAATCCACAGGAAGTTCCAGAAAGGAAAGCAAGGTGGTGGATAGAGGAGTGGGGCCATGATTGGATCGGAGAGGTAGGGAGGTGCCAAGACGTGTAGAGATTTGAAAGTGAGAATCTCGAAATTGATCCATTCTGCAACAGCAGGGAGCCAGTGGGCAAGAACTGGAGTGATGGAGGTGCATGTCCTTTGAAAAGTGTTTATGGGATTCAATGAAAGGGTTCCAGCATTAGTGTTTTGAAGCTTCTATCAGTGATGGAGTGCTGGGTGGGTTACAAATGTTGACAGAATAACTGAGGTGTAAGTAACCTTACCTTATAGTCCATACCTTCTGAGCAATTAAAAACAACACAGTGCTTTCCCAGGGCCTGAAAAACAAAAACAGAAAATATTTCACCTGCATTTTAACCTGTTGCTCTCCTCAAACTACATCCTTACTAGACTCTAGTAGCTCTCTTTCCAGTGGACTAACTGCAATATCCAGGTTCTGACTTACAAATCTCCTTCACATCACCCTTGTTTCTCCCTACTTATGAGATCTTCACCAGCCGCAATTTGCCACCCACTCCTCTGCTCCTCCGCACACTTGACCCCATTTGTCCCAACACCAACAACAATAATTTGCATTTCTATAGCTCCCTTCATGCAGGTAGTATCTCAGATCATTTAACAGTGGTGTGTTCCAGAGATTCGGGGCATAGTGGCTGAAAGCACGGCCACCAAGTGTGGAGTGGCGGGGACGAGGGATGTTCACAAGACCCAAGACAGTTGAGCAAACGCGGTGGGTACTGGAGTGGGATGTGAACAGACAGGAGAGGTAGGGAGGTGCCATGGCGTAAAGAGATTTGAAAGTGAGAGCGAGGATCTTGAAGTCGATCCATTCTGCAACAAGGAGCTAGTGGAGCCTGGCAAGAACTAGGGTGATGGGGGTGTGGAGCTTAGTATGGGTGAGGGCATGGATGGCAGAGTTTTGAATCATTTGGACTTTGTTAATAGTGGAGCTGGGGAGACAGTTGAGGAATGTATTTGAAAAATCGAGAAAGGAGATGACAAAAGCATGAATGAGAGTTCAGGCAATGTTTGAAGGGACGAAGGCGGGCAAGTGGTGGAAGTGCAGGAAAGCAGTCCTGATCAAGGACCAGATGTGGGCTGTGAAGGATAATCACTTTGCCCCATCCATTGGATATCCTTCCCCAAAATCCTTGCACCCTCCCTCTTGAAAACTATCGTAAAAAGCTTCTTCAACCTTGCCTTCAGTTGTCACTTCTTTCTCACCCCTCCCTCTTTTGACCTTGCCCGGTGATACAAACCATCCCTTTGAGATGTGGAATGCACTATTTGGATGGGGCTATACAAGTGTAACATGTTGCAGCAAACTTCAGCAATCACTTGTAAATAAAGACAGCACCTGCTCCAACGTGTTTTCCATGTGATGATGCATGCGTTCACAGCCGGTAACACCACAAACTATATTTGCCAATGAATTAAAACTGCTAATTGCTGTGGAAAACTGGCTTCCAAATTATGACTGAATTTTAATTTCTTAATTGTGCCATCTAAAAAAAAAATCTCACAGGCCAAAACTGAGTTTAATTGTGGCGTATGATGGTATTAGGATCAAGGCAGTGAGTTTGGCACACTTGCCTCTGGATCGGACGTCTCTATCACACCGAAACGTTTTAAAGTACAGTACATTGCAATTACTGTCAAGTACAGTGTAGCCATTTGTGCTAGAATGAAATTCATAGGGAAGATTGTTGGTCAGGAAACCAGGAAAACTCCCTATTCTTTACCAATAGTTTCACAGGATCTTTAACATTTACCAGAACAGGAAGACAGTACCTCAGTTCAACATCTCAGCTGATTGATGGTTTTGTAAGCACAAAATCCCGACATAGAGCTTGAACCCACAACTGTCTGACCCAGTGGCAAGAATGTTACTGTAGTTGTTGCTGGCACAAAAGATGTGACATCGGTGAGAGGCATTGCGCAATGTACAGGGTGCACCATAACCAAGTCACGTGCCTTGCTGTTTCGGAGAATGGTGCTGTAAGCAGATGAGAAACCCAGGAGAACCAGCGGCTGAATTGTGGCACTTTCTGTGAGAGGCCCTGGAAAGATGACCAGTTAGCAGTTGCACAGTTCCGCAAGTAGCTGTCATGGTCTCAATGCACCATTGTTGTCTCAGGTAGCGGACAGTTTGCAAAGTCGCTACAGGAGATCTCACAAGAGTGTAATTGCCAGGTTTGTAGTCAAAATGACAAATGCTATATTTAGCAGGGCAGTGAAGCCAATAAAGTTGGACAGATGCCAGGATCAGAAGTTGCTCTGGCAGTAATGCAATGCTTCTCCAAAAGACTGTACAAGTGCAGCTATTGGATCCCCCACCCTTATTACAATAGTAAAGACTATCACTCTGTTAATACCGCAAATATCAACCACTACAATCATAAGAATAGGAGTAGGGCCATTCAGCCCCTCGAGCCTATTCCATCATTCTACTAGATTATGGCTAATCCATACCTCAATTCCATTTATCCGCCTTTAATAATAATCCTTGCATTTGGTATAGCAGCTTATCACATCTTCGAGATGTCTCAAAGCGCTTCACAGAATACACTGTGAAGTGGATTGACTGTATTTTGTGGGCAAAACACGGCAGCCAATTGCACACAGCAGTGTCCCACAAACAGTCGTGGATTGAGTGGCCCAGTTACTATTCTTTTAATTTTATTTGGTTACTGGGAAATAATTTCTCCCGCATCGATTCCATCAAAACCCCTCAAAAATGTCAAAGACCTCCATCAGGTAACCTCTCAATCTTTTTTTTCTCTCCAGAGGAAAAAGTCCCAATTCCTCCTGTTTCCACTCATATATAGGCCATATCTATCCCATCTCTATCACCTTAACATCTTCCCTAAAGTGTGTTGAACAACACTGGATACAATATGCTAACCGCCATTTCAGAGTGAGATTGTCAGTCACTCCTGTGACTCCTCTGTCAATCTTTGCCCATCTCTTCCTCAACCCGCTCACACACTTTGTTCCATATCCCTTGAAAGCCTGACCTAAGAAAAATCTATCAACCTCAGCCTTGAAAATTTGATTTGATTCAGCAATCCAAACAGTCATGCATGTAACTATCCAATCCACAAGTCTATCCAGACAGTGTTAATTGGAGTCACTCCTATTTTTAGAGGGGCAGAAGTGATGGACATGAAGTATGCAGCGACCCCAGGGTTAATAACTCCCCCAAACCCCTCCCTGTATAACCTGAGAACAGTGAACATACCTTGAGGCAAGATACAACCAGGCACACAGGAGGAGATGCTGTTAATTAGGGAAACCATTGGATTATTAAAGCAGGAATTTTGTTTGGACCATTCTGGAGCTACCTTGTGTGTGATTCACTCCTGAAAAAGCAGCAAAGAGAACAGTGGTGTCTAATTTCCAGCATTTCCTAATTCCTTACAAAGCGCGATAGAGTTCCTGTCCCTGCAGCCTTAAAGCTGGTATCTCTGCTATAGAACCAAAATTAGTAACACATGGTCTAGGGACCATTAATTACCACAGGATGGATTAAGCTCATGTCTCCTTCTCCACATTGGGGCTTAGACACTGATGTTAAATCAGGCTGCAATGTCGGTGAAAATTTTTAATTGGGTGCAAAGGTCCGATAGAACAAAGTTCACGATTTTACTCAAGCAGTGCACGGTAGAGATATGTGATCCAGGTAAGTACACAGATCGAGAGAGATACACACACACGCATAGCTGGATTATTTGGAGGTTGTGAAGGACACTATCAAAAATATGTTTTGAGGTGACAAAGGTGTAGATAAGCGTTTTGGCTGGGTTGGGAAATGATTTAGGAATGGAATGGAAAAGGACAATAATAATAATAATAATGATCCTTGCATTTGACATAGAACCTTATTACGGTGTTGAGACATCTCAAAGCGCTTCACAGGATATACTGTAAAGTGGATTCACGTTGTATTTTGTGGGCCAAACGCCAGCGCCAGTTACACAAAGCAATGTCCCACAAACAGCCATGGAGTGCGATACCAATTTTATTTGGGGGATTGTTAGACAGGATACCAGGGGAAATTCTCTTCTCTTTTCAAATAGCGCTATATGGGATGTTTAACATCCACCTGAATAGGCAGATGGGTTCGCGGTTTAATGTTTCATCCAAAGAACAAGCACCTCCGACAATGCAATACCCACTCCCCCAGAGCTGCATTGGAGTGTCATGTTAGACTATGTGATTCCAAGTCCCGATGTGGGGCTTGAACCCAGGAACCTTCTGACTCAAGACACGAGACTGCTATCACTGAGCCATGCTGACACAATGTTGTAGAGATAGAAAAAAGCAGACTTACTTAAGGACTGAATGAAAGGCTTAAAGGAGAGCGATGGGTCAAACAAAACACCAAGATTCTGGTCCGGCTTTGCTTCCATCGCCATACTGCCTGCCTCCATTCCTATCTTGTGTCAAAATGGTTAAGACTCTCCGGCCCCTGTAACTGCAGACTTGATTTCTCTAATGCGTTCCTTGCCGGCCTCCACAGGTCTATCAGCCAGAGAGGTTGGTTGAAAGGAAAGAAACAACTGGCACAAGTTTCAGTTTTGTCAACGTTCAGTTGAAGCAAGTTTGTCCAGGACTTTATGTGTGACAGTCTGTCAGAATAGCAGGTATCCTGGAGTCAAGGGTAGAGAAAGAAAGCAAGAGTTGGGCATCATCCGCTTACATTTGGAATGGACTCTATCCCTACAGATGATGTCACCAAAGGGGAACATAAGGATGAGGAAGAGAGGATCAAAGGTAGAGTCCTGTGGTACTTCGCATGTGATCATGTGGAGAAGCTTATAGAGGAGACATAATGAAGATCTTAGAATAGGTAGGAATTGAATCACGAAAGTGCAACACCCGAGAGGTGGACCAGGAAGGTAAGACGATGGAGAACAGTGTCGCAGACTGAGATCAGCGACTAGGCTGTAGGAAGGAAGGGAACCAGACTGAAGGGTCTCAGGATTGGTGAGAGAGATAGGAACATAAGTGAGAGGCAAGAAAAAGAGGAAAACTGGCCAGTGTTCCTGCCCTAGGTTCCTCTACAGCATCCTCTATTGGTTTGGTGTGTGTTTGGCAACTGGGTGGAGAGAGGTCAGGCTTTATTGTGACATCCTGCCCTCACTCTGTTGAGTGAGCTGCCAACATTCACTGCCAAGGCTCACACAGGAACAGTGGCCACTTAGGCAGGGTCCCGGAGGGCAAGCAGCACTGTGGAACCACACCCCAGCAAAAAGAGTCCAGACCAGGTCCAGAGAGGGATATGCCAATAGGACGAAAATTGAACAGACTACATTTTTAAAACAACTAAGAAAACAATCCTCCACGTAAATTGATCATTCACTTTATGGCTGTTTTGAGAACCTTTTGTTGGGCACAAAATGACTATTGCGTTTGTCCACATATACATAGTCGCTAGACAATTGACCTCAATTGTGAAGGGCGTTCCACCATTTCAACATAATTAAATCATGCTTCACAACAATCACAACATTTTGCATTCATATAGCACCCTTCACGTGTTTGGGAGCGCTTAACAATGCCGAATTTTGACTCAAGCCAGGGAGAGAAGGGAGGTGACTGTCGGCACGCTTTTATATCAAATAAAATAATTATTATTCAATTCTGAAAGGTAAGATGGTGCTCAGGCAGTTACGAGTAGATAAAGCGTTCCTAATGATCCCAGATAATGATGAAGAAATAAAATGTGGTTAGGAATACTGTACCACAGTTTTGACCCTGTATTTATTTTAAGGATGAAAGCATTGGCAGAGCAGTCTGCCTCTTATACACCCATAATTTAATTCCAGATCTAATCAATAAGCCACAGCATGAACACCAACGTTCCCTCTCACTCCATTAGCTCCGCAAGAGCTGTCAGTTTCAGCTCCTCGAACAGATTGGTTTGCATGTAATGAAGAGAGCTTTCTCCTCATTACACTGAAAAGTTGCTAACAGCCACTTTGTCTGACAAATTAAACGACTCACTGAATCATACCGTGAACGTCACCTTTGATTATGACATGAAACACAATGATATCGCAGGACAGTTTCTAGCCCGTAGAACCATGGATAGCTACCGCATATTAGGAGGCCATGCGGTCCATTGTACCAGTTTTTGTGTTTGCCATCTATCCTAATCCCAATTTCCTGACTATTTTTCTGTAAGCTCTTCCCCCGCATGTGCTAAACTAACTCCCTTCATTATTGTACATGTACCATTGCTTGCCAGACAATGCTATCAGCGGCAAGCTGTGTGGCTTTAGCTGGCTAGAATCCAGCAGTACCCCAACGCACTTTACGGGATCCCCAAGCTTTGGCTGTTACCAACCTACAACTAATACTTTCCGGAATTACGTAAGCAGGATGTGTCCCTCCAGTTGTTCCAACTTCCAATTCTCCTAAATCTCAACTTGTATCAGCTGTTGGAGCTTAAATAAGCGTAAATGAAAAGTAATGGCTCCAGAGCAAAATAAACCACTGACACTGGCTGCCCATATCCCATTTTAAGTGATGAGCTGGAAACCTGTGATATAAATTGACAGCTAGGCTATCAATACTTTGTTTAAAAAAATCCCTGTGAGCAATCCTACTGAATTTCACAACATTTGGTGTTACAATAATAACAATCCTTGCATTTGATATAGAACCTTATGATGTCACTGAAACATCTGAAAGCGCTTCACAGAATATAATGTAAAGTGTCGTGACTGTGTATTTTCTGGGCGAAATGTGCCTCCAGCAGTGTCCCACAAAAAGTCGTGGATTGAGTAAACAAATTAATTTTATTTGGAGGGATTGTTACCCACAGAGTGTGATCTGCCAATTGACTAACAAACGGGTTCCTACTTACTGCTGGGTAAACAGACGCTTGTGAAGTAAGGGAACTTATAAATGTATATAAACACATAAATATACATGTATATAAATACATGTATATAAATACATAAATGTCTATGAATATAATTTTGTTGTTGTTGTACCTAAGGTTTCGCCCCGCGCGGGAATCAAAAACGGATCCTAATGCTTGCGAGGCGAACATGCTAACCACTAAGCTACAGGACTCCACTTAGGTTACACACGTCTCTTTTAATGGACCTAGTCTTAGCCTGTAAGACCACTTTGGATCAAAATTTAAGATTATGCGAAATTATAGAAATTCTTTAATTCAGTCTTGATTTGGAAAGCAGTTCCTTTTAAGAACTCCTGGAAAAACAGCTTAGCACAAATTGATCTCCAGGCTGAGACTGGGTGGCATTTCAGGCATCTGGAACGCTAAATCCCAATGATATCACTCATAGGCTCCGTGACCCTATCACCCCCATCCTTGCCTGACTCCACTGGCTTCCCATCACACAGATACAGTTCAAGATCCTGGTCCTCACCTTCAAAGCTCTCCATACCTTGCTCCCCACTACCTCTGCAACCTCCTAACCCTCTACCATCCTGCGTGCTCCCTCTGCTCAGCGGGCTCCCACCTGCTTCCTGTCCCCCGCCTCGCCCGCCCCACCAATTGAGGGCGGGCCTTCTGCCCTCTGCCTCCACCCTCTGGAATTCCATTCCGCAGTCCCTCCGCCTCGGCCCTTCCCTTGCCTCCTTCAAGACCCATCAAGAGCCTCCTCTTCGACTGTGCTTTCGATCACCTTGCTTCCTGCCCTGCCCTCCACCCTCCCCAATCCCGACTCCCAGCTAGGGTCCGAAACACTGACTGTCCAGCACCTTGCGATGTCATCCCGATGTGAAAGGCGCTATACAAATGTAATTTTTTTTATCATTATTATTGGAGCACTTTCTGTGAGTCTGATGGACTCACAGAAAGTGAGTTTCTATTACAGGATAGGCTTCCTTCTATGCTGTAAAATTATAGGTTCTTCCTTTTTCTTTCATTATTTATTAATTTATTTACTATGCTTTTTATTTATTATTCTTTTTATTTATTCATATCCCCCACCCTACCATTGGTGGCCAGGCATTCAGCCTATTTGCCCCCTTTCTGGAACTGAATATGTACCTCTCACAAGGGGGCATAATCTTAAAGTTACGAGTGAAGCATTTTTTTTCACACAAAGGGTTGTGTGGTCCTTAATTCTCTCCCACAAAAGGCAGTGGATGCTGAGTCAATTGGAAATTTCAAGACTGAGATTGATAGATATTGTTAGGTAAGGTAATGAAGGGTTATGGAGAAAAGGCAAGTAAATGGAGTTGAGGTACATGATCTAATGGTGGAACAGGCTCAAGGGGTTGAATATCCTATGCCTGTTCCTATAATAATCCTTGCATTTGATATAGGTCCTTATCACATCGTTGAGATCTATCAAAGCGCTTCACAGAATATATTGTAAAGTGGATTGACTGTATTTTGGGAGCGAAATGTATTTTGTACTATGTACTTTGGCCATGTTTTCGTTGATCCTTCTCCCCAAGCCATTTGCCTCCCATCCCGGATGTAAAGCCTGGGATTGTTAAGCACCTTGGGATGTCCTGCCAATGTGAAAGGCACTATATTAATCAAAATTTGCGATTGTATTGGCAACACTTACTTTGGAAAGGTCCTTGACAGTTTCAGTTTTGCCAGTGCCGGCTGGTCCTGCAGGCGAGCCTCCGAGGTGCAGGTGTACGGCTCCCATGAGGGTCAGCCAGCAGCGGTCAGTGAGTGGCGTGATGACCAAGCGAGGAGTGCAGCCCAGATACTCGTAGCCATAGGTAAAAGAGCTGTTGACTTGGACCACGTAACAAGTGTTGTTATGCACATTCCATTCATAACGCAACTGCCTGAAATAGAGACAGACATCTGATTGTGCCTTATTATCATCATCATTTGAAGCAGCCAGCCAGCTAATGTCCTAGAATAAAAACGACGAAAAAAGGCGAATCAGTCACAATTGTTTTAAAGGTAAGTGAGTAAAGAAATAATATTAAAGGGAAAGAGAGTGGAATTAGATGAAACAGGTCCATTGGGGGAGCTAGCATCAGCACTGACATGATGGGCCTAATAGCCACCTCCTGCATTGTAAACTGTCAATGACTACGACACTCACAGGCCCTGTAAAGATTTGATTGTGGTGCATTGTTTAATAGGATATGTAAGTACAGTCTCTCGGCCATAGTCCCTGGAACACTGTAATTCTGGGCACTGTCTGCAAGAATTCATTACCTTGTCCAGTCAAAATCATCCACTCTGAAGACTTTCTTGTGGATCATGTCACGCAACACATCCCGGCAGTGTACAGTGATGATCATTAAAGTCTCCAGGGTTGTTTGCTGGCAGGGTCGCTGGCTCCTGGAGACTAGCTCCACCAATTCCTCTAGCCTGTGCACAAGCTGCGTGTACACCTCCTTCAGCTCCGTGTGTGGCGTAGCACTGGCAAAGCTTTTCACACAGTCTTCGTTGTACACTATCTGACTCTGACCAAAATGAATAGATAAATGACAATACTATAATAAGCATAAATGAAAAGCCATAACTCCAGAGCCAAATAAACCACTGACGCTGGATGCCCACGTGATCAGCTGTAAATCTGCGATGTAAATTGACAGCTAGGTTACCAACCCTTTTTAAAAAAAACATCCCTACGAGCAATCCTATTGCATTTCACAATAATTGGTGTTGTAGATTAAAATAATAATTGTTGCATTTGATATAGAGCCTTATCACATCAGTGAAACATCTGAAAGCGCTTCACAGAATATATTGTAAAGTGTATTTTGTGGGCAAAACGCGGCAACCAAATGCATACAGCAATGTCCCATAAACAGTCTTGGATTTTTTTTGAGGGATTATTAGCCCCAGAGAGTGATCTGGCAATCGACCAACAACCGGGTTTCTACTTACTCCTAGGTAAACAGAGATGTGTGGAATAAAGAAACTTGCCTAAGGTTTTGTTCCGCCCAGGAATCGAACCCTGGGCCTCTCACTTCCAAAGTGAGCGCACTAACTACTCCACAAATGGCTACTGTTAAAGGAGGGACCTGGCTGAGCTATCCCCTACTCCCTATGACAACTGCTAACTTCAGGATACTCAGATGATGAAGACAAAATGTTACAACAAGCATTTCACAACCTACACAACACTTTCTGACAGTGGCACAATCTACATCACACCCCAGCCCTGAAAGTCCATAAAGGATAGTGCATCTGACAGCATTGTTAGGCGATGTCAGTGTATAATTCATGCAGAAGGCATTACTAGGTCCTTGGTCCTCTGGGTTGGATTCTGAAATCAATGATCTAGCAGGGCTATTGAATTTGTCTTGAGGGCACATCGCAATCCAAGGCTCTTCCTGCCTGGAGATGTGCTCTGAATAGAGGAGTCACTGTGAGCCTGTTATTTGCCTTGATGTGTGGGTCAGCAGAGTAGCGTTAAGCAGCGAAAGGCTGTCTGATCACAGTATGAATTGTGAAACACAATCCTTCACCTACAGATCAGGGTTTGAATCCAGGCCATATAGACAGGATAACGAGCTTCACTCTCTAGCCACTACAGAGCAAAACGCCTCAGAGCTATTTCAATTCTACTCGTCTCGGACACAGGTACCCAGAGTAAAGAAGCCCTCATGTTGGTCCAATTTCAGCAAAGCCACTCTCACAGTTATTCATTCCTCTGGTAAATGATTATTCCTCAATAGTGAACAGTTAGTTATTCCTCAATTGTTAATCTATAGTGGATGCCTTCAAAACTATTCTAAAAATATGACCATGCTTTCAATCAAGTTACTCAACCCCTACCCTTTCACCTTGCTCGGTGATCCACACTATCTCCATAAAGAGGTTTGACAGGTTCTCCAATGTGAAAGTCGCTATAAAACCTCAGCTTACCACAGTCAGCACCACTTGTCCTGGGTGAGACATTACCCATTTCTTGAAATCTTTTGAGTTCCAGGTGGTGTATCCCATAAGGAGATGCCTGCATTAAGATTGAAGACAAAATATTGTATCACAATTTACAACCCAGGAAACTAACCCCCATCCAAGGACAGGTCATTTGCACATAGTATGGTTCCATAAGCAATCACAATTTGAAAGACTGATTTATCTGGTGGATAGTTGGATAGGACATCAGGAAAAATCTATTCTCTTGTCCAACAGTTGCATGAGAAGTCCACCTGAACAGGCAGACGTAACCTGGGTTTGTTGTCTCATATAAAAGGTAGCACTCCCCGTAAAGCAATGGAGTGTCATCCTAGACTGAAGAAGCAAACCCAGGAAAATATATCATTCATTGAGCATGAATACATAGCTACAGATGATGGTGCCTAGTGCACATACAGAATGAGAAGTAGTACATTAGTCACACATTCACCATGAGGGAAAGCCAGGGTGACTCCCAAGGTCAGCGAGGTTCAATAATAACACGCTTTCTGTGAAGGAAAGCCATTGACTCATGTAGTCAGCGAGGTTCAGGAATGTACTGGAGTAATTTAGGTGTCAGCCTGGCTCAGTTGGTAGCACTCTTGCCTCTGAATCAGAGTTCAAGCCCCATTTTGAAACCTTGATATCATATACCCTTGCCTGTGCACAAATTGGCTGTAGCAAGTGTCTAGACAGTTACTGCACTTTACAGTGAATCCTGTGAAGCGTTTTGAGACATTCTCCTGACGTGAAATGCACTATACCAAATACAAGGATATTATTATTATGCTTCAGCAACTAGGTTTTAAATTTTTATGTGTAAGAATAATCTAAGTCTTTCTGTTCTTACAGTAAGTGTGTCCTCTGTCTGTCTTTATTTAATTCCTCTGTCCGTAAATGAACATATTCTGGTCAAGATATCAGGAGAAACTCCCTTCTCTCTTGCAAATAGCATCACGTGGACAGGCTAAAGCAGCCTTAGGTTAATACCTCATCCAAAGGACGGGACCTCCAACAGTGTAATGTCCTGTCCCCCCAGTACTGCACAGGATTATCAGCTTAGACTAAGCTGAAGTCCTGATATGGAGCTTGAAGCCAGCAATAAGATGACAAAGGCATGAAACATCATATTATGGAACATCTCATTTTTCACCCTTTTATATATGGAGTAGTTTGTCATTTATTATACAGTACTTTGAAAGATTTTGGTAAACTGACTTACTTTTTCACAGTGTCGAACATGGCAGTCTCCACATTTCCCAACCACTGTTCGACAGGACCCCGGGCCCGAACATTCCTGCGAATGTGACAAAGTCCACATATCACTTGGGCCATGGAGCACCACAGGCGAATTAATCGCGTACAAAACAAGTTTGGCCACTTGTTTGGTAACGCCAACATTAAACTCAAAAGTGAAAAGAATTCCAAACTTCAGAATAGAAGTGAAATACAGGCTTATTCATTCTCTTCTCCCATTTTCACTGAAAGTAATTCAGGGCCTTTATATTAAAGAAATGCATTTAATACAGTTGACGCCCAATAATGGGGTCATAATTGGTAGAGAGAAGTCAATCCAGAGAGGTTTTGCATCTTCTGAATAATTCCAAAAATTGGATAATTTAATTCCCACCAGGAAGTTCTAATTAAATAGCTTCAACTGGGAAACCTTGACAACGTGAAATAATCGGTGTTTGTAGCAGCTCCATTGAATCAAATCTTCCCGTGGTTCAGTGTAATCATTGTGTGAAGTTCCCACCATTGTATAGAAACACTTTTCAGATTGAAAGACTGCAGGAGCCAGAATCTGACTGAATTTTAGAGCTATATTTGTTCCACTCGGTACACTGGAATAAGAGGACTCCATTCAACCTGTTAAAGCTGCTCTCCCAGTTTACTAGATCAAGGCAGATCTTTTAATCCCCATCTTTTCACCATACCCTTTAATTCCATTTCCATTCCAGTTGTGTGTCCACCTCTCTTTTAAACATCCTTGTTGTTTCCACCTCTAAGGATCTCTGGGGCAGTGAGTTCCACATTCTCATCACCCTTTGTGTGAAGGAATGTTTTCTGATCTCACTTCTAACTGTCATTGCTCCAATTTTAAGTCTATACCCCTTTGTTTTGGATCCCTCTACCAGAGGGAATACTTTTCCATTGTTTAGCTTGTCATTCCCACTCATTGCTTTAAACGTGATATGCTGTGGCTGTGCTGGACAGATGTGTGCACACTTGCAAGTATAGAGGAAGTGAATCATAGAATCGTAGCAATTACAGTATATAAGGAGATTATTTGACCCAACACGCTTATGCTGGTGCTCATTCCTCCACTGGAGCCAACTACACCATATATTTTAATATTCTTCCTCTTTAAATGTTTAGCCAACTCCCAACTAATTGTCATTGAAGTCTCAACCTCAAATAGGCACTTTGCCAAAGAATTCCATATTCCAGTAACTCCCAGTAAGAAGAAGTCACGTCTATAAGAAATTTCAGGCCTCAGTGAGAGAGACTCAAGTAGTCAATTTTCAAATCCTTTATAAAAATACAGTATTCAAAGAATAAGATATGGGGTATTTTTCTCCAGTGGGGGAATGTGCACCAGTATAGGCTCAATGAGCTAAATGCCTTCCTTCTGTGCGGTGATTTCAGTGAATGAAACAGGCAGTACTTTGGCATGGGCAGTATCTCGTTCTCTGCAGACTTGATCGTCACAACCATGGGAGGGCTTGTGGCCTGCCTGCGAATGTCCAACGACCTGATGTTCTCAAAGCATTTCGGCAAGTGAGGCTGAGGAAAGAATGAGAAATCAATGGCAGCGAAAGAGTGGATCAGTGTTGTGATTGTGAACATCGTTCTCTGGGTACCACACAGGGATTTTCTGAGCAAACAACATTTATTTGGTGGACATCTTTGCTTACGGCCACAATAGAGCATTTTTCAGACAACAATATCATTATTAATTATGGCTTCTCACATTGAGAATAATTATCAAAATAATATTTGCATTATAAATATCGAGCAAAGAGATCGCTAGCATTAGCTTTTTTAATAGTGTGGTTAAAACCCAATTATATGTGCAGAATTTGTCACAATCTAAACACTGGATTTGGTCACTGGTCTTAGTTCTCCTATTCAGTTTGGCTGCCGTATTTCGCCCACAAAACACATAGTTACTACACTTTACAGTATATCCTTTGAAGAGCTTTGAACGTCTCAAAGACATGATAAGGCGCTATATCAAATGCAAGGATTATTATTATTAAGTTCTGTGCTTGCATACAGAGTTGTAGAATTCTCTCAGTTTGTGGCAGACATAGTCGCAAACTCCCCAGTAGGGCAGCAGGTTGTGGGATCGAGCTCCATGTCGTGATATTGAGCTCACAAACCTGGCTAACGCTCCAATACAGTACTGAGTGGAGCACTGCATTGTCAGAGGTGCCATCCTTCGGTAATATATTAAACCTGAGATCCCCCGTCTGCCTGTTCAGCCAATCTCCTCCTACTTATTGGTGGTGCAGAGTTCCATTGGGTCAGTATCACCCAGTCACAGTTACCCATAGAATTCAACTCAAAATCTATTATAGTTGAAGTCCATTAATGGGGAATTGATCGATAGAGAATAGTCAAGGTTGAGAGGTTTTGCGTTTAGGGGACAACAGCAACAAATTACATTTATACCGCGCCTTTCACGTCCCAAAGCATTCGACAGTGAAGGATTTGCACCCGAGCTGAGGGTTGGGATCAGGAGGTGTGGAGGGCAGGGAGGATGGGGGTAGGAGAGTGACCAAAGGCGTGGTCAAAGAGGAGATTCTTAAGATGGGCCTTGAAGGAGGCAAGAGAGGGGGCGACACAGAGAGGCTTATGGCCCGACCGTCAATCCAAACAAATGAAATTATTTGATTCTCAAGTAGAAATTTCCAATTAAATGGCTTCAACAGGATTCAATATGTAACAATCCTCTTTAGAACTCCACAGTTATCCCCGTTGGAATCCTTCTTGCGTCCCTTCAGTTTGCAAATCACCAGCAAGGCCTGTATATCACCGTTCTCTTAGACTTTCTATTCCAATATAAATGGACTTCATCTTTACCCGGACAGCATCTGGATTTTTGCTCTGAGACAAGATATCCAGCAGTTCATCACTGGTGAGGAAATAAAACCTTGGGAAAGCTGTCCGTTTGGCTTCCAGATAATCCTGCAGGAGGGAAACATGAGCAGAGTTTAATTCAACTTTTATACTGTTTCATCCACATGTACACACACTCACATGCACAAACACATACGCACACATACGCACGCACACACGCCGTGCGCACACACGCCTCACTCACACTTTAATGGTATGACGGGTTTACAAATCTGCAAAAAAAGTTATATTATGAATATAAATAATCCTTGCATTTGATAGCGCCTTTCTAGATCATCGAGATGTCTCAAAGCATTTCATAGGAATTTACTGTAAAGTGGTAGGATTGTGTGTATTTTGTGGGCAAACACAGCAAATGCTCCCTGCTATTTTGAAATGGGATCTTTATGTCTACCTAGCCAGGCAGGTAGGACCTTGGTTTAACGTCTCATCTGAAGGGGAGCACATCTGACAATGCAACACACCACCAGCACCACATTGGTGTCAAGATAGACACCCAATGTGGGGTTTGAACCTACAACCTTCCAACTCAGAAGCAAGAGTGCTACCAACTGAGCCAAGGTCAATATGGATACAGAAAAGCAGAAATAATTCTAAACCTATACTAGTCATTGTTGGAGTGTTTTGTTCAGTTCTGGATGCCCAGATTAGGGAAGGATATCTCTAGCGAGCCAAGCTAGCAAATTCCTCAGGTAACTGCACGTAAAGTTATTCTCTTTAGCTCATCTGTCCATTTTTTTCGTGGATGTTGAATGTCTCAGTTTGATGCCTCATCCAAAAGAAATCACAACTCTCAATGCAATTCTCCCCGTACTGCACTGGCAGGACTACCTGGCCTGTGAACCTACAATCTTCAGACCCAGAGGTGAGTGTGTGGCTGACTGAGCCAAGCACTGACACAAACAGTCAGGGTTTGAATGTGTTTTACCTCCAAACATTTCTGTATGCTCTCCAGCTGTCCGTTGGTTGCCTGCAGGAGCTCCAGTACTCCTGGTGCTGTTGCTGCCTTTAGGGTGTTGGGATTCTCTGCAGTTTTCCTCATCAGCTCTTTCCAGTTTTTATCAATCACCACAAACTCTTTGGTTTCAGTCGGAAGCTGCCTAGGTTGTGTAAAAAAAATGAAATGAACCATTTCAGCTGCAGCTAGTATATTGATTCAAACAGTCCAAAGAAGTTTTGCAACTTACAATACATCCTTGCAAGTGGCAGACATGCATGCAAGCAAACACAACAGCCAATTAGTACAGCTAGGTCCACAAACAGCCATGAAACGAATGAGCAATTTATCTGGAGGATCGCCAGCCAGGACACTGAAAGAAACTCTCTTCTCTTTTTCAACAATATCACAGCATCTGTTCACCTGAACAGGCAGATGGGACCTTGGTTTAGCATCTCATCTAAAGGACAATACCTCGGACAATGCAGTGCTCTCAACCCCCCCTCCTCAAATTCTGCTCTGACCATTAGCCTAGATTATTACTATAAAACCAAAAGCAGAGGTTGGGAGAAGTTGTTTTTACACAAATGACTGTTAGGACATGGAATGAACACCGAAGCAGAATCCAAAGCTTTTTAAAGGGAATCAAGAGAAATATTCAAAAAAGAAAAATATTAAAGGGTTTGGAAACGTGTATGCGAAGTGGGTTCTAAATGCATAACTCCAAGAGCTGACTGACAACAATAACAACAACAAATTACATTTATATAGCACCTTTTACATCAGGAGGATATCCCAAAGTGCTGGGCAGTCAGGGATTTGAACCTGAGCTGTGGGTTGGGATCAGGAGGCATGGAGGGTAGGTGTAGGGGGATGACCAAAGGCGCAGACGAAGAGACAGGCTTTGAAGGAGGCAAGGGAGCCAGTGAGATGAAGGGACTGTGCGATGGAGTTCTAAAGGGTGGAGGCACAGAGGCTGAAGGCCTGAACGCCAATGGTGGGGCGGGCTGAGCGGAGGACATAGAGTGGACAGATCTATATGGTCTTAGCAGATCACAGAGTTAAGGACTGACACTGACATGATGGGCCGAGTGGCCTCCTCCTGTATAATCCTAGAATTATATAATTCTAGAGTATACAAGTTTGAATTACATTCAGGAAACTAGCCAACACAGAGTAGCTGCCAAATAACCAGCTGACAGGGATAATTCTGGCACAAAACCACTGAAATCTACAATAAATTCAAGGTGGCGTCATGCTTAATAATCTGTTACTGTTGCTAGACAACAAAGACATGTGGTATTGATTCCTACCTTTGGATGTCGGGGGCCTGGAAGATGGGCTTGAGATAAAGCCAGTTCCGCTGGCACGTCATCCATTCCTCAAGGGTGGAGGCCAAAAGAGTCAGCTTGCGATCCCATTCATCAACCTCATTCTGCATAAAAACAGCACTTGTTTTTTTTAAACTATCGAATAGACTCGATAAATAAAACAACAATAACTTGCATTTATATAGCACCCTTCACGCAGGATAGCGTCCTGGACTGCTTCACAGTGGTGGAGTCTGACCCCGAGCCAGGGGGAGAGGAAGGGTGGAGGTAACCATAAGCATGATCAAAAAGGGAGGGATTTTAGGTGGGATTTGAAAGTGGGGAGGGAGGCGGCAAGGCGGAGGATTGAGGGAGAAAGTTCCTGAGTTTCAGGATGTAGTGCCTGAAGGCACAGCCACCAATGGTGGAGCGGAGGAGACGAACAGGAGGCCGGAGCCAATAAGGGAAGCAGCGAGTAGGGGAGTGGGGGTTAAGCAAATCGGATAGGTAGGGAGATGTGAGGGCATGAAGGGATTTGAAAATGAGTATGAGGAACTTGAAATCGATCTGTTCAGTACTTGGGTGCCAGTGGAGCCTGGCAAGGACTGGTGTGATGGGGGTTCAGAGTTTTGTGCAGGTGAGAATCTGGGCGGCGGAATTCTGAATTCGTTGAATTTTGTGTATGGGTGGAGCTGGGGAGATGAGCAAGGAAGGTATTGGAATAGTCCAGCCGGGAAGTGATAAAGGCTTGACTGTGTCAGCCAGCAGAAGGCAGAGGAGGGGGAGTTGAATGACCAGAAGCTGGGTTGTGGTAGGAAGAGAGGGGGTAAAGGAGGCATGTGGGAGGTGACATGGGGGGGGAGGTTAAGGAGGAGGAGGCAGCCAGACGCATGTTGTCTATCTAGGAATTAAAGAAGTCCAGGACCTCTTCGCAAGGCATCTGAAGTGAGGATCGAGGGTGCTTGGGAGTGGGCTTGGAGGAGGTGGTGGATAGTGGAGAACAGGATTTTGGGGTTATTTTCGGCCTCAAAGATGACCTATGAATCAAAGTGCCTTGTCCACACAAGGTTGGACAATGTAATCTATTCTGCCTTGACAAAACGCAAAATACTGCAGATGCTGGAAATCTGAAACAAAAAGTGAAGTCCAATTCGATAACAGCTTTTAAGGGAGAACTGGATAGGTATCTGGGGAAGACGGGTTTGCAGGGTTATGGGGAGAAAGCTGGTGATTGGGGTTAGTGAAAGTGACTTGCTCTGTCAAAGAGCCGGCACAGACTCGATGGGCCGAATGACCTCCTTCTGTGCCGTAACATTCTATGAATCTATGAAAAATCTATTCACCTGCTTTAATATGGTATTCCTGGAACATACACTATCTTCAAGGATGTGGCTTAGTCACTCTCAACTCTGGAAAAAACTCTGTGGGTTCCAGCTCACGTTGGGACTTGAGCTTGTAACCCGGGCTGACGTTCCAGTAGCCCAAAGCACCACAGACGAGAAATGAATTGAAGGTTTCAAGAAGTTGAATAGACATAAAGCTACAAAATAGAATATGTTGCGACGGAAGGAAAGTGGCATCAATAATAATAATTCTTGCATTTGATATCATGCCTTTCATGTCTGGAGGATGTCTCAGAGCGCTGCATAGGATTCACTGGTAAGTGCAGTGAATGTATTTTTAAAAGTGAAAGGTCACACACAATTACCTTGATGGGTCCCACATAACGTGATCCCTTAATATTGGAGATGGTGACTTGACTCTCCTCCAGCTGAGTGAAAATCTCCTCAGCAGAGCCAATGATGGATATGGTGAGGTTCTCAGAATGATGGGTGACCAGCTTGAAGTTGGTGTAGTTCCACAGGTTAATGATTTTATCCAGCATGTTTTTCAGCGTGGCCTCGTTGGTGGCTGTAGCTGATATGTTAATAATCTCCTCTCTGTGTTGGAAGAGCTAGAAAAAGTGTAAAAATAAGCCAGTAAGTCACAATATTTACCGTCAATGTGTATCATTCAGCCTGGCTCAGTTGGTTGTAGTCTTACCTCTGAGTCAGAAGGCTCAAGTGCCAATGTGGTTCATGCCCCACACTGGTACTCCAATATTATCGGACACACAAGGAAGTTTATTTAGTGCTGCATTGTTGGAGGTGCGTCCTTCGGATGACACATTAAACTGAGGTCCCGTCTCCCTGTTCAGATGGACGTTAAAGATTCCGTGGATCGAAAAGACAGGGGAGTTTCTCACCCATTGTTAAGCACTCTGAAACACTGCCCTGCGTAAGGGGTGCTAAATAAATGCAAATTGTTGATGAACCCCTTTTGTGAATCCAGCACTCTTACCCTGAGCTTCAGGAGATTGCCTAGCGTCAGCCCTTTGTCCTTGTTGATCGATCGCCCAATGGTATTCTGAATGATAATCCAGTGCCGGTCCTGCAGGTAGGGGTTCCTCAAGGCCACAATGACTGGCAGCCCTCGTTTAAAATCTAATACCGCTTCCTTTCTCAGAGGCACTATATCATTCGCTGGCAATCCTGAAAGAAAATTAGATCAATAATAAAACTAAGAATCTAAGCAGCCACAGTATATGAAAGTGGTCTTAGCGGCACAGAAAACAGAGCAACATGTTGGTGATAACTACAGAAAAGAGATGCTCATCAGTTATCAATGCTATACACTGTCTTTTTCTATTTTTCCTTGTTCAAAGATCATGAACATTTGCGATAAGCTACAATACAACTAAAATTGAGATGCTTTAACTTAACATTTCTGAGCCCAGCAAGACGAAAGAACTGGCATTTTATTTAACCTTATCACGGCAAAATATCTCACAGTGCTTCCTTCTCACAGGATCTTTATCAAGAATAGTGACTGTATATTTACAGTCAAAATAACAAAGAAAATCTCTTTTCTCTTTTACAATAATGTTATGGTTTATTTAGCTTCCACCTGAACAAACGTAAAGAGGACCTGGTTTTAACATCTCAATTGATGCATGGCACATCCAACAATGCGTCTCTCCCTTAACTAGACCTTCGGGCAGACTGTGCTCTGAGCTCTAAGGCCCTTTGTGAGAGTTGAACCAATAACCGCCTGAGCCAGAGACAAGTGATTGCCATCGGTGTGGATTGAGTGACCAATTTTGTTTTCTTTAGGAGGATTTATTTCCTCTGGAAAGCAACCTGCCAATCGACTAACAAACATGTTCCTACTTACTGCAAGTTAAACGGAGGAATGTGGAATAAGGAAACTTGCCTAAGGTTTTGCCCGACCTGAGAATCAAACTCAGGTCCTCTCCCTCACGAGGCGAGTGCACTAACCACTATGATACGGGTCTCCAGAATTAACTTTTGATCCAAATCACAGCTGTTATTGGGAATTTGCAATGTGAAAAAATCACTGCTGCATTTGCCTGGAACAACTTTATTGCACATGACAATAATCACTCGAGAAGCGCTTCTCAATGTGACAAAGTTGCTATAAATATGTGCTAACCACCTCTTAAAAAACAGGCAAGCAGCTAAATTCTGAAGTAAAAAAAAATCCCAAACCTTTCTCCAACATGTACATGGTTTGTGTGAACCTGTGGACACCCCTCTGAATTATATCGACGTTCAATTCATCGAAGAAGGTGCTGGTCCAATTCATATACAGGTTCTCCCACTCGTCCTGAGACTCCCACAACAGCTTGCGCAGCATCAGGTCGTACTCGATCTCCGAGAGCTTGATGTTCAGCTTCTGGGTGCTGATCCCCTCGCACTTCTGCAAGGGAATTATAGCCTCCATGGACACAGACAAATTCTGTGACTTCCTCTTGCTATCGGAGCTGCAGAAGCTTTCCTGGTAATTGCTGTAGTTTCGGGCCTTGTTGGAAACGGTTGTGAGTTCTTGTGTGAGAATTTGGATGGTCTGCAAGGCCTGATTTCGGGGTGTGTCTGAATGGATGAGTATCGGATTCCTCACCTGAAAGATCACAACGGATTGGAAATTCAAACATTCAGATCTTTCCCCTCCCTTCCGAAGTTTTGGAATTATCTCCCCCCAATCCCTTCACTTTGCCCCTCTTTTGGATCACAACTGAAGACCTTTCTCTTTGACAGTGCTTATAATTATAATAATACTTGCATTTGGTATTGTGCCAAATAACGTCTTCGAGACATCTTAAAGCACGTCACTGTACTCCTTTTCTAGTAAAGGCAGCTCCTCCGTGATTCAATTGATTGTATATTTTGTGGCTGAAACGTGGCAGCCAATTGCGCACAGCAGTGTCTCACCAACAGTCGTGAATTGAGAAACCAAATTATCATTATTATTTTTTTTTTTTGAAGGGGTTATTACCCCCGGAAAAGTAATCTGCCAATCGACCAACCAGGCTCCTACTTACTGCTAGATATGCACCCAAGGTAGCCTGGTTTCACTCTGCCCAGGAATCAAATCCAGGTACCTTCGCTTATGAGGCGAATGCTCTAACCAATACGCTACAAAACTTCACTCCAAAATGCTATAAATCACTCCGCTTGGCCCTCCTTTCCTTCTTTTGGATCACGACCAAAGACCTTCCTCTTCGACCATGCTTACGGTCACCTCCTCCTCCCCCCGCCACCCCGGCTTGGGTGGAGCAGCCGGCTCCGGCCTGCTCCACGTACCCCGCCCCACCCGCCCCACCATTGGCGGGAGAGCCTTCAGACACTCTGCCGCCAACCTCTGGAACTCCATCCCCCGATCACTCCGCCTTGCCCCCTCCTTAGCCTCCTTCAAGTCCTGCCTCAAAACCCTCCTCTTCGGCCATGCCATCGGTCACCCCCCTTCCCTTCCCTTCTCCCTCCCTGACTCCAGCTAGGGTTTGAAACGCTGTACACTGTCTAGCGCCTTAGGACATCCTCCCAAGGTGAAAGGCGCTATACAAATGTGATCTTGTTGTTAGCATCAGGCTCCTGTCTTGTAAAGCGCTCCAAGACACTGCCTCAAGTGAAGGTCGCTATATAAATGCAAATTGTTGCTGTGTAGCCCCCACAGCTTGAGACCTATTTACCGTGCCGTGCCCTTTCAGAATGTTGAAGACCTTTATGTTCCACAATATTTTTAAAACCTATTGAAAATTTGACGAGATGAAGGCACAGTGAGTGTTCTTGCCCGATTCCCAATACACCACAAAGTCTCCTCCCCCCCAAAAAAAACCTACAGTACCTTATGTTTAATCTCCATCAGTTCAAAGTACAGGTCAGTAATGTGCTGTATCAGGTCTTCCTTGAACTTCAAGAGATTTCCGTCTTTCTTGGCTTCGCAAAAGAGGACAGTGGACTTCAGGTCCTGGAAGCTGGGGACTAGAGTGTGGTACAATGCCAGGTCCTCTGGAACGATCTCAATATCGCAGTCCTTTGCAATGGCAAAGAGCTGCGTCACCAGGCTGTACTCCTTTTCTAGTAAGGGCAGCTCCTCTGTGATCCGCCCCAGGAACAGCAGGTGCTCCACAAACTCTTCAACCACACTGGGGTCCTTTTGGAGCCTCTTTAGAGCTTCAGCAATGATCTACAGGAAGCAGACACTGTAACTGCTACATCAAAGGCACTCACTGCTCCCTTTATAATAAGTCCAGACACACATTCAGATTATCACATCATGAAACGTTTTCAACCTGATAATAATAATAATAATCTTTATAATAAACCTTGCATTTGATATAGCGCCTTGTATGTCCTTAATAGGGACATATTAAAAATTGGACATGCACATGAAGAGGTCGGATGTTATAGGTTACAGGGAAAGACTAGGCAATTGGGGTTATCATGGATAATTCCCTGTAAAGCGCTTAGAGACCGTTTGTCATTATAGGGGTTAGAGTATGACCTCCTTCTTGAATTCATTTCTATTATTCTATGAAAGAAACCTAATAATAATCCTTGCATTTGATATAGTGCCTTATCATTTTCCTTGAGACGTCTTAAAGTACAGGATACACTGTAAAGTGGTTTAACTGTATTTTGTGTGCAAAATACAGTAGTCATGGAGTGAGTGACTAATTTGGGGTATGGTTGGCCAGGACTCCCTTCTCTTTTCAAATAGTGCCATGGGATCTTTAACATCCACTTGAGCAGGCAGATGGGACCTTGGTTTAACGTCTCATCTGAAAAATGGCAATGTAGAACATCCCAAGCAATGCATTGCAGTGTCAGCTTAAACTATGTCATTCCAAGCCCTGATGTGGGGCTTGAACCCACAACCTGCTACCACTGAGACAAACTGACACTGTCACTAATAATGCAGCATAATCTAACCACATGAACTTTAATTGTTTGCCAAAAAATGCCCGATCCTACAGTAATTTATGCTATGATGATTCACGTAAGTAAATTTTAAAACCTTATGTCCTTATGTTCTTGTATCTAGTGCCAGACAGTTTGGCTCCAACCTGGTTGCAGCTTCTGGGCTCTTAATAGTAATAACACAGTGATCCTTGGAAGCTACAATGCCAAAGTCTCAGAGCACTCTAAAGGTAATTATTGTCAAGTACGTCTGTAAGCAAACCTGGCAGCCAGTTTGCACACAAAAGATCCCCCAAAGCCAGTAGGTGAATGACCAATTTATCTGGAGCAATGTTGATCCTGGGGACAGCAGAAATTCCATTTTATTTTCCAACAATGTTGTGAGATCTTTAATATTCACCTGAACAGACAGAGTGGAACTTAATTTCATAATGCATCCAAAGACCTCCAACAGAGCAACACCGCCTTGGCATCAGCCTAAACAGTGGGCTCACAGACCCGACATGAAGCTTGAATCCCCAACCTTCTGAGCCAGTGGCATGACTAAATGAGCCAAGTTGACACTAAAACACTAATAAATACCATAACTATTCAAAGTACAGCTTCCATTGAGGTGAGACAGCTGGGCTGTGCTGTCGATTCACATCTATCCAACAAGGAATGTAGTCGAGTCTAACTTGCCGTTCAATTTTTAATGTCAGCTGGCTCAGTAGTTGCATTCTCATCTCTGAGTCAACAAATTGTGGGTTCAAGTCCCACGTTGGAATTTGGAATCACTTAGTCTAAGCCAGAGTGATCCAACCTTTTAGCTGATGAGGGCCGGAATCCCTATATGAGAAACGTCTGCAGGCCACATCAGCAATATTTTTGTGTTTCCCTTCCAGAAACATAACATTTACAGGTTATAAAGGGGGCGGGCGGGTGGGGGGCGCGGATGAAATTGAACCATCCTGGTCTAAGCTCACTCACCAATGCAGTGCTGGGAGGTGTTGCATTGTTGGAGATGCCATCTTTCGGATGGGACGTTAAACCAAGGTCCCATCTGCCTGTTCAGGGAGACATGAAAGATTCCATAGCATTATTTGAAAAGATAAGAGAGTTTCTCTCTCCTGGTGTCCCAGCCAACAAACCTCTAAATAAATTTGGTCAATCAATCAATGGCTGTTTGTAGGACAATGCTGTGCGCAAAACTGGCCCCTGCCTTTCACCCACAAAACACCACAGTCAATCCAGTTTACAATATATCCCGTCAAGCTTTGAGACGTCTCAACAATGTGATAAGGCATTATATCAAATGCAAGAATTATTACTTTTATTATTAATACTGCTTTGCGAATATTGAAAGCCATTTATTCAGAGATTATCAAACAACAACAAATTGCATTTATATAGCGCCATTCATGTCAGGTTAATGTCCCAAAAGGCTCATTAAGATTCACGGCCTATTTCCAACATTTCCAAGCTGATGGGATTTGCAATTATATTTATATGTAAATTTTGCAAATTGATATTCGCAAAGCAGACATAGTCATTAGCACATCAAATGTACTTTGTGAATATCCCAATTTAGACCTTCATATGTGTGTTAAATTTACTCTAACTGGGCAATCCTACTCAGAAAGCCTACAAGAATAGGTGATGTGAAAAGAAATATCATATAATTGCAGAAGGAAGTCAATTAGTCCATCTGGCCTAAAATTGTACAGAACTAACTCCCATTTAGCCAATCTAAAACCAATTCCCTGCTCTTTTCCCAAACCCTTCTACAGTGTGATTCTAGCACACATTAGTAAAATGCGGGTATGGATAGAAAATGGAACAACAACGGACATGCAGCACATGGAAATGAAGGGCCTCCCAGCATCACTTTGTTTCTCCATTGTAGAGGAGACCACGACTGCTCATGTTGTGGTCTCCTCTAAATTGGTGAGACGAAATGCAGATTGGGTGACTGATTTGCCAAACACCTCCTTTCTGTCTGCAAGCACAACCCTGAGCTTCCGGTTTCTTGCAATTTCAACTCTCCCTCCCACTCGCACTTTGACCTCTCCATCCATGGTTTCCTACACTGTTCCAATGAGCCACAGCGCAAGCTCGAGGAACAGCACCTCATTTATCTGCAAGGGACCTTACAGCCCTCTGGACTCAATATTGATTTTTTTCCACAATTTCAGACCATAACAGCTCACATTCCCCCTACCCCTCTTCTGTGACAATTACCACATCATCTTGATCCCAGACACACCTTTTCTCTCACTGATCTGCCTATTTTGCTGTAATCTCCCTGGAGGAACGCATCCTGCTTACTTAATTCCGGAGAGTATTCTTGCAAAGTTTCGCCCACAAAATATACAGGGAAAACATAGTCAATTCACGTTGCAGTATATTCTGTGAAGCGCGTTGAAACATCTCGAAGATGTGATGAGGCGCTATATCAAATGCAGGGATTATTATTAGGCACAAGCTGGCAAGAGCCAAGGTTTAGGGTCCCTAAAGTGTGTGTTGGGGTACTACTGGAGTCGAATCAGTGAAAACCAGATAGCTTGCGATTGATCGCACTCTCTGGCAAGCTTTTCCGCTGCATGTCCAACTAACTACCTGTTAGGATTCGATTTGCAGGGTTAACAGGAGCTGAGTGAGAAGAATGCCTGCCCTCAGTGACTTGTCTGCCCCTCCGAGTCCTGCTGATGAGCCAGGCTGTACAAACAATCTCTTTTATTAAGGGTGAAATTTGCAACATTTCAGACTAATCGCAAGGAACCCGTAATAAAAGGTTGCAAGTGTCACCCCTATTATATTTCAGTGACAGTCCATGCAAACTACAAAAGGAAGATGATTACATTCAAAAAGATTCAAACACATACTGCCAGAAGCTCTTCATTCTTCTTGTTCGCAATAACCGTCAGATGGCCACTGATTCTATTCACCACTGCTTCAGTGTGGGGCAGGCAGTCACTCTGGAACTGGAGGCCCATCACTTTAATCATACCCAAGCGCTTCTCCACATTGATCTTTTTTATCTCCATTATGTGTTCATTGTACACGTTTAGCACATTCCTGAAAATTTGTGGGGTCCATTCAACTTGGTCCATGGAAATCTTAATATCCATCTTATTGGCATGTTCCACCAGTGAGCAGAATCTCCTGAAGCTCTTGCTGTACTCTTTGGTACGCTTCATTGCTGCGCTTAGCATATTCCACAGTTTAGTAAGCTAATGTAAAGAAAAAAAGTTCATAATAATAATCTTTGCATCCTTATCAAGTCATTGAGATGTCTCAAAGTGCTTCACAGAATACACTGTAAAGTGAATTGCCAGTGTATTTTTAAATATTAAAGCTTCACTACAGTGTAAGAGTGTATTGAACAAATTGGGTATAAAGATGCAAGTTGTTGTTGTCTCTTTGTGGCCTTGGAGGTATACAAGATTTTAAATTGGATTGAGGAAGTTAACCCTGAACAATATTGTCAGATGCACTAATACAAAGAACAAGAGAACACAGGTTTAGAGTTGCAAAGGGCAATTTCAGGATGGAAACCAATAAATATTGCTTTACCAAGACTGGTATTAATAACTCAACAAGTGACCAGGAAGGGTAGCTGAGGCCAGAATACATTTAAGATACAACTCAATGCTTTGATGGGAGGATGGTATAGTGGTATCTCTGGAAGGATATTCTGCTTTAAATTATACGTCAAAATGGTCTGATGGGCTAAAACCAGGTGAGATTTCAGGCCTAGAATACTTGTCATGGGATAACAACAACAACAACAAATTACATTTGTATAGCGCCTTTCACATTGGGAAGACGTCCCAAGGTGCCGGACGGTCAAGGATTTTTACCCAAGCTGGGAGTTGGGATCATTAACAGATAAACTTACGTTATCTTGGTAATCTGGATCTTGCCTAAACAATGTGGCATAGTCTGCACATAGTTTTTTAGTTCTGTTCTTCCTTTCCAATTCCTTCTTCATTGTAAGATCCTGGTCATGTGGAGGCTCAGTATTAAATAAGGATAACTGAGGCTCATGGAGAAAGGCAGACAAAGAGGCTGGAATGAAAATAACAACTTTCACTTATATAGTCCTTTTCATGAAGAATGCTTCAAAGCACTCCACAGTGGTTGTGGATCGCAGAGCAAGGTGACAGGAGAAGGTAGCGACAAGAGGAAAGTGATTGAAAGCACAATTGAGAAGTTAGTTTTTGACAAGGGCTTCGAAGACAGGAAGGGAAGGGTACAAGACAGAGGGAGAAAGGGAGGGAGTTTTAGCCTGGCTGACGACGGGCCAGAAACAGGGCCAGATTATACAACAAAATAGGTAAAACATGGTTTAGGGTCCCGTGGTCTGCAAGGGTCCTGGATATGATTCGCATTTACCTCCTGCTTGGTCTTTCTTCTCGTTGCCTTGTGCCTCGTACAACCTCCGGAGAGGCAGCGTGAGAACGACGGGAAGAGAGGCAGAGCTTGAGGTATGAAGCAGTGGACAGGACAAATGGAAGGTGGCACCACTAATAGCCCATCCCCTCCTCCCCCAATTGCAGGCATAGTACAAAGAGCCGCCAAATGTGATCTGCCCTAGGGCCCCTCGGATGCTTTAATCCAGCCCTTGGCTGGGACGTGAGGGACATGCAGCAGGCTTGAGTTTGCCCAGCACAGGGAGTGGGTTGCGGTGTGGGGCTGGTGAAGACTGCAGATAGAGAGATACACATCTGCTGGACTTTACCACTCATTTGAAAGTCGCTTTATTACACCAACAGTTATGGAACAACAACAAAATGACATTTGTTCAAGTCGGGGGGACGTCCCAAGGCGCTGGACAGACAGAGTTAAGGACCCGAGCTGAGGGTCGGGATGGGGGAGGGTGGAAGGCAGGGGGGGAAGCACGGAAATCGAAAGCATACACCAAATTGCAAGAAAAAGGCAATGTCTACAACAACAACAAAATTACATTTATAGGGCGCCTTTCCCGTCAGGAGGACGTCCGAAAACGCTGAACAGTCAGGTGTCGGGGCCCGAGCATGGGGGAGGGGTGGTGTAGGGGTGAGGGAAGGTAGGAGGTCGGAGTGTCACGCCTTGCTGACGTTGAGTTGGAGAAAGTTGGCCCTCGTCCAAGACTTGATGTCGGACAGGCAGTCGGTCAGGACGCCAGTAATTCTGGAGTTCAGAGTGGAGGCAGAGAGGCAGAGTTGGGTGTCATCCGCATACATGTGGAAATTTACCCCATGTCTGCGGATGATGCCACCAAGGGGGAGCATGACAGAGCCCTGAGGAACACCGCATGAGACGGTGCGGGGGCCGGAGGAGAAGCCGTTTGCTGCGACGAAGTGGAGGTGGTGTGAAAGCTAGGATCTGAACCAGTCAAGGTCAGAACCTTGAAGGTTGAGATGAGAGGAGAGGCAGTGGAGGAGGATTGGTCTAACACCAACTAACAAAAGGCAGGTGTTAACGACAACAACAATTTGCATTTATATAGCGCCCTCCACCCGGGTGACGACTCAGAGCACTTAACAATGGCGGAGCCCAAGGCATAGCCAGGGGAAGGGAGAATGTGACCGTAGGCATGGTCGAAGAGGAAGGTCTTCAGGCGCAACCTGAAGATGGGGAAGGAGGGGGCGAGGCAAAAGGGTTGAGTGAGGGAGTTCCAAAGTTTTGGGGCGTAGTGGCTGAAGTCATGGCTGCCAATGGTGGAGCAGAGGATTCGGGGAACACAGAGGAGGCCAGACCCAGAAAAGCAGAGGCAGCAGGTACTGCTGTGGGGAGAGAGGAGGTTAGAGAGATAGGGGGTGCCAAGGAATGGAGAGATTTAAACACAATAGTGAGGAGCTTGAAGTCGATCCGCTCTGTGACAGAGAGCCAGTGGAGTTTGCCAAGGACTGGAATTTGGTTAACGGGATCAAACACAATGAACTGACTGAAACTGGACTTGGGACAATTCGAGTCCAGGGCAGAAAAAAACATGTCCTTATATGGTCAATGAAAGACTCACAAATAATCAGGACGATGGAAAGAAAAAGGGGTTACAAAAGCTTGAGTAAGCAACAGCAGGGGAAAGATAGTGGCTGTGGCAGAGGAGCGACCTGCCTAAGCTAAGAACTACAAGCAACATCGACGAGCAGTCATTTCAGGTCTCCCAGGGTAAGACTCTTGATCGAACTAAGCCCTGAATCATCTGACGTAGTTTTATGTGTTTTATAACTGTTGTAACCGCCATTTTGGTTAGCAATAAATAATATCTAGTTTGCTATATTTTGTCTCTGTTCAAATACCTTACCTCAGCGTAAAGGATTGGAACGGGTTGAGGACTAAACACCCTCGATACAAAACCCTACAAACGTTCCACAGTAAACACAATCTTAAAGACCATCTTACAATGTAACAGTTATATGAAATACTATGCTGCACCGCAGACGGTACTAGGTAGCAGCATCTGCCACACACAGAGAGCTTCCAACAACACCATGTTGTTCAGAGGCAGAAACTGAACATTCACACAGAACTGATTCTGGCCTCAGCTGGAATACAGTAGACAACTATGATCACCCTGTTCATAGTGGTGAACATGTTGGCTTTGGAGAGAGTACAGCAGAGACTATCTGGATTGAAGCCCATAGGTGGTGGTGGTCGCCTTCTTCTCCTTCTCCACTAATAAAACGACAATGTCTGCCTGCGCTTCAAGAAGGATCTCAATAACCGATTGACGTAGAGACATGATTTATACCTCATCGGAAAGGTCATTTTATCTGGGAGTGACATGGGTATATTTGTTTTTGGGTATCTCCTATTTTAATTTAAGTATTGCGTTTCTTGATGCAGTAACACCAGGTGGCCGCCGAATCAAAGAGCACCTACGTATGTACTCACAACTGCAGTTACACCTGGTGGCCATGGCATCCTGTATCACAGAGCACGCACATGGCCAAGTGGTAGGAATAAAATAACAACAACAAGATTACATTTGTATAGCAGCTTTCACGTCGGGAGGACATCCCAGTGTTTCAGTGTTTTGGACCTGAGCTGGGGGTCAGGATCGTGGAGGGCAGGGAGAAGGGTGGTCATTGAAGGCACGGTTAAAGAGGAGGGTCTTCAGAAGGGTTTTGAGGGTGGCAAGGGAGGGGGCGAGGTGGAGGACTGCGGGATGGAGTTCCGGAGGGTAGGGGCAGAGTGGCAGAAGGCCCACCCACCAATGGTGGGGGGAGAGGAAAGTGAGGAGGCATGGGGAGAGAAGGCAATTGTAAAAAGCAATACTTACTTATCAAAATATATATTTTTTTAAATCAAAATGAATCAAGGTTAAAACCTTTGGAGCAAGTTTATTTTCTTGGCGTGACCCACACCCTCCTACCGATCACTCTATTGTTCTGTATGTCTAAGGTTGAAAAAGTAATTTCCTTGCTGAAGTGTTTCCTTACCAATCGTATCTTGCAGTCCATCCACCACTTCGTGCACTTGTACCAAAAGCTCGTCCTCTGAGGGTACCAAGTAATAGCGTACAAATCTCTTCTTTTCATAGTTACTGGAAAGTATAAAGTTCAGTATATTGAACTTATTTGAAGTTCTGGCCATTCTTTTGGTTTAGTACACTACTAAAACTGTAATGACTTCACTGGCTTATCTGAAAGCGCTATGAGACATTATCTTAGTGAAGGGTGCTATATAGGTGGAAGTTGTTCCTTTCTGGAGAAACTACAGTACACTTCACATCAATTATATCAGTTGGGACCATACATTTAATATAAATTATTCAAAATCAAACTTGCATAGAATATAAACTCTTGAATATGAGTTTGGCAGATGTAAGACTTAGGCGATTATACAATTTATACAGATCAGACTTACGCGAATAATGCTGGAATGACTGTATTTCTAAAACAATAACGGTGTGGACAATTACACTGGATATTAAAAAATCTGTTAAAATTCCCACAAATTTGGCTTTTATCTGGGTTTCCACAACTTACCTCTCATCATTTTCCTCGCCATCAGTTTCAAACTCGCTGTCTGCAGAAATAAACAAAGTTACACTAACAAAGGGTTTGATCTGTCTGCAGGTGGGAATAAATCCAGCACCAGTAACTTTTGAATATATTAGACGTCTAATCTAGATTTTTGTAGATGCAATTTGAATCTCACTTGTGAGCTCATAGATAAAAAAATCAGCTCAAAACTTACAGGGTCAAATCAGTCTCGAGTTCAGATCCCTAGAAGTCATTTTTAAACTGCACAATGCTCTAGTTAGGCCACACCTCAAGTATTGTGTATAGTTCACTGCAACATAAGAAGGCTGAGCAGATCTGGGCAGTGCAGAGGAGAGCAATGAGGATGATCTCTAGTGTTAGAGAAATGAGTTATGAGTAATAATAATAATAAGTGTATTTGATATAGCATTCTATCACATGCTTGAGACGTCCCAAAGTGCTTCACAGAATATATTGTAAAGTGGATTGATTGTGTATTTTGTGGGCGAAACGTGACAGCCATTTGCACACAACAGTGTCTCACAAACAGCCGTGGATTGAGTGACCAAATTATTGTTGTTTTTTTTGAAGGGATTATTAATACCGGAAAAGCAATCTACCAATTGACTAACAACTGATGTCTACTTACTACTAGGTAAACAGAGGCATGCGGAGTAAGGAAACTTGCCTAACATTTCGCCCTGTCCGGGAATTGAACTCAGGTTCTCTCACTTGCGAGGCGGGCGCTCTAACCACTAAGCTACAGGACTCCACAAAGACTTGGCAGCTTCTTATAAAAAAATTCATAAGAATGCTTTCTTTTAAAGGGGAGGGTAAAAAATTACCTCCTGGACTTTTCCTCGATGCCTCACCCATGTGGGCGTCCTTCACTGCCTTGTCAGCCAGGCTGGTGGTCACACTGAGCCTGAATCTTGTACCCACTTCCCCTCCACCAGATCTGTGTCACCAGACAAACAGCACTGAGATCCTGGCTCTTTAATCTCCCACCACCCCAAAAAACAACTTAAGTTGAGATCAAATAAAAACTAAATATATTGTAAAGTGTGTATTTTGTGGCAGAAACGTGGCAACTATTTGCTCATAGCAGTTTCCCACAAACAGGATTGAAATGATTTTTTTTCTTTTTCTTTTGGAGGTACTATTACCCCCGGAAAGCAATCCGCAATTCCTACTTACTGCTAGGTAAACAGAGGCGTGTGGAGTAAGGAAACTTGTCTAAGGTTCGTTCTGCCTGAGAATCAAATCCGATATCCCTGGCCACTGTCAATGGTGGGCTGAGCGCTAGGAGAGTGGGCTGGCAGTAGTCTACAAGTGCATGGGGTGCAGAAATTTTTACCAATGTTTTGGGCCTGGTCCAGCTAGGTCCGAATTCTGGATACTCAGAGGACGAAAAACCAGGGGTTAGCGTTTACTGTGCCGAATTCTGAAGGCCTTTTTTGTGACACAAACTTTTCCACGTTATTCGATGGAATGAGAGTCCTTGCCATGGTATCAATAATGGCTTGGTACCAAAGTGGAGTCCTGTAGTGTATTGGTTAGAGCACTATCCTCACAAATGAGAGGTTCCAGGTTGGAATCCCGATCAGGGCAAAACCTTAGGTAAGTTTCCTTACTCCACTTGCCTCTATTTACCTAGCAGTAAGTTGGAACATGGTTGCTAGTTGAGTGGTGGATCGCTTTGACTTCTAGGGATCTTATCTGATTCACTCCATTTTACCGGGGTAAAATTTCAATCCACCACTGTTTGTGGGACACTGCTGTTCACATAATGGAGTCCTGTAGCTCAGTGGTTAGAGTACTCGCCTCGAAAGCGAGAGACCTGGGTTCGATTCCCGGCAGGACAAAATGTTGGGCAAGTTTCCTTACTCCACACTCCTCTGTTTACCTACCAGTAAGTAGGAACATGGTTGTTAATCGATTGGCAGATCGCTTTTCTGGGCAGTAATAAATCCTTCAAAAAAAAGTGGTCACTCAATCCATGACTGTTTGTGGGACACTGCTATGCGCAATTGGCTGCTGTGTTTTGCCCACAAAATATACAGTCAAATCACATTTTGAGACATTTCAAAGATATAAGGAGCTATATCAAATGCAAGGATTATTATAGTATATTCTGTAAAGCGCTTTAAGACGTCTCAATGATATGAGAAGGCTCTATCAAATGCAAGTATTATTATTATAAAGTATTATTTTCACATTGAAAAATTGATACAGGTGGATAACACCCTGGATCAATTTTGCGGTATATCTTAATGGAATTCCAAATGGATTCCCTCTATTAATTAAAATCACATTATGCCAGTTCAAGGGAACCCTGCTCCCAAAACAGATCGAGTTGGCGCGAATTTCCAACAAGTCAGCATCAGCGATGTCTACATAGGAAGGAACCAGTGACACGGCTTGTGATGGTGTCTATCTTCTCCAGGCCCTGTTCTTCACCCACCCCCCACCATACTGCTCCTCATGCTCCGCACCCTTCCTCCCCCCCAATCTCCTGATGTGACAGCGAGCTTTGAACCGATGGTCGCTCAATCCACGACTTTTTGTGGGACACTGCTATGCTGCCTCATGTCGCCCACTAAATACACAGTCACTCCACTTTACAGTATATTCTGTGAAGCAGTTTGAGGCGTCTGAACACGCGATAAGGCGCTATATCAAATGCAAGGATTATTATTGTTATATAATAAATGCCACTTAATTGCTACCCATCCCACTCCGTTACATTCCTAAATCAATCAGTTTCAGAAAGTTCCATCATGCTGTGACTTTAGTACAAAGCCCCATGACTGCTTGCCTTGGATTACCACTTTGTCCTTTATTCCCAAAAGGAACCGTCAAGCTTACCATAAAGGTCATCTTTTTCAGCTGCAATACTTTCAACGCTTGCAGGTTGCGTTGAATAATCCATGAAAATGCATTTCCTGCCTCTGGAATCTTCTGCCAACTTCTTCTCGTTCTCAGCTGGGTTGCAGTAGGGATTAGCTTTATGGCATTTAGACACTTGTCCAGAAGTTTTTGGCTGCTGCATTTTAAGGCGAACTTTGAGGGTAACGTGAACCATGAACATAGCCTCTGGAGACTTCTTCTTATTCTGCTGATCTTGAACCTGTTTGATTATCTAGGAAGTAAGAACATGTTCCTTTTTGTTTAATCAATTTTAGCTGTTTTAGTTGCCTGCTGAGCAAAGGGAGAGCCTGGATCAGTAGAGTTTGAGGAGGTTTACTTTGAAAATCTAAAGTTTGACCACTTGTTCAATTATATGAATAAGCAAGTCAAACTCCTTTTTTATTTCAGTCAGAACCTCATTACTACCTTACTTTTGTGGGATTTATAATTAAGAAATTCAAATAACGACTGGAAGTTATAATAATAAATAATAATAATAACTGGAAGTACATCACTCTGACTTAGTAATTTAGAATATTACAGCACAGTAGGAGGCCATTCAGCCTATCAAGTCTGCACCTGCTCACAGAGGAATTAAATTCCAAGGCCCGCCTTATCCCCATACCCCTTCAAGCCATTCTCTTTCATCTATGCAGCCAATTGTGCACAGGAGTGTCCCACAAACAGTCATGGATTGAGTGACCAAATTGAATATGTGTGGAGAAACCCCACTCTAAACCCAGATTAAGTTCCCAATAGACAGCATCAAGCAAGAGAGGACCTGGGTTTGATTTCCAGGCAGGGTGAAACGTTAGGCAAGTTTCATTACTGCACACACCTCTGTTTACTTAGCAGCAAGTAGGAACCTAATGTTAGTCGATTGGTGAATTATTTTTCACGGGGATAATAATCCTTTCAAAAAATATATATATTTAAAAGAATTTGGTCACCTTATAACCCATGGCTGTTTGTTGGCCACTGCTATGTGCAATTGGCTGCCGCATTTCAGCCACAAAACACAGTTTACAGTCACTTTACAGTATATTCTGTGAAGCACTTTGAGACGTCTCGAAGACATGATAAGACGTTATATCAAATGCAAAGATTATTATTATCACAGATTTTTGTAATTAAGAAATCTGTTAAGAAATCTCATAATTACTATTCCAGCTATACTGGGAGGAGAGACAGCAATACAAGCAGTTAAATTGGCCCCTTCACTCGCCTCTTCCTGCAAGCTCTACCTGGTTAATATAATCTTCAGTGACCACAAACGGTGCCTGATAAGGTTTTACTTCAGGTCGATGAGTACTCTTGCGCGTTGATTGTAACTCTACAACATCCTCTTCAAAATCCAATTGTTTAGATCGGCCATAACGGATTTCAATCTTTTTGGTCCTGAAAGGAAAAAAAAGGGTAAATTGTAAAAACACATCATTTTCCTCAAAGCAAATTATTTCTTTTGAAAACATAAGTTAGTTACAGAGCTTGCATACTTCATAGCACCTTATCACGTGGAAACATCTCAAACACTCATTGTTGTAAATTGTTGTATTTATTGTAAAGTTTAGTGATACTTTTTGCTGATAAACACAGCAATGTAGCACACCAACAGAATCCCACGTACAACCATGAAGTCGATGATCAATTTATCTTAATTTGAGGTTATCGATTTATCTTAATTATCAATTTATCCTAATTTAATTGAAGTGATCAGTTTATCTTAATTTGTTATCAATTTATTTTAATTTAAACTATCAATTTATCTTAATTATATTAATTTAGCTGTTATGTAATGGTCAGCGCGCTCGCCTTGCAAGGTTCGATTCCCAGGCAGGATGAAACTTCAGGCAAGATTCTTTATTCTACTTACCAAGCAGTAAGCAAGAACCAGTTGATAGTCAATTGGCGGTTCGCTTTCCGGGGGTAATGTTCCCTCCAAAATAATAATAATAAATTGGTCACTCAATCCACGACTGTTCATGGGACACTGTTGTTCGCAATTGGCTGCTAGGTTTCGCCCACAAAATATACAATCAATTCACTTTACAGTATATTCTGTGAAGCGCTTTGAGACGTCTCAATAACGTGATAAGGCACCATATTAAACACAAGGCTTATTATTATTATGATCATTTGAAATAATGCTAGTCAAGCCACCAACTAGAAGAACTCCTTTCTCTTTTCCAATAGTATTGTAGGATCTTTAACATCCGTCTGATGAGGCAGATAGCACCTTGATTTGACACCTCATCTAAAGGATGCTCAACAATGCAGGACTTAGTTGTTGGAGTACTTCTGAGTGCCTGCACTTGATTGTCTGCCTGAACTGTGAGGTCAAGTTCCAACCTTATGCTTGAATCTATATTCTTCTGAATAAAGGTAAGAATGCTATAAACTGAGCCAAACTGGCAGGCATTACTAATAACGTCCACGACCGTTCTGACGAAGGGTCGTGGACCCGAAACGTTGACTCACATTCCTTTCCATAGACGCTGAGTGTTCCCAGCGACCTCTGTTTCTGTTTCAGATTTCTAGCATCTGCAGTGTTTTGGGTTTTGTTTATTATTAATAATTACATTCATGTCTCACCCTAAGAGCTCCTCGTTCTTTTTCTCCTCCGTTGAGGTTACGCTGTCTGAAAGAGTTATGAAGTGTAACAGAAACTGAACTGCTGTGGTTACCAGGCGATACAGCAGCTCTTGAAATAGATAGTCAACTAGTTTCAGGAATCGGATAATTTGAGCCAGGAAGATCCTAACGTCCGACACCTCTACGTGTGTTAGCTTCTCTCCTGAATCCATTGAGAGCATTTTGATAAGTTTCTGCATGCCTTCCCTCTCAGCCACCTGTGAGATTACAACCAGGAGAATAACATGCAAGTTGAACATTGGTTCCAAGGAAATATGTGGGCCACAATAAAAGGCATTGTAAATGGTTGACAAATGGATTGATTCTAAGGGGCAATTCATTTTAAAGCTATTCAAATTTATTGGAAAATTTACAGAATCACATAAACAGACTATTTGGACAATAAAGGTGTTTAGTAAGTCTACAGAGAGCTCCGTTGTAATCTTGGCCATTATAATTTTTTTGCACCCATAAGTGTAAATTATGTCATATAAGGCAACAGGTGAGGACTTAAAACGCAAAAGGTGGGTTTGAATCAGCAGATGAACCAACGATTTGGTTGATGAGCAGAGTCTCCAGGAACTGGGCCTATTTTCACTAGAACAGAGCAGCCTGAGGATTGAGATAGTGATATCGATCTTTAAAGTTACAGTGGGTTTTGATTGAGTCAAAAGGGAGGAATTATTTCCTCCTGGCCTGTGAGTCAGTGACTGGAGGATATCAATTTATACTAATTACCAAAGAAGCAAAGGTGGAGATTAGGTGGGGTTTTTCTTAATATACATAGAGTTATTGGGGTATGGAATGCCCCGCTGACAGTGTTGGTCAATTCAGGATTCATATTACTTTCAACAAAAAGGACTCTTTGGAAATGAGTAATTTCAAAGGGTATGGGGAAAAGACAGGTAAATAGGATTGAATGGATTGCTCTTTCAAAGAATCAGCACCAACATGATGGGTTAAATGGCTTTCATCTGTGCTATCCACTTCTATGGGGACAATCATCCCTACACCCTTTTAAGAATAAATAATGTAGCATGTTTAAAATAGTACATTTAGACTGCCATGGACTATGTAGCATTTAGACTGCCATGGACTATGCTGTGGTATTACATTGTGTCAATATGGGAAGAGAGTTAAAAGAGGGTCTTATTGGTTCCAAGGAAATATGTGGGCCACAATAAAAGGCATTGTAAATGGTTGACAAGCCAATCAAATCATCAATGGGACTGGAGGATGTATGAGGTTGTGGGTTGTTTTGTTATTGTTGTCCAAATCCCATGTCAAGGACTTTGAGCTCACAGTTGAAATTAACACTTCAATGCTGCACTGTTGAAGGTGCCGTCTTTCGGCTGAGACATTAAACTGATAAACTGAGGTCTCATTTACCTATTGAGGTCAATGTTAGATCCAGTGGCACTATTTGAAATAAGATTTTTTTTCCCTAGAGTCCTGGCCAAAAAGCCTCCAGATAAATTGGTCATTCACTTCATGGTTGCTGGTGGGACATCACTGATGTGGCTGGAGACTGACAAACAACTATAAAATTACCTTCCAACAGGATTCCAGGGTGGAGTCAATTATTTTCTGTTTGAGAGAAACAAGTTGCTCCTGAGCAAGTTTGCACTGTTGAGACTGTGTTTCACAAAACTCCTTGATTAAATAGGAGCGAGATGTGTCCATCTGCAATTGAAGAAGATAAATACAAGCCACCAAAATCAGACAAAAGTATTGCTGACGTGTTCCCACAGAGGATCAACTCAATTCTGATATTTTGAGTCCAGTAGTCGGATTTCTGGAATGCCGAACGGGTAGGGTGGTCTTAGCTGTCAGAGAGTTTACAATACAGTAGAATGGCTTTTGGTCCATTTGTCTCTTTGATGGCACTAGCCACCCCAATTGAGCTATATACTCTAATCCCATTCCCCTACACTTTCCCCATTACCAGCTTCACATCCATGGTTGGACCTTCAACCTCTCTGCCCCCACCCTTTGGAATTCCATCTTACAGTCCCTTCACCTCGCCCCCTCCCTTGCTTCCTTAAAAGCCCGTTTTAAGTCTTTCCTCTTTGACCGCACTGTCAGTCACCCCCTAGCCCAACCCTCCTTGCCCTCCATCTCTCCTGATCCCAACCCCAGCCCAGGTGCAAATCCTTGACTGTCCACCGCCTTGGGACAAAGATGTAGACTCCAGAGGATGGTCTGCCCCCACCCTCTGGAACTCCATCTCACAGTCCCTCCGCGTCACCCCCTCCCTTGCCTCCTTCAAGACCCATCTGAAGACCCTCCTCTTCAACCGTGCCTTTGATCTCCCTGCTTCGCCCCCTGCCGTCAACCCTCCACAACCCCGACCCCCAGCTCAGGTCTGAACCTCTGTCTGTCCAGCACCTTGGGACATCCTCCCGACGTGAAAGGCACTATACAAATGTAATTTTGTTATTGTTGTTGTAGTCTTACCTTTAGAAGAGAAATGGCACTGTCTCCTTTTCCTTCACCTCCATTACTAGAACTGGCTGTCTCACACAGTGCACGCACATACAGTAAGGTGCCTTGAAACAGCGTATCAGTGAAAAACAGCTCTTTGAGCAAAATCATCCTGCCAGAAAACAAACAGATTCAATAACAGTACATCAGCAAACCAGGCAAGTCAAGGTAGACAACAAGAAAGTTCCTCTCCATTTATTCCCTAACACCAAGCAAAGGGGTTTCATGAAGATTTAGAAAATGATTCTTAAAAAGTGATGTGCTTGTCGTAAGTCACATGACTGACTAGTGCCTATCCTTCCAGGGTGCGGGGTGGTGGGGGTGGCGTAGGCAGGGTCTCCTTGGAGCTGAGATGGCATTACTCCAGGGCACTGCTGATGACGGGATCAGCCAGCCTGGCTCATCGGCAGGCTTGGATGGGTAAAACAGCCACTGGGAGCAGGTATTCCTCCCCCTCAGCTCTTGTTAACCTGCAAGCCAAACACTAACGGGTGGGTGGGGGTAGGTCCAAGCTGAATAATCAGCAGGAAGCTTGCAGACAGTGCGCTCATGTATGCAATCGAATTAAAGGTGCCCTTCTTAATATAATTAATAACCAATCAAAAGGATTGTTTGCCATGTGGTTTTTGGAGCAGAATTAATTGGGGGTATTGCAAAGTGAATCAGATAAGCAGAACAGTGTGTTGGAATAGTATTAATGGGAACATTATTGAGGGAACAGTGAAAATACAGAGATTTGAATTAGATAACGTCATTAGAGAAGCAAATCTGATAGAAATGTAATGGCTTCCTTCTGAGAATCATTCCGTATTCAATAAATCTTGTTTGTTAATTGCACAATTAAGGACATTTAGAATTTTCACTCTACGTACGTTTACAAAAATGGTTTACTCCCTCACACATCCCCTGCCCATCCCTCCCTCCACACCTTCCAACCTGTCTCCCCCTCCTCTCTCACCACCACTATAAAACGCATGAAGCCCACCACCTGCTCCATCTACCCCATCCCTACCCCCCAGTCCCCAGATGTTCTGTCAGCTTGCCTGTCAGATCTCAGGGGCTGGATGAGCGCAAACTTCCTTCAGCTGAACAATGACAAGACGGAAGCCATACTCTTTGGCTCTCGTCAACATCTAAAATCTCACGGCTCTCACCTCCTCGACCTCCCTCTAAAACTCTCCGAACCCGTATGCAACCTAGGCGTCAGGTTCGACCCCCAATTATCCTTCCTCCCCCACATCCGGTCCCTCAGCAGCACTGCCTTCTACCACCTCCGACGCATCGCCCGTCTCCGCCAATACCTCTCCCCAAAACTCACTGAAACCCTGGTCCATGCCTTTGTCACCTCTCGGCTGGACTACTCCAATGCCCTCCTCGCTGGTCTCCCATCCACTACCATAATAATAATAATAATCCTTGCATTTGATATAGCGCTTTTCACGTCGGGAGGACGTCCCAAAGCGCTTCACAGAACACACTGTAAAGTGAATTGACTGTAAATTTGTGGGCGAACGCGGCAGTCAATTGGGCACAGCAATGTCCCACAAACAGTCGTAGATTGAAAATGACCAATTTTATTATTGTTTTGGGTTTTGGAGGGATTATTATTAGGCGTGTGGAGTAAGGAAACTTGCCCAAGGTTTCGCCCTGCCTGGAATTGAACTCAGGTCTCTCGCTTGCAAAGCAAGTGCTTTAACCACTGAGCTACAAGACTCCATAATTCCAAATCATTTAAAACTCTGCCGTCTGCATTCTCACCCGCACCAAACACCGCTCCCCGATCACTCCAGTCCTTGCCAGACTGCACTGGCTGCCTATCCCAGAGAGGATCGATTTCAAGATCCTCACCCTTGTATTCAAGTCCCTGCTCTTCTCTGCACCCCCCCTACCTCTCTGACCTCCTCTCTCCTCAAAACAGTACCCGTTGCCTTCGTTCCTCCGGGTCTGGCCTCCTCCTCGTCCCGAGTCCTTCGCTCCACCTTCGGCGGCCGTGCCTTCAGCCACTATGCCCCGAGGCTCTGGAACTGCCTTCCTCACTCCCTTCGTCTCACACCCTCCCTTCCCATTTTCAGATCTCTGCTGAAAACCTTTCTTTTCGACCGCACCTTTGGTCACCTTCCTCCCTCTCCCCCTGGCTCGGACCTGCGATCCATTACTGTAAAGCGCTCTGAGACGCCATCCGGCATGGAGGGCGCTACATAAATCCAAGTTGTTGTTGTTGTTATCCCTGCTCATGAACTATCGCCCCATCTCCAACCTCTCTTTCCTTTCCAAGGTCCTTGAAACAGTTGTTTCTTCCCAGCTTCACTCCTTCCTCTCCTGCCACTCCCTTTATGAACCCTTCCAATCGGGTTTCCGTGCTGCCCGCAGCACAGAAACAGCCCTGGTCAAGGTGACAAATACATTCTATCCATCTGTGACCAGGACTCCCTCTGCCTCCTGTTCCTCAAACTCTCTGCTGCCTTTGACACTGTGGATCACTCTATCCTCTTCCACTGCATCTCCTCTCACATCAGCCTTCAAGGTTCTGTCCTTGAATAGTTCAGATCCTTTCTCTCAAACCAGCTCCACTTTGTCTCCACAAACAGTTTCTCCTCCAGCCCCCACACCAAGTCGTGGGGTGTTTTGTGGTGTTCCTCAGCTCTCTATCCTTGGTCCTCTCCTCTTCAACCTTTGCATGCTCCCCCTTGATGACATCATCCACAGACATCGGGTCAACTTTCATATGTACACCGATGACACCCACCTCTATCTCTCTGCCTCCACCCTCGACTTCAGGACCACTGATGTCCTAACAGACATCAAGTACTGGATGAGAGCCAATTTTCTACAGTTGAACGCCAGCAAGACCAAGGCTCTTCTGACTGGATTGCACCAGCGCCGCCGCACCTCAGGCACTGGCAGCATCAGCATCCTCGGTTGCACACTCCACTTCACTAAGCCAGTCACCCTATGGAACTCCATCCCACATTCCCTTCGCCTCGCTCCCTCCCTCGCCTCCTTCAAGATTCACTTCAAGGTACACCCCAAGACCCTCCTCTTCGACCGTACCTTTGACCCCCTTCCTACGCTCCCTGATTCCAACCATCCCCACCGGGTCCTAATCCCTGATGTTCTCCCGACGTGAAAGGCACTTGACAAATATAATTTTGTATTGTATTGTACTGCTCCTCAGTACATTATAAATCCATGTTACAGGTTATCTATCAGGTTACATCTAATGTGAAGGGGCACAACTGCAATAGATCCAACAACATGGTCTTTAGTCTATGGTGTATAGTTTAGTCTATATACTCTTTCAGCACCTTGGGATGTCCTCCCGACGTGAAAGGCGCTATACAAATGTAATCTTGTTGTTGTTGCTGTTGTTGTAAGGTGAATGGAGCAATGTAAATGAATTAAAGGGCCATGAAATCATTGTGAATCACACACTGCTTATACCTGCTGTTTTGGGCCTTCAGATGGTGGACATTTATCTTCCAAGTGGTGAATGCTTTCCAAATTCTAGAGCAAAGTGATATTGTAAACAGGATTAGTACTGTAATTTATATAAAAAAGGGCAATCAATCGCTTATCTATAACTGATTAGTTCAGTGATTTCTGACTTGATTTTGTTTCATCCACCCAACTTAATTAGCTTGTTTTAGTCTGTAGTACTCTTACCTCCGGATCAGACAGAACATTGGGCAGTGAGCATCACATTGGATCTTATAATCATAACCCTTTATTTAATATAAAGCCTTACCATGTTGTCCAGGCTTTTTAAAGTGCTTCACAGGATTTTACTGTGAAGTATTGTAACTGTATATCCTTGCATTTTGATATATATGGCATATAGTATATGGTATATGGCAGCCAATTTTCACATAGCAATATCCTATAAACAGCCAGAGTTTTATGAGCTCACAGTCTAGGCTGAGCGAGTGGTGCATTGACAGAGGTGCCATCCTCAGGGTGAGATGTTAAACTGAGATCATCTCTGCCTGTCCAGATGAACCAGATAAAGATCCTGGTATAGGTCAGCCACAATCTTATAAAATAGCAGAACAGACTCGAGGGGATGAATAGCTTACTCCCGTTTCCATGTTTCTCTATTAGAAAAGAAAATAGATTTTCTCCACACTTCTTGGCCAACAATTCTCCGCATTAATACTTACAGCTCTGAGGAGCCATTTTACCGTGTGTGAAATGGCTGGCACCTGTGCCTTCAAAAACAGTGATTCTGCTTCACAGTCTCACGGTGAAACTGTTCGGACACGTTTGCTGTGAAGCTGGACCAAGAACGTGGAAAGGGAATCCTGACAAAATAGAGGTACTTACTCCCTTCATAGGAGCTTTACTTTCCCTTTAACTGTGATTATTGCCAATGTCCAAATGTATTAAATTAAGCAAATACATTAGTTGACATTATTCAATGTTACTGTAGCAGCTCTGTGGTAAAGTAACTGCTTATGTCTCTAGATGTTTAGGACCTAATCTGTAGTTAAAGGCTGGATAGACTAGGGATGTATTCTCTGGAGCTGAGGATCTTGAACTATGCTTTGATCGAGGTGTTTATAATTATGAAGGGCTGCAACAAAATTGAGTCCTGTAGTGGAGTGGTTACCACGCTCACCTTGCAGGTGAGAGGACCCGGGTTCGATTCCTGGACAGGGCGAAACCTTAGGCAAGTTCTCTTACTCCATACGCCTACGTTTACGTAGCAGTAAATAGGAACCAATTATTAGTCAATTGGTGGATCTGAGGATAATAATCCCTCAAAGGAAAATTTGGTCACTCAATCCATGACTGTTTGTGCGCTGCCGTGTTTCGCACACAAAATACACAGTCAACACACTTGAGAATATATTCTGTGAAGCGCTTTGAGATGTCTCAATGATGTGATAAGGTGCTATATGAAATGCAAGGATTATTATTATTAAAATGAACAGCAAGAAAACTTCTTACGATCCTGCACCAACAAGTTTGAAAATAGCATTGCCAAATCCTCACAAAGAATAAATCAATGATAAAGTAATGACTCATTGAACACACAGTGAAGAGTGCTAAGAGACAACCAATTTAATTGTAGCAAGAAGAAAGAGGACACGCAGTCAGTGTAAAAAGATATTTTACATGATCACAATTGTTAAGCATAATAATAATAATCCTTGCATTTGATACAGCGTGCCTTATCACGTCTTCGAGACGTCTCAAAGCACTTCACAGAATATACTGTAAAGTAAATTGACTATATTTTGTGGGCGAAACACAGCAGCCAATTACACACAGCAGTGTCCCACAAACAGTTCCTGGAAAAGCAATCCATCAATTGACTAGCAATCGGGTTCCTACTTACTACTAGGTGATCATAGGGGTGTAAAGTAAGGAAACTTGCCCAACATTTCACCCTGCCGGGAATCAAACCCAGTTCTCTCATTTGCGAGGCAAGTGCTCTAACCACTGAGCTACAGACTCTACATTTATAGATATTTATTCTACCTGAAAGGAGCTATAAAAACTGTTGTTGTAAACAATCAATATCAGCAGGCTATTCAACTGCACAGACATCACAGCCAAGCTGCATCCAAAGCTTAGCTGATATCTGTAAAGGAGCACATTCTAGCACTGATGAGAGATTGGAATTGGAGCCCCGGCAGATTTTTCCTCTCCCTACTCTGGAGGGTCTTAAAGGCAAGAGTACTGCCGCAACTGCAGCGATTAAGTGCTACCACCTGAGCCAGGTGTTAGCCTCCCACCTCTAAATCTTCATCAATGCAGCCCCGATACCCGACATGGTATTTAAACCCACAACCTTCTGAACAGAAGGCAAGTGATGTCTTTACCCACTAATCTATGAAGGTGAGACAGAAGTTTATTTCTGGATGAAAAGTACCAATTGGAGTTCCATCACCCACTGAAATCCTTTTCAATTTACCTGCACATATTCAAATACTGAGTCTAAATCACAGCATTAAGTCACAGCGACAATGAGATAAAAGAATAAAGATCCAACGCGCCTCAGCTAGAGAACAAAAGATCATTCACTCAAGACCCGGCAGCTACTGTGTTTTCATTACAAGCAGCAGGGAACAAAACCACAAACTTTCCTTGAGTTTAAATCTCTTTTGCAATTAGGAGTTTGGCTACAGAGGCAAGTCTGGCTCGGCAGGAAGCTGCAATGAAAAGCGTCTGGATTTCCTGCCTGCCGGTGCACTTACCTGAACCTATCTCTGAGTCAAATCAGTCCCCGCTGCTTCTATTCCCCCAGAGGAAACATTGGAGCACCATAATGAGACAACCACATTATGTAAGTGTCACAACAACAACTTTGTATGGTACCCTTCACTCGTAGTAGCATCTCGAAGCTCTTAAATCACTGAATGCTGAGTGATGTCGCAATGAGCTAAGAACTGTTTGTGGGACACAATTCTAGATAATAATAATAATCCTCGCATTTGATACAGCACCTTATCGTGTCTTCAAGGCAGCTCAAAGCGCTTCACAGAATATACGGTAAATCTCATTGCGACATCACTCAGCACTCAGTGATTTAAGCGCTCCAAGATGCTAACCCGAGGGAAGGGTACCATACAAAGTTGTTGTTGTGACACTTACATACAATGACGGTGCAGAAATGTGTTCAAATTTCAAATTTAATCTTAATTTCAAACCAGTTTTCTGCAGTGCTTAAAAAGAACCAGCTTCCAAATTAAGACTGGATTTTAAACAGGTCTGGCCGCTATTAAATTTAAAGACAAAAAGCACAACCTAAGACCAAATGAAATTTCAGGGCTCTGAATTCACCTTGTATTTCTTTAATCCTTGGACTTGATATAGCGCTATTTTGTCATCAAAACATTTCAGGGTGCGTCACAGGATTTAATGTAAAGTGCAGTGACCGTATTTGTGGGTTAATGCAGCAACCAGTTTGTGTACAGCAACGTCCCATGAAGTGAGCAATTTTATCTGGGGGATTGTTGGCCAGGACACCAGATAGAAATTTCCTTCTCTTTTCAAACAGTGCCAGATTCGAAGAATGCCTGAGATCCTGTCTGTACATGGGGACATTAAACAGATTTTTAATGTCCCCATGGACAGACAGGATCTCAGGTTAATGCATCATTAAAATACAACAGTATCTTCTGATCCTACCTGAATTGCACAAAAACGGGCAGATTATATATCAATCTGAAGTAGCATCTTTCTCGTATCCATTCTGTTGCAGGAATGCTGTCTATTTCTTCTTTGTCTGGAAAAAAAGTCACCTGAAAGGGGAAACAAGGCATCTGTTTAATTAGCAATGAAACAAAGCTTCACCTGATCATATTGTGATCTCAGTGCATCTGCAAATATCCAGTCCCAGATTCAGGTTAAGTCTGAAAAAGCAGAGGCATTTCTTAAGTTGAAGAACAGGATTCGAAGTCTTGCAACTTAACATCAACAGCAGCATGCACTTAAATAGTACCTTTTACATAGGATAACATATAGCTGTTTCTACCGTATAGGTAACTCTTTCAAAGAGCTGGCACAGGTACAATGGGTCAAATGGCCTCCTTCTGTGTTGTAAGATTCTATAATTCTATGATAAAATCTCAAGGTGCTTTACAGGCACAGTGTGGATCACTGAGCAAGCTAACCTGAATGTATGATACCATTGCAAAGGTGGTGGGATAATTAGATCCCTAGAACCTTACAGCACAGAAGGCAATTCCACTCATTGTGTTGGCACTTTTAAAAGCAACCACAACAAAATCTAGAGTTAATCCACTTTACAATATGTTCTGTGAAGCACTTTGAGTTGTCCTCCTGACACGCAAGGTGTGACACTATATTAAATGTAAGGATTATTATAAAATATCTATTTGATCCTGGCCCTCGTTTCTATTTTCCAATGTTTATGGCCAAGCACTCCTGTAGCTTAGTGGTGAAAGCACTCGCTTCGCAAGCGAGAGGACCTGGGTTTGATTCGTGGCAGGGCGAAATGTTGAACAAGTTTCCTCACTCCACACGCCCCTGTTTACCCAGCAGTAAGTGGGAACCCAATTGTTATGTGATTGGCGGATCGCTTTTCCCAGGGTAATAATCTTCAAAAAAAATAATTAAGTCACTCAAACCATGACTGTTTGTGCGACACTGCTTTGCGCAATTGGCTGCCACAGTTCGCCCTCAAAATATACAGTCAATTCACTTTACAGTATATTCTGTGAAGTGCCTTGAGATGTCTCAAAGACGTGATAAGGTACTATATCAAATGCAAGGTGTATTACAAGGATTATGTTCCATATCCAACTAGTCTCTGTGGGTAAAACAACCCCAAACCTTTCCCTTTGTTTGTTTTAAACAAAAAGCACCTAATAGATTAGAAGATCTCAATCAAAGCTCTTCTCGGACTTCTAGCTCTAGTGAAAACAGCCCAGTTTCTCTACTCTTTCTTCATAAGGTATGTGTAACAAAGAAAAGGCATGTTAATAAGAGTTGAGACAGTCTTGAATAGTCAACACTAAACTACTGCTTCATGAAGCTAGTCAATTAAAGAGGCAGCCTATATGAAGAGACAGCAGACCTACACAATACTTGAAAGGTATCAAAATTAAAATGTAGATAGATTCTCCATTAATATCCTTCAGAACTCGACAACAGAACTCATTATCGCAGCAACAGCAAACAGGGCAGGGCTCAATCTCGTGGTTTGGAGCCTCGGGGAATTTTAAAGTAAATTCTCAGCCAGTTTGCCCATCAGATTAATATGACAGCTGTCTGGAGTTAGAGATAAAAAGGGAAAGTGCCCAATGCTGGAAATCTGAACTAAAAGCAGAAAGTGCTTTAAACGGGCAGCAAGTCAATCAGCATCTGAAAGAGAAAGATAGTTTGACATTTCAGGCACAGTCTGCTCTGGAGAGTTGCCACCAAGTTGGAGTCTAACTAGTACAGCTGTTGTTTTCTTGGGGCTTTGAACCAGCAATACACAGACATTCGTTTAAGCTTTATATTAATATTGGGTCTAATTATGCGGTATTTCCTAACAGATTTCTTACTAGGAAATGTGTAATGATCAAAATACTAAACCATCAAATGAATGTTCAACACATATGATGTTTTAGAAATTCTATAGTTATTTCTAATTGATAAATCTCCTTCCCTCCCTGCCCTCCACCCTCCCCGATCCCAACCCCCAGCTCGAGTCCAAAACACTGACTTTCCAGCGCCTTGGGACGTGAAAGGCACTATACAAATGTAATTTTGTTGTTGTTGTTAAGATCATCACCAAAAAACAAAAAGAGATGACAATAATTATTTTAACTGAGGATATGGATTGCCCTAACATAATCACTGGTTAAAGCACTGGTTAAACCCCATAACAGTTTTTTTTAAGATAAATGAAAAACATATGAAAAAGAAATAATGTATACAACACTCTCTGGTACTGCACTGGCACATCAGCCTAGATAGTGAGTTGGAGGTCCTAACATAGGTCTGAAACCCACAATTTTCTCATCCGAAAGCAACGGTGTGAGCGACCAAGCCAAACTTTTTAATGATTGACAAGCTATTGGGAGTGAAATTCTAATGGGTGTGGTGCAAAGGGCACTGCAATGGGACTAAATATATTGCTCTTTCAAAGAGCAGCCAATAGGGCCAATGGTTTGATCCTGTGCTATAAAATTCTAGGATTCTAAAAAATGCAAATTAGACTTAATTGTTTCTTATTGTGTGTGTTTTCAGCCACTGGGCCCTGAACCTCTGGAATCCCCTGCCTCATCCCTCCGCCTTGCCTCTTCTTTGCCTGTCTTAAGATCACAAGGGAAGACCTTCCTCTTCGAATGTGCCTACGATCACCGCCTCCCTCTACCGGCTCAGCGCCAAACTCCACCATTGTTAACTGCTCCGAGACTACCCTGCATGAAGGACGCTATATAAATGAAAGTTGTTGTTTCAAATATTCCACTTTTGTGTAACAATTGTTAACCAACAGTCTGTTGAATTATTAGACAAAGATAAGCAAAGTATGATATCTGACCAATACATAGGACAACAGTAAAGATTAATTAGTTACCTTGGAGACATAGGAAGCACTGATTGTCCAATACTCTTGACAATTTGTGGCTGTGGTGAGAGGAACCACCTGTAGGTCATATGGATTGTAACGAGCTTTTGGGTTACTTCTCGATTTTAAGAGGCAGTAGTAAAATACTCCTGGGTCTTCTTTTGGAATTAGAATTGTCTAGAGTGAAATATAGAAGGACGTTAATGGAACATGCTATACAAAACACCTCTCCAGGACAGAGTACAGAACTGTACAGCAATCTAAAGAATTAACATATAATTGGCACTTTGAGATGTCTCGAAGACGTGGGGATAAGGCACGATATCAAATGTAAGAATTATTATTATCCGACTATGCTCATTCCCTGGACGGTACTGCTAGTCCATTCCTTATGTTTTTTCGAACCAAGCAGCAGTGAGCACTGTAAATGAGATAACCAAGGGTGGCAATCACTGAATCAATCGGCAGCATTAAGAGATCACAAGTCTTGTTGCTGTTAATGTAACACACACCAGACACCATCTGTGTTACTGTTGGGGGATTAGAAGTGGATAACCTACCTAAATCACTGATGGAAAATAGAGCAAGTGGAAGACAGGAAATAAGTGGAGAAATGTAAAGTACTTCAAATGGGGGCAAAAAATCCTGGAAGGGACTATTATTTGAACGGAAGGAAAATAATATGTATGGAAACTGAAAAGGACCTGGGGGTCCTGATTGATAATACATTGAAGCTCTCCCAACAATGCTCTGTGGCAGTGAGAAAAGCAAACCAGATTTTGGGATGTATCAAAAGATCAACAGCAAGCCAAAAGAGTGAGGTAATCCTGCCACTGTATTGTACATTGTACAATGTACACTGTACATTGGTGAGACCATACTTAGAGTATTGTGTACAGTTCTGGTCGCCACAGTACAAAAAGGATATTGGGGGAATCAAGAAGATAACAGAGGAGAGCAACTAAAATTCAATGGAAGAATTGGATTATGAGGAGCGATTAAGTAAATTGGGCATGTTCACCCTGGAAACATTATTTCTCACATTGCATGCACCGGATATTCAGAAAGCAGATTCTCCTGGCCTCGTGCTTGACCCCCATGCCCTTATGTTCGTCCCTCAGTCACTACGCCCCAAAACTCTGGAACACTCTCCCTCAATCTTTCTTCCTTGTCCCCTCCTTCCCCATCTTAAGGTTGCGCCTGAAGATCTTCCTCTTCGACCGTGCTTATGGTCACCTTGCCCCTCCCTCCTAGCTCAGAATTGTGGTCTGCCACTGTTAAGCGCTCTGGGATGCTACCCTGCTTGAGGGGCGCTATAAGTTGTTGGAAATCAATCTCAATCACTTTGTCTGGGATACTTCTGTTATCTGTAACTATGGGCTCCTGCTCTTGCCTTTTACAACTGATAAATCACCCTCTCGAGGAGCCCCAAGAACAAATGTTATTTGAGAATAGGATTCAAGTCTCTATCAGAGTCTGAGTTTTGTGGCTATTGGTCAGCAGCATATTATATGGAAAGGATTGTTACTGTAATGCGTATTCAAAGACAGCACTTCAAGTTTCGTACCTCAGGCAGGTATTTCTTAAAAGTGCTAACTCCAGTCAACGGTATCTTTCTCTTACATTCGTGCATGGTTGTGGTCCAGCCCAATGCAGCACGGAGCATCAGGATGTTGTTCAGACCATCGTCATCCTTCATATCTAATAGAGACAGCACAGCATTAGCTCTTGTGTCAGACAGTCATAAATGTATTTGAAACAAATGAGTTCTGCAATGAAAACAGTAAGGAATAGGTTTCAACACAGCCATTTTAAATAGGGCTCTTCCTTTAAGGAATCGAATGAGGTCTTCTTCCAACATTCTCAAAAAAAGAAAAGTCTCTCAGTCCAAGACCATTTGTGGGCCACTGCAATTGGTGCTGCTTTTCACCCACAAAATACACAGTGTATTCACTTTATATATCCTGTGAAGCGCTTTGAAGTGTCTCAACAACTTGATACGGCATTATATCAAATGCAGAATTATTATTATAATACCGACCAGTGGGGACTCAGCTCCAAAGGAGGCCATTCATCCCATTGTGGTACCTCTATTATCACCTTTTATAATTAGTTCCACTTGTCAGTTCCTTCCCTGTATATCTTAACAGTTTTACTGTTCAAGTGCTTATCGGTTCTATTTTGAACGATTCTATTAAACCCAGCCTTAATAGCTTCAATGGTAATGCATTCCAAACCATAATAACTGAGTGAAAAATATCATTCCTCCCTCTCTCCTGATTCTTTTACAAACACCAAGTCTGTGCCCCTTGACACCAATTTCACAACTAAAGGAAATATTTTTTTCCTTTTCAGGCTTCTTGTGCCCCTGCAGAATCTTAAAGACATCTATAGACCACATTCCCTCTTCCCAACAAAGAGTATATCTGAAGGGGAAAACTAATTGATGGTACTTTTTTAACCTGTCTAAAAGTAATTTACAATTCTCTTTGAAAATCGAGAGCAAAGACAAAACCTTTTAAGCAAGCAATTTTTAATAAAAATTCTTACATTTTGGTATAGGGCCTTTCATTAAAAAAAAGAGGCTGTCCCAAATTGCTTCACAGGATGTACAGTGTTTTGTGGTGAACATAGCAGCCAATTTGCACATAGAACTGTTTCACAAATAGCAATGGAGTGAATGACTAATTTTACCAGGGGAATTATTGGCTAGTTACCAGGGAAAGTTTCCTTCGCTTTTCGAATGGCACCACAGGATCTTCAATGTCAGGACCTTGGTTTAACATCTCATAGACAGGACCTCCAACAATACAGCACATCCCTAGCACTGTATTGGAGTGTCAACTTGGACTACAGGAGTTCCAAGTCCTGACATGGGGTTTGAACTCAAACTTCTGACTCCGAGGTAAGAATACTAGCCAGGCTGACACATATTAGACACATATCAAAGGGTCTGTAGTTTTATGGCATTAGACATCCCAATACAAAACACATTATAAACTCATAGAGTGATATTGAAACATTGAAGGTTGAAACTGCGGAAGACAAACATTGAAAGCATTAATATCGTGTAGTGTGTGTGTGTTAGTTCAGTTGTGCCCAGATATTCTAGGGAGGCATACAACCGCCCTGGAACCATCTAGCAAGTGGGAAAGTGCTGCAACCTGGCATGCAAGGGATCCTCTGACAGGATAAGATAGGGATCTCAACAAGGCAGCGGCACTGAGAGACCATGCAAGGAGGAGAAGCTTCCATAGCTCTGAGTAAAACATCTATCCTAGCAAACAACATTTTATGAGCTTCAGGCATTTTATTTGAATATTTTATTATTATTTTATGAGTTGTTAGCTGTTCCGGTGTCAGCGCCTTGGAACGTCCTCCTGACGTGAAAGGCACTATACAAATGTAATCTTGTTGTTGTTCCATTCAGAATTCACACTTTCTGGCTACATCTCCTTTTTATGTGTGTTAAGTCACCAAAACCCTATCAACTCTGTCAACGTCCTGTTCCAAACAGGAGGCGAACCTGCTCATTTTAAGTACCATTTTTCATAGCAGCCAGATGCTCTGTTAGTTGGGTATTGTTGCTTTGGCACTAAAAGATGCCACAGGAGTAGCTGAGGGGTAGGTCGCAATTCCAAACACCAGGTATCAAGCATGGAAATCGCAGTTTGGTTTGGATACTGTTAAGCATGGTTATGGGTTTCCACATGTGTCAGACAAAATGAAAAGGTCACAGCAGTGGAAAAATGTGGGACGTGACTCTTTTTGAATGCAATGATTTTGTTGCAGAAGATGATCTGATAAGAGGTAGACATCTGTACACATAAATTACTTCTGACTGAATGAAAAAATTGTGCCTTAAAGAAGAAATAGCAGAAAAGAAAAAATGCTTAAGTTAAAGGAATATGTTTCCCATTATACCTGCTATCCTTCTGCAGCAGCCTGAGACATGCTTGTGCCAAAACTTGACAGACGTAAATCAACAATGGTCTTAAATCAATCTCAAACAATGGAATTCACAGAGTAAAGTATCGCTGATCCTTACTTCACCCATTAAGGAGGGCCAATTAATTTTTTATGGTGTTAACTTGAAATATTTAATGTCAAAATTAAAGCCCTACAGAATTTTTCTTAGACGTATTCAGAGGAGATTTGCATTATTTTACTGTCCAAGTTCTGTCAATAACTTTACAAATGTTTGGATGGAATTTGTCCCTGGGATGGCTTGGCACATCTTGAAATATATATTGTTTTAAGTTTACTTTCTTTATCTCATGAATCATCTTATATCCCTCTGTAACATCCTCTCTAAAACATACTGTTTTAATGCTGAAGAGTGCTTCATTGCTCTCCTCTGCACTGCCTCTAGAGCCTAGACCAGTGTCCAAACAATTCTCCTTCATGATTCCAAGCTCCTAGGGCCATGCATCGGAAGGGTTTCCTTCAACCCATTTGTAAAGACCAGGATCAATCAGTGCGGTTGACTTATAGTAAAAAGGGGAAGTGGCTTCAGACAAGAAGAGTTCCGGCCTACACTGATCTATTCCTGAGCAGCCTAAAGGTAGATTTGGCTTCACATAGGTATGACTATTTACCAAAGTAAATGTGGAATCCTGTAGCTTAGTGGTTAGAGCACTCGCCTTGCAAGCGAGACGCCTGGGTTCAATTCCAGGCAGGGCGAAACCTTGCTCCGCATGCCTAATAATAATCCCTCCAAAATAAAACAATAATAAGTTGGTCATTTTCAATCCACGATTGTTTGTTGGACACACTTGTGCACAATTGGCTGCTGCGTTTCGCCCACAAACATACGGTCAATTCACTTTACAGTATATTCTGTGAAGCGCTTTGAGACGTCTAGAAGAAGTGAAAAGCGCTATATCAAATGCAAGGATTATTATTATTATAAAGTCCCTCATATCTGGATCAAGCAGTTGCTGCTGACTAAGCAATAGACTTAAAATATCAAGGTGACTGACACGTCACAAATTGTACTGTTAAGGTCCTCTCACCTCATTGAAGGCAAGGCTGTCCATTGAATAGCTGATGAGGAAAACCTAAGGCTTGGAACGACAGCTGCCGGAAGGCATTACTTGGCTTGTGAACAGATGCTTATAAGACTTTAAATCCATTCTGATTGGTATGCAGAGAGGTAAGCAGCTGCTGCTCAAGCTCCGCACCTCCAAATGGTGGAACCATTGCATTGCTCCCTGGTTATCGCAGGAGGCTAGGGAGGAGGTGGTATTGCTCTCATGTATTTCGTGCATGTCTGAATTGAGTCGACCCTCTGTGGTGGTTCCTGAGCCAGGCAGGTCCACAGTACTCCAGGGCCCTGTTGATGACAGACCAGCCAGCCTGGGTCATTTGTCGAACTTGGAGGGGCAGAATGATCAGTGGGGGCAATGATTATTCCTATTCAGCTCCTATTAACTCTGCAAGCCAAAGCTCCAATGGATAGGATGATCTTAGCTGGAGCAGCAGGAAGCTTGCCAGATAATGCTTTAGATTGACATGCTATGTGGTTTTGCTTGCAGGCAAGTATGCAGTTTTAGCTGGTTAGACTCCAGCAGTACCCCAATGCACACTCTGGAATCCCCATGACTTGACTCTTGCCAATGTGTGCCTAATACTCTCTGGAATTAGGTAAGGAGGGTGAGTTCCTCTGGGAAAAGATTGCACATTCCATTCTAAATACAAGAATTTCCATTGTAGGTGTAACCTATCAAAAGCGTTCAACAGCTTGAGCATGACTTCTGGGATACTGAAACTAACTGATTTGGCAATACAGCTCAAGATTCCATCTGCCTTTTATTGCTGCCTCACACAGTTTAGACATGGTGAGCAACTTACATTAGTAATACAGGACATTCTTGTTATAATGCTGTCGTCTAGATCCAATGTCTCAGGCCCTATGTTGGAATGAAACACAGAAAAATGACTGACTATAAGGGCGTGCCCTATAAGGAGGTTGTCTTATAATAATCCTTGCATTTGACATAGCATCATAACAGCAAAACATTTCAAAAGTGCTTCACAGAGGATCGTTAGCATGTGTAGTGAGCATGTATTTGTAGGCAAAATTAGAGTCACGTTACTGAAATGACTCATCTCCCCTCACAGTAGTCAGTGTTGAAACAGTTAAAAATACAGAGGCAGATAGATGTGTGGGCAACAAATCACCAGGAAAAAGAAGACTTTCTCGCTTGACCTTTAAGAGTGGAAGATTATTTGAATAACTTATTCTAAATTAGGTAAATTGCAAGAAAATGCAATTGACAAAATGGCTGTGGTATTTGTACAGGAACGAGAACTGACCTTTTCAATGCAGACAAGGTTTCTAATTAGTTCATACAGAAAAGAGAAGGAATTCAGCACTTACAACATAAGTACAATGTAACACATCTTTTCCTCTTTCCTCTCAGGATTGTGTTGTTCCACTTACTAGCAACATTTCTTGTTTCTTTCAATAATTTTTTTTCTCACCTTTCCTCTCTCCATTTCCCCCAAGTACCAAGAACAAATACCTAAATAAGGGTGGCTGAGCACTGCCAATTATAGCGTCAACCTGTCTTAGTTGATAGCACTTTAGCTGGTAGCACTTTCACCTCTGACTCAGAAGAATGTAGGTTCAAGCTCCATGTTGGAAAATTGAACTCAATTTGCTGCATGAAACTTAGGTGCTGCGTTCATCCTACA